TGCACTGCCACATGTGGTGGTGGCATGGCCAGCCGTAGCCGCGAGGTGGTCCGCCTTCCCCAGAATGGAGGCACCCACCAGGGGTTTGGAGTCTAGAGAGGCTTGGGGTTTAGAGTTTAGCGAGGCCTGGGGTTCAGGCTTGGGGGTTTGGTGCGTTGTGGGGTTTACAGTGGTCATGCTGACGATCACAGTAGTCACTTGACTGGTTTGTTGTTTCTTAACAAGGCATGCTCGTAGAAGAAGCAGTGATGACATTACTAACCTGAGGGCAGAGAAGGTAAGTCAGAACAAGAAGGCCAACCGTCAAAGCAGCAGCAGAAGTGGGAGCAGTCATTGTAGTAGGAACACCAGTCTGACTGCTGACTGGCAACACTACGGATGTTAGCGCTAATCATTTCTTATGCTCACGTACTCATCAGATCACATTGGGGATAATGTGCGAGTCTAGTGAGATTGCGCTCGGAGTAAGCAGAGTAGCAGAGGCAGTGATATTAGCGGGAACGCGAGCTTCTAGTATAATTACGATGCAGCAGCAAGCAGGATAACGATGACACTATCACGGCTGCTCGCAGCAATAGTGTACATGTGCATCTGCCCGTGGTGCTCTCCACGCATTGATTGCAGCGATAATGATGATGGTGCTGGTTGTTGTTTCTGCTGCTCACGGTAAGCAGTGGTCAGTATCATACCCAGATCAGAGTATGAAACATCAGTTACAGTATCCCGGAGTTGTAGTTGAACTGGACATACCCCCTAAACCCTAAACCCTAGTGGCCCTAAACCATAAACTAGAATAGGGTTTGGGGTATATTAGGTCGGCTTACTTTCAGGGTTGCGTAAAAGGGGTCTAGAAGAGTTCTAGTTACAAGGTTAACTTAGCAACCTTTCGAGTTCATTGGGTTATAGTATAAGAGCCTAAATAATTACTGATACTGTGTTGGTGGGTTCCTTATGAGAAATATAGTATAAACTACCCCTCAAACCCTATTCTAGTTATTGATTCCCCTGTATTAGTTTAGGTGTTAGGGTTTAGGGTTTAGAGGATCACTACAGGATACTTCGGGCGTCGCCTGAAGAGCTCTGTGAGAGTTTTGGGTTTAGGGTTCGCAGTTTAGGGCCGTACCGATAGTCTTACCTAGTTTGGGGGTCGGTACATGAAGGATCCTATGGTTGAGTTCTGCAGCAGCTTTGAGTTCAGGTTTCGGGTTTCGGGTTTGTTATTGCGTTCTAGTCAGGGCTGGGAGTGTAGGATATTGTGTGAAGGTAGAATATTTTCAGAGAGGAGGTTTCTAGGTGTTAAAAGGCAGGTTTCCATCATAAGGGGCTTAGTGCAGACTGTGCTGAATCACTTGGGGTTCTGATTGTCGGAAACCTCTGACCCCGATCTAACCTCGGCAGAGCCAGGCAAGCCATGTGAGCGCGACGTCACCATGGCCATCGTAGCTTGCAACACCGAGGTGGCTTGCTGCTTCGTCTTCTCAGAATTCTCCCTGCTTAATCAAGGGCCCCTTTGTTCCGGGGCACTCTGCGACAATTCAAGGAAGCTCCAGATTCAGACAGCAGTCATGATTCAAACATTAACCTTCAACAAACTTCAGTTTAGGAATGCGAGAAAGCGAGCATTAGGGTTTAGGGTTTGGGGCTGTGCGTTGGAGCTTTAGGGGTACAGGGTTTGGGGCTTAGAAGTTCAAGGTTTTTTTGTAGGCTATGGGCTCAAAAGACCACATCACATGAGGATCGAACGACCGAGACTTCTGGAACCAGAAGACCGTATTCGCAAAAGTTAGCATGCTTATGTTTTTATGTGGGCTGGACCACGGTGATGGCAATAGCCAGGACGCAGGGCAGTAGACGCCGCAGGACCAGTGTTGTACAATGCCATCAACAAGAATACCAATGTTGTACAATGCCATCAACAAGAATAAATCGCACTAACGTTGATGCGCATGGCAACTCTCACCGGAGCATCAGAGAGCAGCAAGAACAGCCCAAAACACGAGAACTTTTGATGCTAGTATTGCTGCTGGTGCTACCTTCAGCAGAAACAAGACGAGGAAATCTCCCCCCAACTCTTCGCCAGCTTTCCATGGTTTTCTCTCGTCTCGGTTATTCCGCCTTGCGTGATGAACCCCCCCTCCAAGTGCATAGGTCCCAAGCTTTCCTGCCTCCCAAACCACTGGCTGCCCTATTGGTTAGCAAACCTAAGCCCTGAACCCTCTAAAGGCCCAAGCCCTGAATCCTAAACTCTGTTGGGGTTTAGGGTTTAAGGGTTTAGGGTTCAGGGTACCCTGAATCGTCAAGCCTTTTACCCAGACGAGCCGTACACCCCCAGAGTTGTGGGGGAGGTCTGTCCCTCGATCATGCGCAATTGCGAGTTCAGCAAGTGGAACGACTGGCAGGCACACGCCGGAAAATGGATAGATGTTTTGGGATTCGGGGTTTAGGGTTGAAGGATGCAGACGTTTAGGGTATAGGGAATCAGGGTTTAGGGTTTAAAGTTTAGAGTCTAGAGATTCAGGGTCGGGCATTCCTGTCCTTTCCTGTGATCGTCTGTTGCTTGGGCTTCATGCCAATTTTAGTATTTGTGTTTGTTTTTTGATGTGCCGTTCAACCTAACACAAAACATACTCCAGACCCCCAAACCTTAAACCCCCAACCCTACCCTGCACCCTAAACCTTCACACTCTAAACCCCAAGCACTGAACACTGAATGCTGCAAGGGTGTCCCCAGCGAAGGCAGTCTACTCTTTTAGGGTGTTGGGTTTGGGGTCTGGGTTTAGGGTTTAGGGTTTAGGGTTATGGGGTTTAGGGTTTAGGGACCTTTAAGGTTTGGGGTATAGGCTAATGGCGAGGGCAGAGGTAGAGGGTGTAGGGACAAGTCTCCTTGGGTCTGGCAGGCCCAAACCCAAGACCCTAAGCAGAAAGCATCGTTAACTCCAACCCCCTGCACCCCAAACCGGAAGAGAGGTGAAAGCCCTGGGTTCTGAACCCAAAGGGTTTACCCTAAACCCTCAAGCTTTAACCTCAAACTCTAAACCACTAAACCCCAAAACCCGAAACCCCTGAACACCAAAATCTAAAACCCCTACACCCTAAACCCGTGAACCCCTAAACCCCTGAATCCTAAACCCTACACCCTCTCTCTACACTCCCTTTCTGGCTCCTAGGACTGCTCCATGCCTTGTGGTGGCGGTCAACAGCATCGGTCTCGAATCCTGCTCATTGAGGCGGGTTTCTGTACCTGTGCTCAAGGCTTAAGGGTTTAGGCTTGAGTATTTAGAGTTTAGGGTTTGGGGTTTCGGGTTTAGGGAGGGTCTAGGCTTTAGGGTATTTAGACTGTACGAGATCGCAGCAGTAAGAACAACAAATCGGCGCCAAAGCTTTTAACTAAACCCCAAACCCTAAACCCCTAAACCCTAAACCTCACTAGGCTAGCACAGTGAGCCTTGAATTGAAGCATTGCTCTGAGTATGCTCAAGATATCCAGCTACGACGCCTGGCGAGGTCCTGCCGATGCAAGAGGAGCATCATGAATATAGGGTTTAGAGGGGTTTATTTCGGACACAATGATATAGAAGCCTGGATAATGTTCAATATTATTTCTTAGGCTTCCTAGTGATCGGTTTAGCATGATATACACCTATATACATACACCAATACCCCAGGCTAATTATGAAGGCCTCTATATCAACAGACTTTGAGTGAGGCTTTCGGAATTGAGGTTCGGAGTCAGGGTAGGGGGTCTTTTGGGTAAGTGGGTCAAGGGTATAAGGTTTAGAGCTTTTTTTGGGTTCAGGGCTTACAGGATTTATTGTGCAGCATTTAGGATTGCATTTAGGACTCAGAGTGTAAGGCTTGGTAGAGTTTAGGGCCAAGGGTGCGGCTGTGTGTGCTCAGACAAAGCACACCTTTGGTTCTAGGAGCCTAACATGGCTCTCCCAAGCCCCGAAGTCCTGAACCCATCTGAGCACCCCAGGGGCCCAGACGTGGGCATGCCAAACTCAGCGAACATGGAGTAGGCCGAGACCCTACTTAGACGTTCACCTGCAGATACCGCGATAATTGGGGTGAAAACTACTTTGCCATAGTTGGGTAACATTTTACATTTTTATGGGTACTTGAACCCAATAAGGAGCAAAAATGTACATTTTTAACCCTATCCCAACAATGAACTAGAGTAGATATAGCTATAGTTGTACGTAGTTACTCAATCAGTTGTAGCCGGTAGCCAAGTCCCCGAAGCCCAGCCAGGCCTTACATCCCCCATACACTCAAAAAGCAAGAGCCCGAGTATTTTTATAGGTTTGCCCTACGGGTCCATGTCCCAAATAGTATGATGGTCACATGTATATTATATACTTTGGCCTTAGAGTAGGACTTTTGGCTACTTTAGGGCCGAAGTATATACAATTTGAGTACAAGGACCCTTCGGATAATATGCCCCCAACAAGCCTGATGTTGATGTTGCCCCATTTCATGACATCCCTGACCTGAAAGCCCGAAAGCCGCCAGTCCAATAGGCTGCGAGCACTGCAGCACGAAACTGCAATCCTAGCAGGTTCGAGCGGCTGGTCGATTGAAATTGTTTCCTCTGCCGCCGTGTCTGGCTGCAGAGAGAGGAAGAGCTCAGCGAGCTTTCTCGAAGAGCAGCACGACTTAACCAAGAACTGAATCCTCAGTCCGACACCCCAAACTCAAAAGGTTTTGGGCGCAGGTTTTACCCTACCCTGCAACCAGCTGCATTGAGTCCAAGGCCAGCAGAGCCAGCCATGTTTTCAGCCGAAGACGCTACGGGTTTAGGGTTTAGGGGCCGTAAAACTAAGATCGGGTTTAGGGTTTAGGATATGAGGTTTCCATGTGTAACAATACTATCACACATACTCCCGCACCCCCCAAAACAAATTTTCTCAGTTAAGGCCCGCTACGTTAGGTTTCGGGCTTCGCGGGTTGACCCCGCCAGGGCACTGGATTCCTCCATGTAGTCCCGCGGCGCATGGACCATGGAGACGCGGCCGGCCAAGCGCGCCCGGGGCGACGTCCAGTGCCTGACACCGGAGAAGTCTCCCAACGAAGCTGGTCTGAATGCCATTTTAGGGTTGAAAAGCCGGGGCCGGGTTTGAACCGCAAACCGCAGACCCTCAACCCTAAACCGAAGCTCAAACCTATATAATCCCTCAGTAGAACTAAGTTTTAAATCGCAGAACCCTGTCTAAATCGAGCTCCCAGCCTCAGCAAAACGGATTCGGAGCCCTCCCTGGCGGCCTGGAGCAAAAGTCAAGAATCCTAGTCATAGCACGGTTTAGGTTTTAGGTTTTAGGGTCTATATAGAGTTCAGAGAGACTGATGATAACCCTCGAAATGCTTGCAGAATGAAGAATGGAGCACCCTTGGCTTTAAATCCTGAGCCCGCAGCCTCCGCCCCATCTTCCAAGGATGCGCTCTCGTATCGACTGTCTCCTGGATGGCACCTGCAGGGATGTTTTGGGATGCTTGCTTATAGGGGCTTAGGGTTTAGGGTTGCTTATCAAACCTTATTCCTTCAATCTCTAAACCCTATCCCTAAACCCCGATCCGAAGCCTAAACCCCGATCCGAAAGCCCTCATTAAACCTTGAGCCCGAACCCCAGTCCCTATAAGACCAAACCCCCTTTTTAAAGGGGCGCCTGGGGTTCAAGGTGCGTGCTGCTCACATGCTGGGCCGGGCTCGGAGTTCTCAAGATCGCCTCTAAGGGGGGCTATCGGGGTCGAAGGCTCCAGGGGGGCCCCTCGAAGCCCCTAAACCGGAAGGCCTATAACTTTAGGGTTGAGGGCTTTAGGGTTTAGGGTTTAGGGTTAAAAATGCAAGCCTATAGGGTTTATATAGGGCGTAGGAGCTACGAAGCCCCTAAAGCCTTAAACCTCAAATCCTAAAGCCCAACACCCGGAAGCCTAAAGCCGCAAAACTGTAGTATGACACCTAAGACCACGAAGCTATAGCACCAAACCTGAAACCACGAGGCTTGCTTTTCCGAATGGCTTCGAAGCGCTACTGGTCCGGGACTGAAACCTGGGTTCTGGATGCCTCTTGGGGTTGGAATGCTGTTTCTTTTGGTTATATTGTCATTATAGTATGATGCAATTCCCCCATATCGCGCAATGTACCCCGAAGCGAAGCCCCATTGAAATTTTGAAGGCCCTTGTTAGGACCTCTGAGGTCTATAGGTCCACGGGTTGGAAGAGCTAGAGATTCTCAAGGGTTTGCTCTACATGCCTTTAGGGTAGAGCTAGGGTTTAGGGTTTAGGGAATTGCCGGGGTGTCCTGAAGTTTAGGGCGGTTTGGAATTGCTTCGCGCCGAGGCTGCGCGCACATGCGATTCTGATATTCATGTGGTACATCTTGGGCCACCCCACCCAAGCTGCAACCGCTGCAACCGCTGACCCGAACAGGGTGGGAACCAGTTCTACGTAAGACATGAGCCTTCCAAGCTCCTCGTCGACCATGCACCGTCCAAAATGTCTCTCAAGGCGTCCGGTTACTTACACGTTGTTTTTTTTGCAGTTTTTAAGTCGTTTCATCCTGCTAGCAAAGCTTTTCACCACCCATTGACGGCCTATAAACTCGTGAAGCGAGACAGCAGGCTCGTTTAGGGTTTAGGGGTTTAGGGTTTTGGGTTTAGGGTTTAGGGTTTAGGGTTTAGGGACATAAGCCGGCCGGTTTCCTTTTCAGTAAATAGCTTCGGGTTTAGGCTTTGTTGGCGGGCTCAGGTATTCTCAGGGTTTGAGGGGATGCAACTTACTCTTCCAAATACCAAGAACAGAATCTTTAGGGCTTCGTACACATTCGTATTTTTCTCTGCGCATTTCGATTTTCTGTATTAGGCGTAGGGCATTTAGGGCATTTAGGGTTTAGGGTTTATGGTTTAGGGCCCAGTATGTGAGTGTTTCCTAGGGTATAACCGATGGCCCTTCCTGTTCCAAGGTCTCCTGTGACGACGCGAAGCGACTGGGCTTACGAAGCCCATGCTCTTCTTGCGTATGAGGACCCAAGCGCCAAACTCGATAAGCCCCAAGCCTTCAAGCCAGAAATTCCATCAACATCCCGATGTCCAAAAACATATCACATTTCATGATTTTGGCGCTTTTAGTTTGGCGGCACTAGGCTCCCACGCGGGGATTACATAAATGTAATCTCTAGACCCCACGGCCCCAAACCCTGAAACCACGAAGTCTCAAGCCCCAACTTCGTCCCCTTAAGACGGCCTGAGCCTGCTGCGCCTCCAAACCTGAGGTATCTTCTTGCCAGATACTGCTTTTTTTCGTTCTTTCCCGCTTACGGTAAAACCCTGAACCCTCAACCCTACATCAAAACCCCTAATCCCTAGACTCCCTTAGCCCTTACATAACTTATTCAAAACTGCCTTTAACCCGATCCTCTTTTTTTGAAGCCAAGCCTAAACCCTAAACCCTAAATCGAAACAAATCGAAACCCTCAATGCCCTTTAAACCCTAAACCCTAAATGCCCTAAACCCTTCAAAAACCCCTAAGCCAAGGAAGGGCCGTGCTGCGGCCTCGGTGGCCGTGGCCGCCGGCTCCTTCAGCGATCCCGGGAGCTGCCAGGGGCTCGCAGCCCGGCGCTCGCACGGTTTAAGATAGCGATAATAATACTATAGGGCCGTATAGGGGCGTAATTAATCACCTATAATTACTATTCCTAAGGGTGCCTTTAAAGGGGTCTATCAGGGCTACTGTACGGGCTATGACAAGGATTTAGTATATGAGTCTAAATAATTACCAATACTATTTTGGGGGCTCCTTGTTATAACTATGGTATAATGGGCCCCACAACCCTGTTCTAATTATCAAGACCTTGCAATAATACTACCAATAATAAGTATAGTTGTACTAAGTTATAATAACAGTAATAATCGTAACAATCGTAATAATGGTAATCGCAATAATCATCGTAATGCTAGCAATAATCGTAAGAAGCCGAGTGATATTAGCAACATTCATTGTCATCAGCAGCCGCATGCAAAGAGTACTGGCTCATGCTAGCCATTGTTTTGTTATACATCACCTACTCCTCCTGCTCAGCTGCTGCCGACACTGCCACGGCTATTGTTATTGTTGCTATGAGTTCTTGTATCTCAGCAATAGTATAGTTTTGCTAGTCGTAACGGCAACAACTATGGTTCTGATATCTTATGCCTATGATTACGATGTTTGTTGAAGGACAAACCGGTGTCGCATTTCTCCGCCTTTTCTAGGCCGGCCTCGTCCAGGAGCTCTCAGTATGATGCCTTCCTCAGTTGCTCCAGATTCTCAAAGACTGTCTCGTGCTTAGTAAGGAATGGGGGAATGGAGCCCTATAGTAGCCCCTTTATATAATCCCCAATAATACTCCCCAACATCCTTTCCCTACCAAGAGCCAGACAGAAGAATGGGATGCTGGGCTGATGATGAGGAATGCGTAGGACCCAGACTTTATGTAGCTGGAACCCGAGGATTTAGGATTCGGTATACCTGGCATCAGCACGCCCCGAAGCCGCATTCTGACGAACGTGTACGGTGCCCGGTTGAACTCGAAAACTCCCGCTTGATTCGGTTCCTTCGGCGGCTGTGGACATGGTGTCATAATATACTATAACATATAATAGTATACTACATATAATATGTACTATGATATACTACTAATGGTTCTGGTAGTTCCTGTGCAAATCTTCAACACCAGAACCCTGGGTCCTCAACCCTTCACTTATCGCAGTCTGGAAGTCAAGGCACACTACCTCGAACACATGCTCTTCATGGGGAGTTCGAAGTACCCAGGCCGGCGACTTCTCGCTCATAAGTGGCTCTCCAAGGGCGACTCTCACAAGTTTAAAGGGCTATACGCGAGACCTAATCTTTAGACCTTCGGGTCTTGGGTTACCCATTCCGTGCTGCTAACGTGGATGAGGTCCGAGCCGAATGCGAGTGCAGGGCGGCTACGGCTTAGGGGGGATGTGGGCAAGTAGTTCATTGGGTTTCGGGCTTGAAGGGGTTATTATGGGTTTAGGGTTTAGGGGTGTAGGGTTTAGCGTTTAGGGTTGAATAGGTATCGTTTTGGCATTGATTGGTGCTTTCGCACTTTGCTGGTGGACAGCCTCATCGACTCCACGAAGTCAGTGATTGAAATAAACCCCACAAGGTGCCCTACAGCCCTGCGTAGGTGAAGATGAGATGGAGTCGTTCCTGGCAAAGAACGGCGGCTCCAGCAATGCCTTCACGGACTGCGGGGCTCTGAGTGCTAAGGGGAGGGGTTTAGGGTTTAGGGTTTAGGGTTTAGGGTTTGGCGAGCTTCCAAGTTTCTAAGCCATTTACAGGTGGGTAGTTATTAGGTAGGTAGTTTCCCATAAGCCTCCCATGCCACTCCTATAAGGTAAAGGGGGTCTTATGGGAGTACTATGGAAGAAGAACTACCCACCTGTAAGGGGCTTCTAAAGTTTCAATAACGCGTTCCACTGTAAGCGTCAGTAGATTTTTTTAAAGCTGAATAATGGTTCAAAGTAACGGAATAGTTTTTTTATAGCACCACCGTGGGTTCTTGCTTTGCTGATGCATGCAGGCTACCGCCTGTTGACTGCAGCCTCAGAGTTTCATTTCTCAGCCGTCAAAGCTCTGAAAACTAAAGCCTTCGCCCAAAATTTAGGCCTAAACTTGGAACCCGACGCCAAAAGCTCAATACCCACAAATCCGGACAGCTTCGGAGCAGCTTGTTTTTGTTCAGTGCTTCGGCCACCTTTTGCCGAGGTGAGCATACGTGCTACTACTTCGACGTGAATAAGACGGAGCTGCATACTGCTGTCGACATGCTGGCTCAGCTACTTCTCCAGCACATGGATCATGGCTTTGTCCTGGGTTCGGTGCCATCTAGCAGTCATCACGCTGTAACCAAGCTACTGTCATTCTTGATCTTCTGATCCGTATAAATGTAAAAACAGTTCAGCGTCACTCCTTAAACTCCATCGCCTCAAGCAAGGGTCCAAAAGCTTGGCCAAAACACGGTGTAGGGCTTGGGGCTGAAGGCTTAAAAAGGGTTCTACATTGCTTGAAGGTCATTGGCATTTTTGAGAAGAGTCATAAATGCCCTGAGTAGGCCAACTTGCTAAGTCCATTGATCCATTGTGTAAATACTCCTTTCTAGTCGCTCCTGTAGAACTAAACTAGAGTACCAGGTACCCCGAAGCAGTCTTCTAACAAACCCCTAGTCCCTAAACCCTTAAACCCTAAACCCTAAACCCTAAACCCTAAACCAAAAAGGTCAGACTTCCAAATTATAGCTGCAGGGAAGCATCTCAGATCCCAGGTTCTTCATCGCACCCTTGCTGAAGACAGACTCTGCTGAGCGAGAGCTCAACGCACCATGGCACGATTCAGAGTTTGAGAGCTTTGAGTGTTCGGTTTTTGGGGGCATTTTGGGCTGAGGTCTCTCGTTTTCGGCTAAGTTTAGGGTATTGGTGGGTGGACTGTCGTCTGAGTTTAGTCGTGTTGGCGCAGGGCGATGGTGTTATATCATGCATAAAGCTTGCCAGACAGTCACGGTGAGCTGAGCTCACAGAAGTGAGACCGTTCCTTCCCCTTTCCTGCAATTCGGGTTCTGGCATTCATGATGCAATCTTACGAACTTGCAACTCCCGGTCTTAAACTATCTCAAGCGCGAGGCCAAAATCCCTAAATTCAGCACAGTAGAGTCCGATATTTCGGGCTTCGGCTTCGTGAACTGGCGACTAAGCGGACCTCCCAAAGGTTGTGTAGTGGCCGATGATAGTGACCGTAGGGTTTAGGGTCTATAGGGCTGGGTAGACTGCCATGTTGTTCAGGGTGTATGTGGGCTACATGAACAAGATGTCGCGGTGTATGGATGGGTTGTCTTGCTGGGGATTCTCCCCGACGAAGCCCTGGTGAGTCCTCAGGGCCCCTGCGGCCTCGCCGCGGGCATATTATGCAGACATGCTGAATACACTTCAGGGTCACAGGCTGTATCAATCCACAGACTCCAAACCCTGGACCCCACACCCATCCCGAAAACTCCAAGCCCCAAACTTAAGAAGCTGAGCCCCTGTTTGTAACACCCTATATCCTAAACCCTAAACCCTAAACCCTGAACCCTGAACCCTAAACCCTAAACCCTAAACCCTACACCCTAAACCCTAAACCCTAAACCCTAAACACCCTATATCCAAGACCCAAAACCCAAGGACCAAAACCCCCTGAACCCTGCCTGTCAAACCCCCTGAGACCCCAGCAACACTCTTCGTCGCCATACCCTAGGGTTTAGGGTTTAGGGTTTAGGGTTTAGGGTTTAGGGTTTGGGGTTTAGGGTTTAGGGTTTAGGGTTTAGGGTTTAGGTATCTTTCCTCTCCGTTGTGGTTCCTCTTTCGGGTTGCCATAAACTAGCTGTTTTACCCACAATGGAGATTGAAGGTAGAGGATCATGGGACTTAGTAACTAAGGTTACAAGTACCTTGATTGGGGTTATAAGTAGCTATAAGTACAGTTACCTTATTTATAACCCCACTTACTAAGTCCCATGATCCTCCAAGTATAGAAGCACCCGAGGCGATCGAGTCCGAGTTCCGCCTCACCCAGAATGCGGATGACTCCCGTGTCGAGGCACTCTACTCCGTCTTCGCCGCTCGCCCTGGAATTGGAAGGCTTAGGGATGAGGATTTAGGGTTTAGGGGTTTAGGGGTTTTGGGGTTTAGGGTCTAGGGTCTAGGGTTCAGGGTTCAGGGGGTGCAGGGTTGGGGTTGCATGGGTTTAGGGTTTAGGATTGCGGGGTTCAGGGTTTAGAGTGTTTAGGGTCTGCACTCGTGTACAGAGGCTCAGATGACTGAGGAAGAGTTCCAAGCACATCACTGTTATATATACATATATATATATATATATGTATATGTATATATAACTACATGCAAAGAAGCCTATATGCCGAACTCCCTGCAAAACCTGAACCTGCAAGTAAGTCCCGTGATCCTTGAACTAAGTTGCTTGTAAGCTCCGTAGCCGTAAAATCCGGGGCCCTCGAGCCTAAAATCCTCTCAGCACCCAGCTTCCTCAGCCCAAATCCCCTAAACCCTAAACCGGTTTAGGGTTTAGGGTTTGGGGTTTAGGGTTGAGGGGCGAGGGTCAAATCCCTGAACTCCTCAATCAACGTCGGTCAACAAGAACTCCTCAGCTGCGAACTTCCATGCTGCTTGAACCCGAAATCCTAAACTGCCCTGAACCCTTAACCCTACAACCTGTACTTGCAAAAGGCCGGTTAAAGCCAAGTCACAAGTCAGTCAGCTCAATTCTCTTCATTGGGAGCATTATATAACCGGCGATCCTGACACCAAATGGCCGGATCCCTTTTGTAAGGAGCACCAAAATCGGGGCCCCAGTGTGTAGAACCCCCCACCTAAATCCCTAAACCTAAACCCTAAACCCCTATGGCCAAAAGTGCCTGCCCAATCGGGCTGTGACGGCTAGAGACGAGTGCGGTCGCAAAAAGGCCCTCAAACAAAAAAGAACCCTAAACCCTAAACCCCCCTGACTCCCCCCCGAATCTCATTTGGAGGCGAAGGAGCGGCATCCTTTCCGCAACTTTGGCTGGGGCAACTTACGGAGTCTCAAGGAGGGGGGCCTCTGAGTTTCAGGGTTGAGAGTTTGGGGGTATAGGGTTTAGGGTTTAGGGTCTAGGGTTCAGGGTTTGGGGGTTTAGGGTTTATGGTTTCGGTTTGAGGTTTAGGGTTTCTGGTTTCGGCACAGGGTTTAGGGTTTTGGGGGTTTAGGGTTTAGGGTTAGGGTTAGGGTTTAGGGTTGAGGGGATTCAAGCCGAGGTTGGGAGAGACGGATCAAGGCTTTAGGGTTTCAGGTCTTGAGCTCGCTTTTTGCCGTAAGGCTCTTCGACAACGATTGGAAAGGCCTTTGGTTCAAAGGGGCTTCTGCTTAAAGGCGGACGCCGAAGCTTTAGAGCTGCGGTTTCCAGCCGAACTCAAGACCCTTAGGGTTTAGGGTTTTGGGTTTTGGATTTAGGGTCTAGGGTTTAGGTTTAGGGTTACCCTATAAACCTCACAGGAGGAGCCGGCACAGAAAGGGGTTGACATCAACGAGGAGTTGCGCAAGTTCTTTCTGGAACACTACCAGGCATGGGCCGTCCCGCTTTACGCTGCAAACCCTCACCTGCACCGAGAGCCCGAGCCCAACCCTCGAAAAACTCGGATTAGCCTAATGTAGGGCCCTGAATAATTAGACTGGGGTTTGGAGGGTATATCATACGATAATCATAATAATCAACCCCCAATACCCTATTCTGATTATTAAGACCGTTACATTGTAGTACCGACTGTTTCGGCCCTTACATTGACTAAGCCTGAAACCACCCTAAACCCTAAACCCCTAAACCCTAAACCCACCCCCTGGAAGGCGCCCCAACTCCGCTTGTGTGTCTACGGGGTGGAGTCCCTGGACGACTTGGAGAGTCTTGGCTGAAGGGCTCCTTGTAAATGGGTCTATATAAGGGCTACTAGGTGCCGGATTTTTTTTGGTACCCCCAAAATAAGGGGCAACAATTTCGTCAACCACCCATATGGGATCTATAAGGGGGCTATAACAGGGGGGGTCTTAATAATCACCTGTATTTTTTTGACAGGGTCAACAGTGTGTGGCTTAGGGCTTCGGGCTTAGGATTCATGGTTATTTGAATGTTGAGGGCTTTGGGGTTTCGGGGTTGGGCTTTCCGGGCTTGATTAGGGTTGAGGACCGAGTTTAGTTTCCCTTAACCTGCCGTAACCTCGTTGTCGTGGAATCTCGGCAGTTCGATACGGGGTCATGCTGAGCCGCTAGGACCGTAGTATAGGGGTCTAAATAATTGCCAACACCATTTTCGGGCTCCTTATTAATTATGACAAAACCTATACCCAAACTATGAAAGGCCCGTAGACTGTCTTTCCAAAAGTATCTTTTGCTAGGATAAAATCCTAAACTCACTCCTCGGCTTGTATGGTTCTGCGACATCAATCCAATGCAACAATGCAAGGAAGTCCATGGATTTCTAGGCTTCCGTAGCTTGGAGGTTTCAGGGCCTGGTTCTGCAGGGTTCAGGGTTTCGGACCGGCTCTTGGTTAGGGTTTAGGGTTTAGGGGTTTAGGGTTTCGGGGTTTAGGGTTTAGGGGTTTAGGGTTTAGGGTTTAGGGTTACAGGGTTTGGGGTTACAGGGTTTGGGGTTTAGGGTTTAGGACCCGTTGAAGGCGCGCCGAAGGTTCGCGAGATGATTTCTTTGCACTCCCGGTGGTTGAGGGCTAAACAGTAAACGTGTTCAGGTACCAAGGCGGTGTTGCTGCGCTCAACAAACGCAATGATAGTCATAGTGGGCAAAGTCAGAGCTTTAGGAAAATGGGGATCCAAATTAGACCCGAGCCCGCGATGATGGTTTCTTCGCACTTGGCCGTCAAGGGATCCGAGATGTTCTTCCAAGGAGCAGGTGGATCAAGCCGCAGAGCCAACCCACCCCAATCCCATCCAAGCCCCAACCCCTGAAACCGCAAGCCTCGCAACCTAAACCCTAAAGCCCAGAAGAAAACCCCAACCCCTCAGAAGTCGGGCACCCGGGACTTCAGACTCGGACTCCTTTTCTCTGCCTCACTGCTGCGAAAGAATATGTCGATCACGGTGGAAGTTGGCCTGCTCAGTGGCAGGACAGCTACCATCCAGGCAGACTTGCATGAAGAGGTGGAAGCATTGAGACTGCGTGCCCAGGTCGCTCTCGGAGTCGGAAGAGGGCGGCTGGTGGACTCATCTGGAGGCGTTCTGGATGCGTCTGCACCGATCTGTAACACCAGCCTGCAGAACGGTGATTCACTTACCTTGCACATAAAGCGTGCTCGAGCATGTGGCACCGGTGGCGCTTTTGCAGCCGTTCTTGGCGACGGATCCGTCATGACCTGGGGTGAACCCGTAAACGGTGGCGACAGTAGTGCTGTGCAGGATCAGCTGAAGAATGTGCAGCACATCCAATCATCCGCTTATGGCTTTGCAGCCATTGTTGGGGATGGATCCGTTGTAGCGTGGGGTGATACCCACAGTGGCGGTGACAGCAGCGCTGTGCAGGATCAGCTGCAGAATGTGCAACAGATACAGGCCCGTGGCTTTGCGTTCGCGGCCATTCGTGGTGATGGATGTGTCGTAACGTGGGGTTATGCTGACGATGGCGGGGACAGTAGCGCCGTTCAGGACCAGCTGACCAACGTGCAACAGATCCAAGCCTCTGCGAGCGCTTTCGCTGCTCTTCGAAGCGATGGATCCGTTGTAACCTGGGGTAGTTCCGGCTATGGTGGTGACAGTAGCGCTGTGCAGGATCAGCTGCAAAATGTGCAGCAGATTCAAGCTTCTCAAAGGGCTTTTGCCGCCATTCTTTCAAACGCATCTGTCGTGACCTGGGGGGATCGTCGCTGTGGCGGAGACAGTAGTGCGGTACAGGATCAGCTGCAAAATGTGCGGCATATTCAAGCCTGTTGCAGAGCCTTTGCTGCCATTCGTGACGATGGATCAGTCGTCAGCTGGGGTGATTCTCGCATGGGTGGTGACAGCAGTGCTGTTCAAGATCAACTGAAGAATGTGCGGCAGATCCAAGCTTCTTCATGGGCGTTTGCTGCCATTCTGGGCGATCATTCTGTTGCAACCTGGGGTGATTTTCGCATGGGTGGTGACAGCAGTGTAGTCCGAGATCAGCTGAGGGACGTGCAACAGGTCCAGGCCACTGTGAGTGCTTTCGCTGCTGTCCGTGGCGACGGATCTGTTGTGACCTGGGGTGATAGTCACGATGGTGGCGACAGTAGTTCTGTACAGGATCAGCTGCAAAATGTGCAGCAGATCCAAGCTTCTGAGAGGGCTTTTGCTGCCATTTGTGGTGATGGATCTGTCGTCAGCTGGGGTGACGCCGGCTATGGCGGTGACAGTGGTGCTGTGCAGGCGCAGCTGATCAATGTGCAGCAGATCCAAGCAAATTTTTCCGCTTTTGCTGCCATTCTGGATGATGGATCTGTCGTGGCCTGGGGTGATTCTCAAGCAGGTGGTGACTGTAGCGTTGTACAGGATCAACTAGATCAGATGTAACAGATCCGCTTCTCCTTGTTTGTTGTGCCAGGACGCAAGGCGCACCGGCACCGATAGGAACGGAAGGAGCATCGTCGCAACTTGCGCAAGCCCTCCTGACTCCTTCACGTTTGCGACCTGAAGCTTTACACCCTAAACGGTAAACCTTGAACCCTGCGCCCTGTTCACCGCCACCGAGGACTCTTGTGGTCACGTCCTTCTCGGTACTGCCTTGCGGCAGCGCGCCGCAGCGAGCGGAAAGGGGCCTTCCTTTCGAGGCATAAGCGTCGTAACACCCTTCCGTGGCGCGCGTGGCCTGCCTATGATTACAATCCTGATGATGTCGAGGACGACTACGGTGATGATGATGTTGATGAAGATGATAAAGACGGTCGTGGTATCAATGGTGATGTTGAGGTGAGGATGACGGTGATGAGCATGATGATGACGTCGACTGTGTTAGTGACCGCGATGGTTTGGTGATGGTCATGGGGATGATGATGATGATGATGATGATGATGATGATGATGAAGGGTGAAGAATGATGACGCTAACGGGTGGTGCTAATGCTGATGTTGTTATTGCTGATGATGAGGATGATGATGAGGAGGAGGCGGAGGATCTTGGCGGCAAGCGGGTGATGACGAAGTTGATACGGAAAGCAGAATATGGTGACAACAGTGACGATGTGGCAACGCAAGGATGCAGGCGCTAATGTGCATGATAAGGGTGATGATGGCAGTTACAGTGAGAGGGAGACGATGAGGATCCGTGTTTGTTGTTGGTGTGGCTGGTGGTTGTGATTGTGAACACATGAAGATCACAAGGGAGATGTCGATTATGAAGACTATGGTGGAAATTAGGGTGGTCGTGTCGACATGTTCGCGAGGAGGAGGAGGAGAGCAAGGGCCAGGTAGTGAAGTTTGTGATGGGGACGGCGACGCTGCAGGTGATGGCTTTAACCATGGATGACGGTGGCGGCGATCGCCGTGAGGGTTTGGCGACAATGTCGAGCTTGATACCCGGGTTGAGGTTGTAAACTGATGATGGTTGTGACAATGACGGCGGTTATCGTGATCTTCATAGTGGCGGTGGCATGATGTTGGTGATGTTGCCCACCAAGGACAGGACGATCATGATGCAAGGTTTATCAGTCGGTGATGCTGAAATAGAAGATGTTGATGGTTACGGCGCCTGTACGCGCCTATGCGTTTTTAGCATTTTCAGAATGAGGCGTTTTGCATGGATGCGCGCGAAAGCACAGCGAGAGCGCAATCTCACAGAAAATTATGGTTCAGGCAGGTGCGCGAAACACTAGAGGCTGAAGCAAACTTTGGGCCTAACTGTGTTTTCGCTTGGGTTTTAAGCTCATTTTTGAAGAGGCGGCAGAACAAAAATTGTTTTAGAGAGAGTTTGTTTAAAGTGTTGACTTGTCTTAGGTTAGAGTTAGGGTTAAGGATTGGGTTTGTGTTTGGTTGTACAAACAGGCGAAAACGCTGCACATACCAGTGTTTTGGGCATGGGCGCAAAATGAATGATGTTCTTATCCCCCCCCCCCCCCCCCCCCCCCATCCCCCCCCCACCCCCCACCCCCTCTTCCACCCCCTCACCCCAATACCCTGAAACCTGCAAAAACGCATAGGCGCGTACAGGCGCCGTCACCATGTTGATGGTGGTGTGGGCGAAGGTGTTGCTAAAGATGATGGCGAGGATGACTGAGGAGGACCCTGACAATCACATGCCCAACATGCTCGCATGCTGTCCAGTTGTCGGACGTTGCCGCCAGCCGACCCCGGAACACCCAACAAACAAGCAGCGGGAAGCCTTCAGCATTCTTCTCTTGCAGAAACCCTTCAAAGTTGTTGCAGAGCTACACCGAGATATCTAAACATCACACACTGAAGTTTCGATGCCGCAGACACCCACACCGGGGACAGAAGACCAATTATCAGCAACAGCAGCATCACCATCCGCATAATATCACCACCCATTATCTTCATTGATTCATCATCGCTATCATCGTCATTGCAACCATAATGCTCATCATCATGATCATCATTATCCTCACCATCATCTGTATCATCACGCCTGCCATCACTTCTAGACCGAACCAACTGTAGCCAAATGAAGTACGTACCCCTAATCTCAGGAAGCCAGTATACAGCTTTTCGGCTAGAAGCCTGCATAAAGAAAGTCTTAATATTGACACCTGAAGAACATGAAAATACTATTCCTCAGGCCTCCATGCTACAACTATACTAGAATATGTACCAATAGCCTATCCTGCTTATCGAAGGGCCCCTCTTCTATCAAGCCTCTTATTCTTGTAAAGTGAGCAGGTGCAGTGCTTGCCACTGCTGCTGCGGGTGCGCCCCGTGCAGGACGATTGGAGTTCCCCTCCGTCGGGGCTTTGCTTGGGATTGGATTTTCTTTGCGGTTGGGGTATAGGATTAAGAGGTGTTGACAGAGTCTTGTACGGTTTTCGCAGGGATTCATATAGTGAGGTTTCTCTAGATTCGGGGCACTTGTTTCAGCTCGATCATCAAGTTGCTATTTAGGCCTTCGAGTGCTTTCCGGGGACTCCAGAGGCCCCAGCGAACTCGCAAAGTTTAGGGTTTAGGGGTTTAGGGGTTTAGGGTTTTGGGGTTTAGGGTTTAGGGTTTAGGGTTTAGGAGGGTTGTCTTGACTGTGACGTCCAGTCTTGACTGGCTTCGTGGTGGGATGATACCAGAGGTTCGCCCTGCCTTAGACGAACAGCGCGAATCCCCGGACAGCAGGCCTTTAGCACAAACCCTACACTACACCCTAAACTCTAAGCCTTATATAAACCCTAAACCCTAAGCCCTAAAACCTAAACCCTAAACCCTGTGCCCTAAAACCTAAACCCTAAACTCTAAGCCCTAAACCCTACACCCTAAACTCTAAGCACTAAACCCTAAACCCTAAGCCTGAATCCCCGGACTTCAGGACACGCACAAGCTTTGCATCGCCTGGCAGCTGCCCCGCACGCAGCATCTGTACTTGTCCAAGCCACTGCTCCTCGCCCACCAGGGTTTAGGGTTTAGGGTTTAAGGGTTTAGGGGTTTAGGGTTTAGGGTTTAGGGTTTAAGGGTTTAGGGGTTTAGGGTTTAGGGTTTTAGGGGTTTAGGGTTTTAGGGTTTAGGGGTTTAGGGCTTAGGGGTGCTATATGGGTCTTGGAAGGGTAGGGTTCGTCAGGCTTTCATAGGACGAGTCTCGCAAGGTCTTCACTCAGGGATAGGGTTTAGGCTTTAGGGTTTAGGGTTTATGCTGTAGGGCTCTATTCTGGGGGGCTTCATAAGGGTTTTGAACCGTAACACCCTAAACCATATGAAGCAGAGTGAAACCCTATGGCGGTCTCGTCTCAAATAACCTTCTACAACTAAGCAAAATCCGTCAAACTTCACCGGGAGAATTCCCTTAAATCAGAAACTGCGCAATCAGAGCAACTAAGCAGAACCCTCTTCACACCGCGGGAGGAATCGCCCTAAACCCTAAACTTAGGGGCCCCAAAAGCACATAAGCATAAGCATTTTATAGGGATATCCCTACCTTAATGGGCTTCATTATAAGGGGCTCTATATGGGATATCCCTATCCTAATTTTTGCTTATGTGCTTTTTGGGGCCCTATAAACCCCAAAAGCCCCCACAAACAGCCCTAAACCCCAAACCCCTAAACCCTAAACCCTAAACCCCAAACCCTAAACCTTAAACCCCAAACCCTAAACCCTAAACCCCAAAAGCCCCGCAAGCAGAGGAACTACGTGGCGCATTTGACCGGTCATGAGGGCGCGGGCTCGCTTCAAGCGTGGTTGAAGAGTCAAGGCAGCTCGGATGGGTCGGAAGGAGCTTGTGGTTTAGGGTTTAGGGGTCCAGGGGTTAGGGGTTATAGGGTTTAGGATATAGGGGTTTAGGGTTTAGGGTTTAGGCTAGGGTTAAGGGAATTACTGTGGTTTTGTTTAGAGAGATCCGATACTAGAACATACCGCCTACTCTCTTCTAATGATTGTCATGTTTAAAGCCCGGGAATACGGTCATACGGAGGGGTAGGGGTTTAGGCTTCTTCGGCCGGGGCCTTAGGGGTTTGAGGGTATGAGTTCTTCTGGAGGTGTGATGTTGTATCGGAGTTGTGGGTTGAAGTGTCTGGGATTTCGGGTGTATGGGGTTCGGGGATCGAAGATCCGGGGCCGGGGTACATACGCATTCATGTCAGGGTCATCAAGGGCTAGCTTGTAGTGGCTGTCAAGTCGCGAATTGCGAGGAAAGGTTTAGGGTTTAGGGTTTCCGTCAAATTCGAGAAGGTGCGGGGATCAACAGTGGCAACAGACGCATATTCACAACGCTATCAGCATTAACTGCAAAGCCCCGTGCCAAATAATACAGAGTGGAATGCCCATGGGCACCCATACTTAATATAGGGGCCTCAATAATTACCTGTACTATTTTGGGGCTCCGGACTACATTTATAGTATAATGGGCCCCCAAAACCCTATTCCTTTCAACCAATTCTTGCGTGTTGTTTGGGATGCGCATTCTGCCGGAGAACCAGGAGGTGCGTAGAGGACTTTTTCTTGAACCTACATCGAAAGGGATGTGGATGTGTCACACGGCACCGTCGGATATGTTCACATGCAAGTGTTTGCCTATTGTACAGTAAGTATTAACCCCCTACATTCTAGTACTCTACTATAGATCCCTTTAATAAACCCATTACAGAGAACCCTATTGATTTCCATTTCTGAAGAATTAGGACCCCCTCCCCACGTTCATGCCTGCCTTGGACCTGTCATGCCTAGAGCACCCCCTCAAGTCCGGGTCGCTCAGCTTGTACTATAGGGGACTAAGTAATTACCAATACTAGTTTGGGGGTTCCTTACTATAATAAGTATATATATATATATATATATATAGTATAATAATGGGTCCCAAAACCTTATTCTAATTATTCAGGCCCCTATAGTAATTCCCAGCCCGAAACTCTGACAAGTGCTGGATCCAAAGTCTAAGCCCAAATAAAACTTACAAACACGAAGCCTCCGCACCACAAGCCCGAACGTCCACACCCCTAAGCCCTAAACCATCCTGACATCTTCAAACCCGAAGTCCACACTGCGAACGCGCAACTCTAACCGACGGCGCGAGACTCAAATAAACACCCTGTCCCTAAATAGCGCGAGCCTTATGATGCGGACTCTTCAGAAGCCCTTGTAGTCCCTTTATCATCATGCGCGAATGTCTCCCAAAGCCTCTTCTCAAGGCCCCTATACTAAGACCCTATAAGACCCAGGACCCTTTCAATAATTAAGCCTTATAGTAACCGTATTCTAAATAGGAGGGCCCCTGTAAACCCGAAGTAAATCCCGCAGATGAGCCCTACACCCCGAACTTGAGAACCCTAAGCCCTCAGCCTTAAACCCTTAACTCCTATCCTAAATTACCCAAACCCTAAACTCCCAAACTCCACTACCCTTGCAGACGCCTTCAGGCCTGGCGACGGAGGTCGATGCTGGTGTGAGCGACGAGGACGACTGGAACTCCAATGCCATGTGCCTGGCCTCTTATGGGCTAGGGTTCAGGATTTAGGGTTTAGGGTTTAGGGTTTAGGCTTCAGGTTTTTTTTTTTTTTTTTGGCTTCAGGGTTTAGGGTTTAGGGTGCAGGTTTCAGGCCTTCAGGGTGTTTAGGGCCTAGGGTCGACTCTTGGGGGTGTTCGGTTGCTATAAAGGGATTGCTGCATTGCTATTTTGAATCCTAGATGGGTTCTTGAATCTCAAGGCTCTACAATGGTCACCATGGTCTGGGTTAGTGTGAGAGTCCTACAAGGCTCATCGGAGTTCTACAAGGGTTACTATATGAGTATAGGGACTACTGCAGGCAGGATGGCTAGTGGGGTTACTAGAACGGTTTGGGGTGTGGGACATTGCATAGGGTGGAGGCCTCAAGGTTTCAAGTTTTAGGGTTCTAGATCTTCGTGTTTAGGATTCTGGGCCTAGGGTGTATGATTCAGGGTTTAGGTGGTATATTCTGGTACGAGCATAAACATATGCTAATGCATATATATATATATATATACATATATATATATATATATAATATATGTATGTATTCGGATACACGACCTTTCGGGGACATGCATACTACTCGCAATAAGGTCTGGGGTTCAATGGGTTGGGGTAATTGAGGCCTTTGGGTTTGGATTTCAAGGTTTATGGCTTCGGGGTCTTTAGCCTAGGGCTTCTGGCTTCGGCTTGTTCTCGCTCCGGGGTCTAGGATCCAGGGACCAAACTCCGAGACAGCTTGTAGCAGGGCTTCTATGCAGGAAGGTCTGTATGAACAATTGCGGTGCCCACACGAATGCAGCAACATGATTTGAGGTATGCGTTCATGAAGACGAAAATGTATCAAGGAAGTAGTGGGACAAGTGTACACAGTCATATGCTTAAGCGCGTATCTATACACTGTACACATGCAAGCATAAGAACGAGTACTGCCTAATGCATCAACTAAACTTCCGCAACTTATAAAAGGCTATAAGGATCCCTCTGTAGTTAAAGTTTTCCCTTAAATCAAACCTGATGGCGCCCCCGAGCTCTTTGACAAGACTAAACCCTAAACCCTAAACTGAGGTGCAGCATGTTTAGCATCGGCCTCACCCTTACGGAGAGGGGCCTCTGCCAGTGGCCGGAGGTCGGCGAGTCCCTAACCACAGTCCAAAGGACCATTGGGGATTGATTAATTGGAATAGCATTTTGGGGTATATTTCAACCATAATGATTATATAGAACCCCAAAATAGTATGGAGCATTCATTGTACAAGTTCAAGCATACCAAAAAGTAGGTACTTGGGTTTAGAGTTTAGGATAGCAACTATGGCAACAATGTAGACGAGCAGCAAAACGTAGTAATGTAGTTTAGTATCTTCATTTCAGGACTTAGGATGGTAAGTAGCAGTAGCGTAGGGTAATAATTGGGAGAGTATTATATATATATATACACATACATATACATACAATTTCTCTATGCCTTTGTTCATGCATCTACAATTTTCTTTGTTTGTTCATTCGTTTATTAGAAACTTGCACCTTTACGGCGAAGTACCGAGCTCCATAGGCTTTGTGTTTTGTAAGGCAGCAGCAATGACAACCCTGGGGTGAAGGGTTCAGTAACCCTGAACCTTGCGCCCTAAACCCTAAACCCCCTAAACCCCAAACCTTAGACCCTAGACCCTAAGCCCCGAAATCCCTTCAGCAGCTGTTTATTTAGTCATGACCCGAGATCTACACTCGGAGATCATCAGCAATATGTGGGCATGAAGGTCTTGTGTTCGAATTTAGGGTTCAAGGTCTTGGAGGGTTTAGGGTTTCAGGTCTTCGGCTTAGGGTTTAGGGCTGAAGGTCTTGTGTTCGTGGTTTAGGGTCTTGGGCTCTTGGGCTTAGTGTTTAGTGATTTCGGATTCCAGCTCTTGGGTGCAGGCAGTTTCTAGAATGAGAAGCTGCGCACAGCTCCTGCTTAGTTTACTAATGTGCCATGAAACTGCACAGATTTTTCTCTGAAAGCCTCAACCCTCTGACCCTGTACCGAGAGAGCGCAGTATCCCTTAAGCTGGATTTTTTCCTCAAGTTCTGGAGGGGTGCATAGTATGATTTACGTAAAGAGTTGTCATGAAACCCTAAACCCTAAACCGTCGGATCTGGGTCGGGGAGGTCGTGCATGCGGTCTTCCTTTACATCTCCATGATGATCCGAGAAGGCGACAGGATTGGTCCGGTTTCACGTTTAGGGTTGTAGGGCATTAGTTAGGACTTTAGGGTTCAGGGCGTTACATTTTACGGTTCTGGGGTTCCGGATGAAGGGATTTCGGGGGCTTTCAGTTTCGGGGGCTTTGGGTTTCCGTGGTCTAGCTTGTGTTTAGGCTACGATTGCTGTTTTTTTTGGGATGTGCTTCACAACATGGGTGGCTCTCTGAATCCTCCTCATAACTCTAACGGTGCCGTACTATGTTGGGGGCCTTTAAGGCACCCTAATGTACGTAGAGAGCTACCCTCACAGCTGCTCGTCGGCTTGTTGTTTGGCCGAAGGGGGCGTTTTGCGCCTTCGGTTTCGGGACTCTAATCCCCTTACATAACTTACCTTCGGTTAGTAGGGCATGGAAGACTGGTAGTAATAGTAGTTATAGTTATACCCCATTCCTCCATTCCCTACTAACCCAAGGTAAGATAAAGCCTGAACCATCATCCTGAACCCTGAACCCTAACCCCAAACCCTGAGTCTGTGACGGCCTGGTATGTAAAACCCTAAACCGCCCCAAGGCCGTAGTTGTTTCAGAATGATTGAAGGCTGGCGAAATCTCTCGTTCGAGATAAAGAACTTCTGGTGGCCTATATAGGTCCTGTGCACTCTCTTGGTATGTCGCTGTCTGGCGCGGAGTGGCTCTTCTCACCACATTGACACCTTATCCAGACTGGCATGCGCATTGGGTTTAAGGTAGAGTGCGGGTATAGGATCGGGAACCCCGCCGTCGGCACCTCCTGCAGATAAAGAACTCTCCTGTGTTATAGTTTCCGGAACTAGCCTATTAAATATATTAGGGATCTAGAGTGAAATATGGTTTCGGTACTATGAAAGCTTAAGTCAAATTCCTAAGAACCCAGTAAGGTACCTCTTCACATCCAGTCATGTCCTTCTGTCGTAGGGGTGCTGGACCCTGGGCAGACAACAGCATCTTGTAAATGCGCGAGCTCCCTATCGGTTCGTTGAGACAAGTTCCATGTGAATGACTGGGGGATGGGGTTCTGTTGATATGGGAGTTTCCGAAAATTCGGGGTACCTTATTTCGGGGTCCTTATATTTAGGGTACCATTTTAGGGTTCCCTATCTTCGGAAACTCCCATATGTTCGGTGAGACAAGTGCCATGTGAATTTCGGCCGCATCCCAACGAACTTGCTGATTTCCGAAAGGCCCGCAGAAGTGGATTCACGACGAATTGGTGCAGGCGCAGGAGCCGCGTGTTCTTCTAAGCAGTCTCGACTCCTCAAGCCAAGCTTTGTAAGGACCATGACCCGATACCTCCGAAGCTTTGTAGTGCTTGCCCAAAACCTGCAACTTTAAATCCCAGCCCACGGCCGCAAGACACGACTACTGCTACTACTAGTATTACTAGTATTACTACTACTACTACTACTACTACTACTACTACTACTACTACTACTACTACTACTACTACTACTACTACTACTACTACTACTACTACTACTACTACTACTACTACTACTACTACTACTACTACTACTACTACTACTACTACTACTACTACTACTACTACTACTACTACTACTACTACTACTACCACTATTTCCATTAGTTTCGGAGGACGTGGGCTGGCGGTTTCTCGATCGGGCCTTAGCTTTCGATCGAGGAGTCAGCTGAGGATATAGGCGTCCTTTTGGAGTCCCAGGGCTTGGGGTTGTTATGGGTTTTAGGGTTTAGGGTTATTAGGGTTGTTATGGGTACAAAGAGCGTTTTAAGGCTTCTGGACTTTTGAGTTCATGAGTTAGGGTTTAGATTTTAGGGTGGTTTTGTTGGCTTCCGCTTGGCCTTTAGGCTTGTGTCGTCTGGTCTCAGTCTCAATGCTTAGGGCCTCAGCGCGAGACAGGGCACATGTCAACGCAACAGGTAGGGCTTTTCGCCCTCATGCCTGACTTGCTAGGCTCACAAGATGTTCCAGGGGTTGTCTCCCAAAAGGTGTTCTTTGTGGTTCTTACTTTGGACTTTCTTCTCTTCAGCATTGACGGAGGGGGGGCAAGTGGGATGTGGAGGTGATGAGGGGCTTGGCAACCGGCAGCGATCAATTCTGTGCGGAGACAACATCTACCGTCGTCTCTTGTGATTTTGTCGGGAGGGTTCCTAAACTAGGACCCAGAGTAGGCCCTTATTCCCTTTTTTAGGGTTCAGGTTCCCTTATAAGCCCCTTTAAACCAAAAAGGGCATCCTTTTTATGCCTGGGTTACTCTTGGGTCTAGTAAACCCTATCAGCGAAAAGGGCTGAATTCGGGGAGATGTGGGTTCAGGGTGGGATTCCGTGGGGTTTAAGCCTGTCACGCCAAAGCTGGAGGGTGTCCAGCAACGAAAATCCATGGCTGGGGTTACTGTTTTGAGGGTCTTGTTGTTAACATAGGGGGCCTTAATAATTAGAGTAGGGTTTTGGGGCCCATTATACTATAAGTATAATCGGGAACCACTGAAAAAGTATAGGTAATAATTAAGGCTTCTACAGTAAGCATATTCGACTTCCCTTTTGAGTTTGCGCTTAGGAAGAGACAGATCCGATGGAGTACGTGCAGAAGCTTGCGTGCCCTAGCTCGACTGGCGCGGAGTTGTGAGTTTCCATCTGGTCTCTGTCAAGCAAGCCGAAACAGTCCTAGGCGCTACGGCTGCAAGAAAGCCTGACCGCAAAGCCCCAACCGTTTCAAACTTCGGGTTTAGGGAAGTTTAGGGGTTTAGGGCATCTAGAGTTTAAGGACGAGGCGACGGACCCAAAGTCTTATGTACGTCTTTTGCTCGCCGAGCCTCAAGTTCAAGCCGTGAGGGAACTGAGGGTTTGCGGTCAGGGTGGTTAGAGTGTTGGGTCTGGGGGTTTATGTTTGGGGGCTTGTGCTACGACTAGAGGTAGGACTCTGTCAGATCTGGCTGGTACTACAGCATTTCATTGATGTCGTCATGGCTGTGATGGCTTGTCGGTGGAGTTTGTGCCCTGGTCATTATCATTGCCGTTTGTCATGGTTCTTTCTTTCAATACCTCAAGCACCAACCCCAAAGCCACCGAACCCTAAGCACAAGAACTGCTTATGTTGCGAAGCTGGCCCGAAAAAACACAAGGTGATACACTGTGGGAGCGTTAGGGCGTTACTGTAGGGAGCCTGCTTGTGAAACCAAGATGTTCATTCACAAAGTTCATAGTAAAGACAACAAATGCTAGTAATACTGATAGTAATAATACTGTCTGAGGTGTCAGATGTTGCCTGACCTGCAAAGACAGCGGGAGCATCTTCTGCCGCCCGGCCCGGAAGGGATTTTTGGGATTGGTTCAAGGAGTTTGTTGAATTTCCGTCATGTTTACGACTAGTCATTTTAAACGCTTCGCGTCGTCCTGTTAATTGGAGGAGATGCGTCTGTTTCCGCGCAAGACGTGCAAATGCGCGACACCTCATCTTCGCCGGCTAGAAGCTGTCTGTCGCTGTTGTGGATATCACTTTTGGATGCTCTTTTCTGAGAACGGATTTGACCATGGACGTCATCATTACGGTTGGTTGAGGTTTGCATGTGCCTTCCATGTTCTATGAGTACTTAAGGGTTGCAGGTCATTGTCTGAATCAAGAACGACGAGGAAGCACGAAACAAAAACATATTTACACGCCCCCCCTCTTCCCCTTCCCCCCGTGCCCCCAGGCCTGTGCGCTGGAGCAATGCGGGGCGTAATAAGTAGGTTATTTGGCAAAGGCTCGTTGATAGCTTTTGATGCAAAGGCCGTTTGCAATCTTTCAAGCCCTAACGCCGAAACACCTAACCGAACCCAACAACCCAACAACCCAACAACCCAACAACCCAACAACCCAACAACCCAACAACCCAACAACCCAACAACCCAACAACCCAACAACCCAACCCTAAACCCCTCAAACCCCAAAACATCTGAGAGTTTCCGGTATTCGGGGTACCTTATCTTGGGATCCTTAAAATAAGGATCCTACTGTTCAGGGTACTATATTGAGGCCCCATATTTCCGGAAACTCCCGTCTGAGGAAGTCGGAGTGGATGCTGTCTCAGTGGGATCCCGATGGCATCTCTGAGCCCCTTGGAGGAATCCAAACCAACGCTTCGAAACTCCCCTACACCTAAGACTAACACCCCAGCAGCCGCTAAACCCCAAAGCCCTAAACTCCCAAACCCCCTCAGCCCTGCACCTTAATCCCTGAACCCTAAGCCTGAAACTGTGCAGCCTTAAGTTCCGTGGCACCCCGAAGCTTCACTCTCAACCCTAAGCTCAAAGCCACCGAAACCCATAAACCCCAAACCCCAGCAGGAAGTTGCTGTCTCCGGTTTTGGTAAACTCCAGCAGGAGGGGTGGTTACCAATGTTGTGGCGCACGCATGCAAATCTTGATGTGTGGAGTTCGATGAATGCTGCCTTGCAAACGTCTCCGCGGCCGTGGCGCATCATAAAAGTAGAAGTAGAGCGTCACCGAGAGTGGCGGACTGCACCAGATGATCATCACGCAGGGCTCTGGTATCACAACCATCAAGCTGATGCTTGCGCCAAGAGCGCCCTGCAGGGTTTCGGTTTTGGGGTGCTTGGAGCACATGCGAAAGCACAGGGGGCTTGGTTCCTTGTGTTCGTCAAGGTGCAGTTTATCAGCTGCAGCTTGGGGTTTCGAATTGTTTTCGCCAGGCCAATAGAGCCTCATGCGTGAGAAAGTCAGCGAGGGTGCCCTGCCGCTACGGTTGCAAGCCCCGGGCGTGGTGCTCTGTGATGTGGGGATTCCGTTCCCCGGCAAAGATTGCGAGCCCGACTGGAGGCATTTCCTGCTGTGCGCGCCCTTGGGCACCTCCTGTACAGGTGGTTTAGTTTGGGATCCCGGGGTTTCTCCTTGCTGGAGATGTACTCCAACGCTTTCACCGACCAGACGGGGCGGGTAGTTCTTCTGAATTTGGCTGGTTGGGTGGATAGTGTGTTAGGCCGGTTGCGTGTAAGGGTGGTAAGGTCAAGTCACTTTGGGCGCATGAAACACAGTACTCGCAGCTTGCCTTGCATCGGCAAGCCTTCACCTGCCAACTTGTAACCTTCGCACACACGGTGCGTTCCGTGCGGAATATTCAGAACATGCCAGCCCTGAGATTTGCAGGTGTTCCCTGTAAAGTTCCAGCAATTATGTTCCGGCCGAAGTTGCCTCATGCGGCGACTAATGTACAGCAGATCCATCGGGATATGTGCGGCAGGGAGTACAATTGTTTTTCAGGACTTGTTATGTGGCTCCCACGACTCCCCTGGCTAGCGAGCTCGAGTTTCCAGACCCACAGCAGGTCTTTGCAATGTCAGTCTAGTCTCCAAGTGGTTGCTTCGAGACTGTCCGAGAGACCGCATGCATAAACCCTAAGCCCCAAACCTTCTTGAAGCCCTGAGCCCTAAATCCTAGTGGAACCCTTGTGGATCCGTTTATGGAGCCCTTAAGTAGAACCCTCAAAGGAACCTAAACCCTCGTAGCGCCCAAGGTTCCTTCGCTTGATGGTTCCTCGCAGCTGCTTCATCGTTCTGCTCTCCAGTGCCTATGGCCGAGCAAAGGGTGCCCAGCAAGAGCCTGGGAAGGCCCACATATATATATATATATATACTTATATACATACATATGTATATACATAATAATATGTATGTAGATGTATTATGATATGAGATTGTTTGAGCATAATGTACTAAACGATGTAACTTGTCATGTTCACTATAGTGTATTAAGACATGTTATGTGATGCTGTTTTGTACTTTGTAGCGCTATGTATTGCTATGATGTGTTCTGCGCGCTTACATCATGTCATACTCGGGTATACTGCACCATACCAGATTATATTGAGCTACATTCTATTCTGCTTCATGGTAATGCATCATATGAAACTGCTTTTTATGATGATGCATCTTCTCACAGCAAAAACATAATCAGTTACATAGATACGTAGCTGGATTCTGTTTAACGCCCTGTTTGGTGTATTAGGAATTCAAACGCGAATCCCCAATCCCCAAATCATGAAGCATGCTTCTGCGGGCAGCTTGGAGATCGTTCGAAGAAGGATTTTCGAAACAACGAGGGCTGACAGACGACCCTCTAGAATTGTTAGAACTATGAACTTCAGGCTAATCGCACTCGCTTACAACGTTGTCCTTATGGGACGAACGCTAGACTGCATTCGCCTCTTCCTTGCCGCATTTTTCGGGCTGCTTTGGTCGAAGCCAAGATAGTTCCGACACGCTGCCACTACTCGGAGCAGTAGAGCTTACAGCAAGAGGGATGAAGTGTCTGGGACAAGAATTTGCAACTCACAGGCGTGCAATGTCGAGACGCCGAGCCTGAGCTGTACTCAGCCCCCCCCCCCCCACCCGTTCCCCCGCCCATTCCCAGCTTCGGGAAGCCAAAGCAACACCGTGGAATGTTCCGCTTTAAAAGCCGCGGCAGGCCTCCGGTGATCAAGAAGCCGAAGGAGAGGAGATGGGCTCGGGTTCACGGTTTGGGGATTGGGGTTGACTGGATGCTTTGGGGTTCAGAGTGTCTCTGCATGCAACATTAGGACAAATCCGTCCCTACTACGCCCCAAACAAAAGGACTTGTGGTAGTTCAGCAAACTGTCCGAAACCGCCGTATGTTGGGCAGTCCATTCAGAAGCCCAGCAAAAGAAAGTTCTGCCGAAAAAACAAAGAACGACACACCCTGAGCAACTTTTGTGAGCGCACTCGAAATCCAAAATCCCAAACCCCCAGTTCCTTCAATCAGTACAGGAGGAGGAGACCTTGGCTGAGGATCCCGAGGTGGCTTGCTGGAGAACCCGGCGTTGAAGTGAGGGTTTAAGGAGTCTGAACACTTGCTACTTAGGTATTGTGCTTGCTACTATACCCCCCCGCGTGCAAACTCGGTTCTAGTTATTGAGGCCCCGGCAGTAGGATGTTTGGGTGTTTCGGGCTGCCTGGGCTTTTCGTGTTTGAAGTGCGCGTGAAGGCCTGGGGATTTAGCCTTTCGGTCCAGGATGCTGTGGTTTTGGGGTGTGGGGTCCACTTGTTTTGGGCTTGCTGCAGGCAGCTGCCGGTGGAGGCTTGAGCGCGAGAGGGGGTTTTGCAGGGTTCAGGGCTTAGGCTGGCCTGGAATGCTCGTGGCATTCACTAACCGTCATTTGTCTACATCAGTCTTTGGAACAGGCCACTCAAAACCCTTAATCCACTTGGGCGTACTTCGTTCGCATGCTGCGCGACAAATTGTGTGATTGCCCGAGGTCTCACCGTGCTTTGCGGTTTTGCAGGGCCTGGGGTTCCAGCCTTAAGGGTTTCGGGCTCAGAGCTTTGGTTTTTGAGGGCTCTGGCTTGTCCGGTTTTGATTTAGGGTTTAGGATTTGTTGTTTTGAGGGCTTGGTTCTGGGTTCGGGCCCTGAAATCCACTTAAAAACCTTGGGCCTTAAGCCTACCTGCCAAGGTGGACCTAACCTCCCAGTCACCGGCAGCAGCCGATCCCCACTTCGATCCTCAGGCGTGGCAGGGGCAATTAGACTCTAAGCAAGTTGCTTCGAAGGTTTGGGGTTTGGGGTTTAAGTTGTGGGTTTAGGGTTTTGAGATTGAATTTTTACAGCGTGGGGTCAGAAGCAGGCCCTAAACCCTAAGCTCTAAACCCTGAACAGCATCACCCGAGTTGAGACTGGGCTCCAAGTAGCTAGGCTGAGATCCGTGATCTTGGCAGGGCAGGGGCTCGACGTAGTCGATGCTTGGCTTCTTCAGGGATTTTACTTCAGGTTACTATGATAAAGACCCAGGGTAAACAATGTAAATATGGTTTCCTGCTTGTTTCAAAGTACCAGGGTAACTTACCTTTAAGTCCTCAACGAGAGCCCAGTGTAGGGTTCATAGCAGCTTCGGGAAGACCGGCTGGGCGTTACATGCGGCTTTTCGTGCTTCCACTGCTTCGGGCTCAGAGTTCGAGGAGAGTACTTGGATGTGGAAGTTTGAGTGCTTCGCTAATTTAGACCAAGATCCGCAAGAGCCCTAACCCAAACCTGGTTTCGGGGTTGGTTTATGGTTTAACCCTAGACCCTACCCAGAGGCCCCATAGTAGTTACTTTTTGGGAGTACCCTAGAGGATTCTATATATGAACCCCAAAAGGAACTACTTTGAGGGTTCTGGATAATTGCTAAAGTTTAGGCGTGTGCACACTGCGCAGGCCCAGACTCCCTCGGTGGAGCCGCACTTCAAAACGGAGTATTGGAAAGCTGGGCCTGAGGAGGTCACTACGGGTCTCGAGCTTTCTTCAGGGGGGTTTCAGGGCTTAGGGTTTTAAGCTTCAGGGTTTCGGGGTGTAGGGATATTCGGCGGGTCTGGTCTAGGGTTTCGGGTTTCAAGGTCTGGGGGAGCCCCACATCCCGAGGTCTGCCAGCAAATGGGTTTAAGCCACAGTCGAGGCGCCCCGTCTGGTTGAGGGCTTGGGGCTCTGGGGTTCGGTTGAGGGTTTAGGGTTTAGTAATTTAGGGTTTAGGGTTCTTTACCCCAATCCAATCACATTGGGAAGATGCCCGGAAAATATATTTTTTGTTGTACGGCCCCTGGTTGCGAACATTTCTTTCAGAGAGGAATGGCGGTGTGGCGTTGGTGATTCGTTTCTTGGCTTGGCTGTAGGCCAATGGGCTCCAGCTTCAACGCAGAATACAGAAACCGGGGTTGAACATTTGAGACCTAGACTCGACCCACATCCTAAACCTCATTGGCTAGCTTCTTTGTGCCCGATGTCCTAGATGAGCACCGTAGCATGTGTGTGTCGCTTGGTTTCGGGCTTGAGGTTTGGACAACCCCAAACCGAGCTGTAGAAGTTCATGCATTGGGTGGGGTTGACCAGGCCCGTTCGAAGCGCAGCAGGTGATTCTGCAGTTTCTATAACCTACCCGCAGTCTCCATTGTAGTTCCTCTGTCCGGTTACCGTTTAGGATCCTCAACATATGGCTGGTTAAACCCTTAAGCTCTAAACCCCAAACCCTACCTGGAGGATCATGGGACTTAGTACGTACAGGTACAGTTATAAGTCGTGTAATTGGGGTTATAAGTAGTTATATGTATGGTGACCTTAATTATAAGCCTAGTTACTAAGTCCCATGATCCTTTAAGTACACCCTTCATCCCATATTTCAGGACCCTTACTAAGTCCCATGATCCTTTAAGTAAACCCTAAGACCCCTCTTATAGAGCCCTTATAGATCCCTTTTTAAACCCTGCACCCTAAACCCTAAACCCTAAACCCTAAACCCTAAACCCTAAACCCTATAAGCCCTAAGCCCTGAGCCGGTCAGGTAAGTCGGTGGATGGGGCTTTGGGAGTCATCTCCTGGGAAGGATAGCCTGGCTGTGCCCGGGATTCCGATGGGGCGGTTTGGGGTTTAGGGGTTTAGGGCTTAGGATTCGGGGTCTGCTGTAGGGTTTAGGGGTTTGGGGGGTAGGGTTTAGGGGTTTAGGTTTTTTGGAAGGGTTCTGCCAGGGTCTGAAAGGGGTCATTTCAGGGAGATCTACAACAAGGCTTCCTTTAAAGGGATCCATGAATCCATAAGGCTTCTTTCGCGGGGGGTTGGAAGAGTTCACGAAGGGTTCCATATGGAGTAAGGCTTTAGGTTCTTAAGGTTTTGGGTTTGGGTCTAGTGTTTTAGTTTTGTGTGGTTGCAGGCTTTCCGTACTTCGCACGTATTATCAGTATGGGACACGGTATAGTTTAGTTGTATTAACTTCTTATTCTGCGTTCGGTTTTTCAATGGGACGAGTGGTGTCATCCGCAGCAATCATAGGTTGGTGCGAGTGATCATGTCCGATTGGTGGTTCGGCCTTCGTACCGCGGTGTACAATTGAACATGGTCGCGGCCAGAAGACGTGTGCATGCGTGTTTCCACAGAGTTTAGGACGCGATGTTCTCTTGCAAGATCTGAATTGCGAACGATAAAGGTCCAATGCCCCAGGTCCCAGCAAACGGTCCCCGTATCCTTTTTTTACTATTATAAGTATTATTATTAGTACTATTAATAATAATAATAATATTATTATTATTATTATTATTACTATTACTTTCTCCATCTCTCCCCAGTTTAACCATCCCCTCAGAATCTATCAGCTCCCAAAACCCAGAACCCCAAAACTTAGGCTCTAAACTCGACGCCCTAAAATTCAACGTGTGCAAACCCGAAACTTGCCCTCAACCCCAAACCCGAAGACTCCACATCCTAAACCTTGGGTACTGCCCCCCACTCAGGAACAGTTGGATAATATTCATAATATAGATACATCAGGACCTTCAAAGTACCCTTATTGTAGACTGTTACTGTATGGGGGCAGTACCCAAGCTACACCTCAATGCCTCCTGACGCCGCAAACTTGGATCACTAAACCCCCGAAGGCCGTCGCACCGAAGTAGACACCCCAATTGGCAGATCCGGCGAGTGACTAAGTGGTTTAGGATTTAGGGTTTAGGATGATTCAGGGTTTAGGGTTTGGGGTTTCGGGCTTAGGGTTTAGGATTTAGGGTTTAGGATGGTTCAGGGTATATTGGGTGTAGGGGCTACTATCTTGGGAACAGTGGTTCAGGGTTTAGGGTTTAGGATGGTTCAGGGTTTACTGGGTGTAGGGGGGCCACTATCTTGGGAACATCCCGAACTACTATTTCGGGCCTTCTTCGACCTCGTCAGACTCGGTAGTTGGCACGAGGCAGACGCCGCAAAGCAGATGCGCCTGCCCGCTCGGTTCTGAGAAGAAGCAAAGCGTACGAGCAGTCGCCGTTTCAGGGTGGTTAGTACCGTTCAGGTCTACCTAGCGGTTGATGGGGCCTCCATAGGTTATACTACGACCTCAGGGGTGTAAAGGACGTTTTGCGGTTTCATAGGCTTGAAAATAAAGGTCGGGGCTTCACACAGGATCTGCAGTATATTGCTGTTGCATTGTCAACATGACTCCCTACCCGACCCGATTGAGTTCTCGAGGCTGTTCGGCTACTCTTCGAGGTCGTTTCTAAACCTGTGGTGGCACATCCTTTCTCAGTGTGGTCACTTTGTGAACCCTGAACCGTACTTGGGGGTGGGGGAGCACGCCATGTCACTCTTTGTTTGGGGTGGGGGCCTCTAGGATCTTTACAGTAGGGGTTTCGGATCTTGACAGTAGGGGTTTCGTTTCAGTGTTCCGAAGAGCACTTCTGCCAGAACCCCAAGCATTCCACCGATGGGCCAACTTCTATGCCAATCTGGCATCATTATGAGCCTTAATTATGATCCATGCTACGAGTTTTATGATCAAGACCCCCCAAACCCTAAACCCTAAACCCTAAACCTGAAGTCTCTTGTTGGGGGACGTTTGGTTTGCACGTGCCGAGGACCGGAATCCCTTCCTGGCGACGAACTTCGAGCTCTGCCCTGCTCCGGCAGAACAGGACGGGTCTCAGCGTATCAAGAACAGCCACCCTAAGGGTCCATGTACCCAAATAGTATATACTTTGGGCGGCCCAATGTACCACTATAGTGACTACATCGGTGGTGGTGACAGCAGCAACAACAACAACAACTCCTACGCCTCATCCTATGCCTGCGCCTGCGCCTATGCCTACTCCTACTTCTACTCCCACGCCTGCTCATGCAACTGGTGCTAGAGCAGCAGCTGCTACCACTGATGCTGCTCCTGCCGCTACCACCACTCTTAGCCCCTGAGCCCGCAACCCTCTGCCGTATAAGCCCAAAAGTTGGAAATCCAATAGCCTCAATCCTTAAGAGTAATGTATCGGGAATCCCAGCACTATGTGGCCTTCATCAACTTTTCAACTTTATGGGGTTTACTATACTGCCACTGCAAACCCTCAGCCCCGAACTTCAAGAGCTGCCACAGAGCCCCGAACCTGAAAACCTCCAGACCCAAAAGCCTTAAAGCCTAAATCCGTAAACCCCACGTGGGAGTTTCCGAAAGCAGCGGACCGCAATATAGTACCCTAAACAGTAGGATCCTTATTTTAAGGACCCCAAAAGACGGCGCCTCTAATTTCGGAAACTGCCACTTTCCTGGCAAGGAGTCCTCCGTGGAGACCTGGCTTTCGGAGCTCGGGGTGGAGAGTCGCTTGGTGTGCAGCCAGTTCTGCTCGTCAGCCCAGCAGCCAGAAATACCTTTTCAGGGTTTCGTAGGGCTTAGGAGTCTAGGAAGGTTGGCATAGGTAAGACCAGTCCTACCAACAGGAACACTTCTAATCGTGGGTCTGGAGCAATTGTGAACGCTGATCGTCAGCTCGACGTGCATTGGGTGGTGATCTCTCAGCGTGATGCTCTCTGTTGATCTGTTTCTCCTGTACGTCACCGACGGTTTCCCAAACCCAAACTCCAGATCCCCGCCTTTTGTTCAAGGTTTTGGGGAGCTTGTCTTCTTTGCATCTTCATAGACATGGCATGCTTCAGTGGACCATGACTCGCCTGAATCACCTGAGTGTCACGAGTCTGCCAATGCTTGAGGGCTTCGGAGCACGGATAATCTGCAGGTTGTTGGCTCACCCTGCCTTGCATGCATGGTGCATGAGTTGACGCGTGGCAGACTAGAATTATTACCAGGAAATAAATGTACCCTCGTAAAGCACAGCAAGAGGAACATCGAATTCCTTGTGTCCAGAATGAGCTATTTATTTGGAAACCTCATGAGCTTTAGTGTTTAGTGTTAGGCGGTCTTGCCAAGAAGTTTACCGTGCAAGATCGGCACGGACGGATCCGATGTTCCCTAAAGCGCGAACACTTCCCCTGGAACCCCCCTGAATATGATAAACCCTAAACCCGAAACCGAAGTGACAGGCATATGGGCGGTCCATGGTCCCTTTCTGGGTCCCTAATATAATACGGCACCTAATATTTAGGGTGCCCCAAAAGGGACCATAATTTTGGCAACCACCCATATCTTTGGTTAACTGGTGATGTAGGTGGTGAACCCCCTCAGCCTGTCCTCCTGAACCACCCCTCAGCCCACCTGGCACTCGAACTCCTAAAACTCCTAACCGGGCATGCGGAAAAGAGGATTCAAAGAACAACCTACGCCCAACATTCCAAGGTGAGTCCTCTCTGAGGAGCATCTATGGCAACTTCCCGAAATTGCCGAGGCATTCTCCGTTTAGGGTTTTGCATATCTAGGTTCCTGAGCAGTGCCACTTGGCCCTTTTTGTTTTTGGGCTCCCTTATTAAAACCGAATAGCAAGAAAAAGTGTACCCTCATTGTAAAGGGGCTGCTTTGGGAAGTACATATTCGGTTTCATACACATAGCAACCAGAATCATGCCGAAAATCGTAGCAAGGATACCACAACAGCAGCAGCAGTACTTTGTGCCGGCACGGGCTATCTCCTCAGCTCTTGTTTTTGGGTGTGTGGGGTGGCGGGTAACCCTAAGCCCGAAACCCTACACCTCCCAAACCCTAAAGATAAGCCCCAAACCCAATTAGCTATAAGCCCAAAACCCTGAAGCCTATAAGCCCAAAACCCTAAAGCCTGTAACCCCTAAACCTTTAAGCCTGTAAGACCAAAACTCTAAACCCTATAACCCCAAAGCCTTTCAGTCTATAAACCCAAAACCTTGAACCCTACAATACACAAACCCTGAAGCCTATGAGCCCGAAACCCTGACCCAAACGGTCAAAACCCTGAACCGTATCAAGCCGATAGTTCCGAAACCCTAAACCCCACAGCCCCTGAAAGCTAAACCTTACAAGCCCAAAACCCGCAACCCAAAAAGCCCAGAACCCTAAGCCCCAAAGAGCCGCCCCTAAACCATGAACCCTATAAGCCCAAGCTCCTGAAACAAACGTAAAGAGCCCGAAGCTCCCAGACCCGAAAAGCTCTGCGGGTGTGCGCGAAACCCTCAACCCTGAACCCTAAAAACCCTAAAAACCCTAAGCCCTGAACCATCCTGAACCCTGAAAACCCGAAACCCAAATCCCCAAACTCTAAACCTTGAGCCCTAAACCCTCAACCCTAAACCCTCAACCCTGAACCCTAAAAACCCTAAACCCGAAACCCTAAACCCGAAACCCTATGCGGGTCAGGCCACCGCAGCGGCCTGTGGCCTTGGGTGCCGGAACGTGGCACTTGCAGGAGACGGCGCGGCGGGCATCGTTGTGTAAGCAATTAGCGTTAAGGGCAGGTAGGGTTCAGGGCTTGATTATAGGGTTTACATGGTGGAGGGCTTATAGGGCTTTTAGGGCTTTAGATGTTTTTGGTTTGGGATTCAGGTGTTTTAAGACCTATGATGTATAGGTTGTAGCCTTCAGGGTTTGAGGTTTACAGGGATTAGGGCTTGCGGGTTATAAGGTTCAGGGTTTTGGGTTTCAAGGGGGTTTGCACGCGTTGTTGCCATTCTGGAAGGTCTTCTAAGGGCTGAGTGGGTAACCTTTAACCTTTTGGGGGTTCATAGAATCCTACTATAATCCAAACGTTTAAGCTTCTTTTTTGGTGGTTTATAGAATCCTACCATAAGGCAAAAGGTCAACCTTTTTGGGGCGAGGGTACTCAGACAGACCCTAAGTCATACGCTCATGCTTGGCACTGAGATCAGCAGAATTGCACAAGAGATGCTTAGCAAGCGTGCGGCAGATAGACTATTTCGTTGGACAGGTTGCACACGCACGTGCTGCGTCCAGCCTGTTGGTAGTGCTATGCACCCTTGGTCACAGCGAGAAGGGCTGCGACTGAAACTTGGAGAGGCCAGCAACATAATCTACCTCTGCGACCTGCACACCATGATGTTACTTCATCAGGAGGCATCAGCCGCTTTGAGCGGTCCCTTCCTACCGCCCTCAGTGGGGCCAAAGCTAGCGTGGCAGGGGGAGTTCAAGGCTGCAAAGTCCGCTGATGACAAAGAACAGGTCGTGTTGAAGCACTCCATGGCAAAACACTTCCAACACCGTGTTACTCTTGTATAAAGGTTTATGACCGGGTAAACCGGGTGAGGGCATGCCCTGATGTTTCGAATAAGCATCACAGGGTGCTGCAAGTCCGCCTGGCGTTTGTGGTGTACGTGTATGCAAGTAGTTGTCAGAGCATCGTTTCTGCTTAGATGACAGTAGGAACCTGTGCAACGACACTGCCTTTCAACACAAACGTTCGCTTGGTGCTGAACACAAGCTTGAGTTGCAGAGGTCGAAAACTTGTCAGGTCACTGTGTATTTCTGTCCTAATATGGGAGTTTCCGAAAATTAGGGGGTAGCTTTTTGGGGGGTCCCTATAATAAGGATCCTCCTATTTGGGGTACTATATTAGGGTCCCCTATTTTCGGAAACTCCCAGAAAATCCGCAGGCCCTGCGCTAACTGTCAAGGCACCACATTGAAAAACCCTGGCATGATCTCGAATGTCCTGAGATCCAAGTGGCAAACGGAGGGACCCTTTATAAGGAACCCTAGGTATATACCCATTTTTTAGCCCATTATAGGGTAGGGGTCCCCATTAAGGGTCCCTCATTTTCCCCTTTGATGAGACGGTGTTTACTTACGGTTTTGTCTGGGGCCAAGTTCAAGATTCTGCGTAACTAACACTGCATATGCAGGCATATTCACTGTTGTGATTGATCGTGGGTTCCCTTACCCTGAGGGTCCATGTGCCTCAGCAGTGCATATACCTTGGCCTCAAGTACCTAAACAGGGTCTACTTTCATTCGGGTACATGGACCCTCAGGGCTAGAAACCTTGCAGCCCATACCGAACCCGTTTAGTCACCTCTGTAGGAACCCTACAAGAGCCCTAATTTGTAACCATGGATCCCTGCGGCCATTAGAAAGCCCTAAACCCTGAACCCCAAACCCTAAGCCCTAAACTTTAGAAGGGGACCCCCCACCCTGTAATATATCATGCTTATAGTCACTGTTACAGGGTGGGGGCCCCTTCTAACCTAAACCCCAGAGTCATGAAAAAAAGGAGCCCAACACGAAACCTCTGGGGGCTTCTGGCACTGTGCAGTCGGAAAGACTGCTTCGAAAACGAGACCTAAGCCGCATGGACCCTTACCCTAAGGGTCCATGTACCCATATTGAGATACGTGAGCTGCAAAGTACCTATATAGGGACTACATTAAGGCCAACGTATATACTATATGAGTACATGGACCCTCGGTGGTAGGGCTAGTAGAAGCCCTGCAGGTGCTGCAAACACCCAGAAGCGAGGCGTCGGGCCGGGTGGCTGAGGGGGTTCCTGGAGTCCTTGGATGGCGGATTTGGGACGTAAGGGTTAGGGACTTAGGGTTTAGGGTTTGGGGATTTGGGGGTTTGGGGTTTGGGGATTTTGTTGGCTTGGGCTCAGGGTTCAGGGTTTAGGTTTAGGATTTCGTATTAAGGACTCAGAAGATCTGAGAACTCGAAGCACCCTAAAAGCCGACAGCTGCCCTGACATGACCCGAGCCTGAGCAACGGCTTCTGGATAACACGATACCCTATAGTGGGCTATATAATGGGTATGTAATAGCTATATTAAGGGTATATACCTAATGCTCCTTATTGGCACTTAAACGCTTAACCCCCCCACGCCCCATCCCAACTCTATTTGTTGAGGCCCTCATCTTAGAGCCCTGCAGGTCTGGCTGAAGCTGTCGGTGCCCTGGCCGTCCTTAGGCCTGGCTGTGCAACAGGCGCGGCTGGCACTGCAGCTCGGACAACGAAGGCTCTGGCAGCCTTTTGAGAGGTGTTTTCCAGGGTTCCCGTCAAGGCTTGAGTAGAAGAGGTTTGCGGGTAAAGCAGCACCAGCAGTGGCTGTACGTAGCACTGGCAGTTGTAGTTGCACCTAGTGTTATTGCTATCTGCTAACGTGCGATTAGCCAGCATGTGGTTGACAAGCACAAAGCTACCAAAAACAGCACAAGCTCCATCTGCGTCAGCTGAAGCACGAAGGATGATACTAATGTAGGTCCGAATGATGTTAGTAGAGCCCCTGCGTAGCAATACTGCGATGCACGTACCGCAAATCCGCACAGTAACTATTTGTAGCAGCTCGCCAGAGCCCCAAATCCCAGACCATGAACCTTCAGATACCCGGCCTGAAAACCCGGAGCATCTCCGAGCCCTAAGCTCTAAAAACCCTAAAGTCTTGCAGAAACCCTGGTAGGGCCCGTTAAAGAACCCGAGCCCCGCGCCTTCGAATTTCAGTTCTTGGCTTGCCCGAGGCTGGCCCGTGTGCTGTCGGACTCGCTCAACGAAGTTTCCTACTTGGCTGAGCAAGCATCCCTGGATTTGCGTGCCTGAGATCAATAAGGGTTCTACAAGGGTCCTATGCGGGAGCCCTAGCAGTAGCAGTCGGAGAAAAGCGCCCAACCAAAAACCAACGTGAACCACCCAAACCCTAAACCCCTATATTTCTAATCCCTAAACCCCTAAATCCTTGACCCCTAAACCCTTAAACCGTAACCCCTAGAGCCCTAAACCCTATTTCTCATCCCTAAACCCCTAAAACCTAGACCCTGAAACCGTAAACCCTAAGAGCCCTAAACCCCTATTTCTCATCCCTAAACCCCTAAAACCTAGACCCTTAAACCGTAAACCCTAAGAGCCCTAAACCCCCGAACCCTGAACTGGGGTTTGGGATTTACAGGTGTGGGGCTGTTAGGATTAGAGGACCAAGGGTCCTTTGTTTGTGATCCGAACTTGTGGTTTTTGGGGCTTTTGGGAATTTGGGATGTTTCTTTTTGCTTCGGGTTTAGGGTTTAGGGCTTAGGGTTTAGGGCTGTCTTTGTTGGCTGGACAACATTCTCCCAAAGCCTCAAGAGCATCCCCAGTCATCCTTACTCAGGTATCCGGGACGAGCTGTACGGCTTGGACGTTCGGGTAGGAGGCCACCCTTCCCGGGAGAGCTATTCCGGCGTGGAAATGGCTCGCTTCTTCAGTATGTATATCTCATATCCACATTAACAGGAGCCGTAGTTGTGAAGCAGTTGGCAGTGGCAGTAAGAAGAGAGATCAAGACAGTAGACAAGCGTGTCCCGGTCCTTGTAGTTTGGCGTTCAGCGGTTCTACTAATTTGCGCTTTGCATTAAGTTTTGGGCTTGAATAGGTTCTAATAGCACTACCCTGTGCCGCTGTGATTCTCGATATTACACCCAAAACCCGATCGTGATTTTAAACGCTTCGCGTCGTCCGCCTCGGCCCGGCTGTGCTTGAAGCAGGTGCATTTTTTCGGAAAGCAGCCACCCGAAAGCCTACGAAGGCCCATAGGCCTTAAACCCGAAACTCTAAGCCCCAAACCCTGTGAGTTTGATGAGGGATTGTGGTGAGTTGTGATACGAGCCACACCTGCCCTCCCCAAAAAGATTTCCGATGAGCAACTGGATCTGCTGGTCGACAAAGGGGCGCTTAAAAAAAAGCCCTAAAGCTTAAGCCTTAAACCCGAAACCCCCCTAAACCCGCAGCGTATAGGGAGAAAGCGCCACCACTCATGCAAGCGTGAAGCCCCCATGCCATGGCATCGGAGGTTCAGCAAGCAGTGCGAGAGGGGCAGGGGGTTCACCAACCGAAAAGTTGGCTTGTCGCAAGTTGAGAGAGTCCGTTTCCTGAGACGTGCCACTTCGTCCAGGCCAAAGGGGGGGAAGGGGCAAAAGAGGGGGTGGGGTTGGGGTGAGGGGCCGGCGGGGGGCCAGGTGCTGGTCGGGCCTGATTAGGGGTTGGGGCTCATCGAGAGGTTCACACAGAGGAGGTGGGGAATAGAGGAATCCCAAACCTCTGACCACTTCCACCAGACCGAAACGTATTTTTCACCCTCTATGGTGGGGATTTAGGCTTTGGCTAGGGTGTCAGGCTTCCACGAGAAGCTTCCTCTCCTGCTCCATGCGGCTCTTGAACAGCTCAAGCGCCTTGAACTTGATGCTAAGGCGCATGGGTCTTCGGGTTTAGAATTGGGTGCATGGCCGGACCAAAAGCCCAACCCCGACGTCTTAATTCAATTGCAGGTTGCGGGACTCTGGTTTAAGGTTTGGGTTTGGCGTTTGAGGTTCCGGGATCACGCAGACCGTGCTCGAGCGAAGTTACAAGAGAAGCCCCAATAAGTGCCAACAGGTGCCTTATTGTAATTGCAACTATAGTCACAGTATATTTAATTACTGAGGCACGTATATTACTTACTGGCTTGGCTTGGTCGATGCACTTGCTCGTGCCCGAAAGTTAAGATGCCCTGTCCTATGATCCGACTTAGCATCCCTCTGTGCGACTGTTGGCCTCATGGGGTTGGCATTTTCTATCAAAGCTACCCCTCAACCTTAAACCCTACAGTAGAAGCCCAAAAGTTGGACACCCAACAGCCTCAATCCCCAAGAGTCACGTACAGGGGAATCCCAGCACCAATTATCTTTAATCTTTTTTCCAACATTTTGGGGTCTACTCTAAGCCCTAAACCCTACCCTCAGTTTATGATCTTCTTGGTGCTTTTCTAAGGCTCTTTGGGAGCCCAAGTGCGTGGCAAGAGAGGCTAGACAGCCCCTCGGATGCACTCCCCCGAGCTTTGCCTCCGAGTTCAGGCTCAATGATGTAGGGGCCTTAGCAATTAGAATAGGTTTTTGCGGCCCATTGTACTATAATCATAATAGGGAACCCCCAAAATAGTACTGGTGATTATTAAGGCCCCTACATTTTCCACAAACCTACTCCGAGATCCGAAATCCTGCATCTCCCACAAGTTTGGTGTAAGCCAATGGATATTCCTCCAACACCACCCGGACCAAACCTGAAGCCCATCATAAGTTCTCGTATCCTAGACCCATCAGCCCTCAACCCAAACCCTCAGCCCTCAACCCCTAAACCCTACAATTATTGTATACAAGCTTTATAGATCCTACACCCCAATTTAAAGAACCCGACTCTGCCCCTTGGGCAGCTTCCCAGGTTCAACAGATGACCCCAGGAAAAAACGCGCGACTTTCCAAAAGAATGCCCCAGATTTGCATCAACGCCCTCTGCTTAGAGGCCCTGACCTCTGGTCTCCATGGTAGTTCTTTTTTCTTGGTTTAAGCAAACAGATATTATATAAGGATTCTGAGACCCAAAAAGGAACTACAATGGAGACTACAGGTATGACCGGAACTTCAATGGAGACTACAGGTATGACCTGAAATGAAACTGGTATGTTAAGTTCTGTGATGGTTCAAGTCTTGTGAAAGCCCCGATGTAGCCCTTATACAACCCTATCCAGCCCTCCTAGAGCACATACAACCATCTGCAACCCCAGTTAAACATATCAAACTAGCCCAAAAACACCCTACAAGAGCCCTTTACCCTAAACCCCATGCACCCTTCTCAAGCTTCTCAAGCCAGGCTTCTGCCCTTAACAGAAAACAGCCTTATCAAAACCCTATAAGAATCCTTCCCCGAGCGGCGCAAGGCCCGCAGTTCCTTCGCCGCTGCAGCGCGCAGCGCGAGGAGCTTCTACGTAGCTTGAGGACCTGCCGCTCAATGAATTTTTCGTATGTAGGTTCTATAAGTGTTCTATAAATAGTATATATAAATATATACATTTGTTTATTTATTTATACATATATTTCATGAGGGTTGGATAAGTGTTTTGCAGGTTTATGGAGGGATTTATGCAGGTGTTGTCGACAATTGGGGGGCTCGTGACAGGGTCGTGAAAGGATGCAGAAGATACCTATAGGTTCCCTGGAGAACGAGCTCGGGCAATGCCACCAGCAGCGATGTTTGCTAACCTCGTAGACTCAACTCGAACCATAATATAGGGGCCTGTTTCCGAACAGAGAGGACCCTAAAATAGTAGCCTAAATAGTAAGATCCTTATTATAAGGATCCCCAAAAAAGTTTTCCGAATTTTCGGAAGCTCCCACATGGCAGGAATGAGTACACGAAGCCCGGCGACCACTGTGCTGACCTGCGCCGGTCGATGGCTGGCGCCCCACACACTTGCAGGGTTTAGGGGTGCAGGGTTTAGGGGTTCAGGGTTTAGGGGTTCAGGGTTTAGGGTTTAGGGGTTTAGGGGTTCGGGGTTTAAGGGTTCAGGGTCCAGTGGTCCAGGGTTGGGTTGAGGGCTGCCGTTGTGAAAGTGCTGCCCAAGCCGTTGGGCCAGCATCCAAAAGCCACCGCCTTAACAGCACAACCTGGAAACCCCAAAACAAAATCTAAAGCAACACCCCACAATCTTAAAGCTAGAGCCACCCTGATGGAACTCTTAAGCCACGGCCTTCCGGCAAAAGATTTCCGCATAAACATCCAAGAAATCTCCGTACTCTTCAACCGCATAAACCCCAAAGCCACAGAGGCCGGATTGTTACCCTAAAGCCCTACACCCTAAAGCCCTAAAGCCTAAACCCTAAACCCCAAAGCCCTAAACTGTAAAGCCCTAAAGCCTAAACCCTAAACCCCAAAGCCCTAAACCCCAAAGCCCTAAACCGTAAAGCCCTAAAGCCTAAACCCTAAACCCCGAAGCCCTAAACCCCAAAGCCCTAAACCGTAAAGCCCTAAAGCCTAAACCCTAAACCCCAAAGCCCTAAACCCCAAAGCCCTAAGCCGTAAAGCCCTAAAGCCTAAACCCTAAACCCCAAAGCCCTAAACCCCAAAGCCCTAAATTGTAAAACCCTAAAGCCTAAACCCTAAGCCCCAAAGCCCTAAACCCCAAAGCCCTAAACCGTAAAGCCCTAAAGCCTAAACCCGTCAACCCCTCAATCCCCATAAACCCTTAGCATCTTCAGGTCATGGCATCCCGCACCTTGGCGACGGAGAGGGCCGATGCTCTGGAGGCGTTGCAGGTCGCGGAGCATCCGGAGGATACCATGTCTTTACCCAGAGGCCCCAAAGTAGTTCTTTTTTGGGGGGTTCATATATAGAATCCTATAAGGTAATCCCAAAAAGGAACTACTATGGGGCCTCTGGGTAGCGCTCCAGGGCTCAGGCTTTCGGATTCAGTTTCGGGCTTCAGGGTTTGGGGTTAACTGTTCATTGTGGGGTTCAGGGTGAGCTCTTAAATCTTAAACCCCAGCGCTTGACCTTATGCAGTGGCCCTGATCCCTATATAAGCTCCAACTGGTAAACCCTAAACTTGAAAGCCTGAAGGCTTAACTCACCCTAAGTCCGAAGCCTTCCACCGTACACCCTCAGCTGTTCCCAGTTCCGCACTTCCAAACTTCGAAAGCAACTTGGGTGGTTGTCAAAATTAGGGTCCCTTTTTGGGTCCCCATTATAATACGGCACCTAATATTTAGGTGAAAAGGGACCCGAATTTTGACAACTGCCCACATGAGAGCAGGTCACTGACCTCGCGGCTTTCGCGCAGGCGCTTCCGCCAGAGATGAGGGCTTCAGGGTTTCGATGTAGGGGGTTTAGGTTTAGGGTTTATGGGTTTAGGATTTAGGCCTCAACCCCTTCTTTAAGGCCTTAGGGTTTCAGCTAAGGTTTAGGGTTTAGGATTTGAGTGTTGGAATGCCGATTGATTGTGATCCTCTAGCAGAGAAGGGTGTTTAAGAGCCTCGGCGCCAGGATCCGGATAAGAATCCTTCGACCGGGAAGGGTGGAACGGCCTTACGGATATATTCCTTAAGCAGGGAAGGGTATGTCTTGAAGCGAGGAAAGGAGCCCTGGTTGTCAGCAGCGCTGTTTCTTCTGCGTGGCTTCATTGGGCTTCAAGCCCTTAAACCCTGCCTGATCTACTTGATCAAAGGGGAAAAGGAGGGACCCCTAGTAAGGACCCCTAGGTATGTACCCATAATATAGCCATTATATGCCCATTATATAACCCATTATAGGGTAGGGGTCCCCATTAAAGGTCCCTCCTTTTCCCCTTTGACTTGAGGGAGAATTGCCGGACCTAAACCCTAAACCGCCTCTAAGTTGCCACCTCGGAGTTCAGGCTCACACTGTGAACTCGACTCATCTACTGAGCTACTGGGGTCACAGAGTTCGGATATGGGAGTTTCCGAAAATTAGGGGTACCTTGTTTTGGGGTCCTTAAGTAAGGATCCTACTATTTCGGGTATTGTATTAGGGTCCCCTATTTTCGGAAACTAACATATCATGGCAGTCAAGTGTGTGGCGATTCTGTTTGGAACGGGAAGGGGACGGTGTGACTTGGCTCTGAAGACTTTGCTGTGGCAGAACACATCGGGGCCAAAGTACCATCCTTTTATACAAGTCTCTTGCTCTTCAGCTGAAGCCTCCCACCCAAAGCTCCGTAATCATAGTCCCTACACGATTGCATGATAATCTCCTCAGAAGCCCTGGTGTGATTCAGGCCTATATAGTACCCCTCGGCTTCCACTTGGGAAAGCATTTCAGAGCACTTTCTGCGACTAGGAGCTCATTCCACAGCTGGATGTGGAGGCGATGGGCCCTTCATGGGTAGGTTCAAGCTTTCGGGTTTGCCTGCATCGTAGTTTTTTTTCCAGGTTACCGTGGGTTTCGGGTCAAGCAGTTTCGGAACTTGGGGACCTTTATATTGATCCCAGATCATTTAATCCTCACTACCAGGACAGTTTTTCAGTTTGAACGTGTCAAGCACCTGCTTTTTTGTTCTTGGTGCCCCACATCACGAGTTATCGAAGTCTGGACCAAGAAGGCACAGTGCGGCATTCACTTTAGGCAAAGCTCAGGAAGGTAACGAAGGAATTTATTTCGACGATACGCTAGACCCGACGCCAGATTCCTATCATGAGTCACAGCGCCCTAACCCCCTTTGACTGTAAGGCCCCGAAGCCCTGCAAAGCTTGTGTTTCTGCCTGGGGTATTGAAACTCAATCCAGTGGGGTTTACGGACCTTTTTTTTGTGGGCCTTCAGGATTTAGGGCTTAGGGGTTTGGGAAATCCATTTCCCTTGAAGCTCCAATACCACAGCCAATGCCCAAACGCCGAACCCGAAACCGTGTCAGTGTAAACCGGACAGTCCTAAACTTGCTCTGGACAAGGTTAGCAACAAGTTATCATTGAATCTTAAGATCATTGAGCTTTAGACCACCCCAAGAAAGATCCTTAATTAGAAACGAACAAACACCCCAAGCCCCATAAACCCTGCAGGCCAATCCCTACAAAACCTTATCGAAGCATGAACAACCGGACACCCTGAGCAACACCCATTGGAGGTCTTGTTCATCGGCAACGCGACCTCGGAGGACGCTCGTCAGCTGGTGGCCGCATTCCCGGCCGCTTGGCTGCAACAGGTGGGATGAAGCGCCGGATATAGGGGCAAGCAGACTAGGGTTCCTTCAGGGGTGCGTTCAAAGGGTCTATACCAGTGCTATAGGACTGAAATGGAAGAAGTGGGGATAGTATCCCCCTAGAGTCCTCGTGTTATCATACTAACTACAATATACCCCAAAGCCCTTGTCTATTCATTACGGTCCTTATAGTAGCAGTGGTTGGTGTAGACACAAATCTTCACTCAAAATACCCTGAGCCCCAGCTTCGTAGCTTTAGGGTTTAGGGGGTTTAGGGGTAAGTTTAGGGTTTAGTGGTTTAGGGTTTAGGGTTTAGTGGTTTGGGGTTTAGGGAATTAGGGAATAGTACAAATAGTAATAATAGCAATAATAGCAATAATAGTAATAATAGTAATAATAGTAATAATAGTAATAATAGATTAGGTTTTTCCAGTTGAGGCCGAGCTGCGGCCGAAGGCGGAGGCGCTGGCGCACGTCCCGCACCCGCCTGCGCGGGTCGTGCGCGTGCCGGTGGCAGAGCCTCTGGCCGTGGCCTAAGCCGCCTTAGTGCCGATGGGTTTGCTTGTTCTTGTTGGTGTTGCTGTTGCTGGTGCTGTTTCTGGTGTTGCTGTTGCTGTTGTCGTTGTTGTCGTTGTTGTCGTTATGGTTGGTGTCGGCGGTTGATGGTTGGTGCCTTGTGCGGATGGGGAGGATGGCAAGCCTCTTTGTTAGATGTTTCGATGTTGCGATTACTGTTCATAGCGACGGGTTCAGGTTTATTTATGTCAGTCCCGTTTTCGCTTGTATTGCCCCCGCAGGTTGTAGGCTTTTGAATGCCAGAGCCCTATGGCCTAAGTCGCAACCCGTACGTAGCCTGGCAGAACCTTAAGGTGAGGCCTTAACCCGCAAACCTTCAATCGCCTTCTCCGCCTCGTCCTCCTACGACTCCTACAACACATGAATGAATAATGAGTGATTAATAAGCATCTAACCTATAATCTTATATTCATACGAGTAGTAATAATGGCAATAATAGTAACAGCAAGACGCATAAAACTCCTACAACTTGTACTCCTACGACGACCACCACGTCCACCACCGATGAATGCTCTGAACTGAGCAGGTCTGGGTCGAAGATAGCCACGACACGGGGAACCGTAATGTGGCCGTGGAGATGTGCCCTGTGGTTTGCTGTTTCGGGTGATATAGGGGCCTCAAGTGGCCTTGATAATTACGCATTATACTATTTTAAGGGCTCCTTCTCATAATCATAGTATAATATACCCCAAAACACTATTCTAACTATGAAGGCCCCTCTATAAGAAGGTTTGCAGGGTTTAGGGTTTCGAGTGTGTGAGACCGTGAATTATGGAGTTTGGGTGAGCTTGAAAGGGACCGGGAAGTCCTGGACCTTACACCTTACCGCTTTTAAGTTTCGGGCTATGGGTCTCAGGGTTTCAGGGCTGAAGGTTTAGGGTTTGATCGGAGTCACCTCGCATGGGCAAACGGATGGCCAGCCTGAGACCTAGGCGTCACACTTCGCTGTTAGAGCGGCATCCGAAGAGCCCAAGTACAGGACGGAGAAGCAGACCAAAAAAAAGCATGAAAGTCTGAACCCTAATCCCGAACCGGAAAGAAACCTCTATACCCCAGATCCTAAATCGGTCAACAACCGAAACCCGAAATCCCATGAACTTCGACAAATCTCAGCTGAGCTACGCGAAGCTCCTGCAAGGTACCTGAAACCGTATAATTATCCTAAATCCTAGACCCTCAAACCCTTAACCCTGTAAACCCTACACTACAAAAAATAAGCCCTCAAACCCTGAAACCCTTAATCATCCAAACCTCAAAAGCCCCAAAAGCCCCATAAGCCCCAGACCCCTATAAACCCTACCAGGCCCATAAAACCCCATAAGCCCTATAGACTACAAACCCTAAACCTTGGGTACTGCCCGCACTCAGTAACAGTTGGATACTATTCATAATATAGATATATATACTAGGACCTTAATAGTAGCCCTATTATAGACCGTTACTGTATGGTTGCAGTACCCAACCAATCCTCCCGAAATCCCGCCTGACCTTTAAAGCATAGTCTGCCCTACCGGCCCCATAAAACCCCATAAGCCCTATAGACTACAAACCGTAAACCCGCAAAACCGAACCCGAAGCTGCAACAGCCAGGTATTGGCAGCTGGGACCTGTGGGTTCCAACGAAGCCAAGGACGCTGCCCAGGCGCGCTCGGCAGGAGGGTCTGAGAGCTCAGGGGTTTGGGCATGGTTTAGGGTTTAGGGGTTTAGGATTTATGGTTTAGGGGGTTTAGGGTTTAGGGTTATCCTGTTTTTGCTTGGACGGTCCACGAGGCTTCACAAGAGCTCCGGGATGGTACTGTACTAGAGCATCGTGATGTATCCCCCCGCAATATTTCATCACAGTACCAAGAGAACTTAGATACCGCACAGAAAGTAATCTTAGACCCTAAACTCCAAATGACCCTAATCCCTAAACCTGAAGCTCTAAACCGTACACCCTAAAACCACAAAAGGTCGAGCTGCTGGCGGATCTCATCGCCGAGCCTTTGTTCGACAGCCTCCGGACGAAGCAGCAGATCGGTTACGTCGCCAGGGGCCCGATCGATTATTCTGGCTTGGGGCTTTCATTAGGGGTTTCATGGTTTAGGGTTTAGGGTTGTGTTTTTAGGGGTTTCAGTACTATAAATAGGGACGTCAACAGTTAATTACCTATACTATTTTAGGGGTTCCTTATTATCATTATAATTATTAGGGCCCCTTTGTTTCACGGTGAAGGTCTTAGGGTTTGTGGGTGTATGAGGTTTAGGGTTTAGGGGTATTGGCTTACTACTTCCTGCCACGAATTTCTCCTGTCATCGGGGCCAAAGGTATCGTCATAAGATCTCTGAGCCGCAACACCCTGATCCCCAAGCCCTGAGCCTTGAAAGCGAAGATTCTGAGACCTAAGCCGAAAGACTTGCTCATCTGACTACCTGGACTGCCTTTGTTTTGAGGGTGCCGATCGTGAGCCCTCAACTCCCAAGCCCTAAACCCTGGTTCCCCGCTAAAAGCGGGGTGTTTCGACACCAATCTTATCCGAAACCATATTCAAATTGTGAAGACTTGTAAGCCCTTCAAGCCGTGTAGAACCCTTACAGACCGTTTTGACGAACCCTTTAAAGCCCCCCATTCTATACTTGTGACCCTAAACACTTCACCCTAGCCCTAAGCCCTAAATCCTTAACCCTAAATCCTAAACCCGAATCCCTATATCCTGAACCCTAATCCTAGACCCTAAATCCTAAACCCTAAACCCTATAAATCCTATGAAGGCCCCTGCGCTACGTAACCCAGGCTTCCTGCGGCGCGCGCTGGACGCACCGCGTGCAGGGCTTCTCTGTGTGGCTGATGTTGGGCCCTCGAAAGTGGGTTTAGGGCTTAGGGGGTTCAGGGTTTAGGGCTTAGGGATGTTTAGGGAGTTGACTGCATTGCTTCAAGAGTAGGGAGTTGGCGGGGCTTCGAGCTAACACTGGGAGTGCAAGCTCCGAGCTTGAGGTCGCTTCTCAGGTCCAGTAGTGCGTGATGTTTTACAGGGAGAGGGGAGGAGTTACCATAGAAGTCTAGACAGATAGCAAGATTATTCGTTAGGGTTCCTTTTTCTAGTGAACGTACAATGTACCCCAAGGCCTTATTTCAATTGAGAAGGCTCCTGCACGACTGCCATCACACTGCCGAAGGGCCGCAGAAGACTGGGCAGTCGAACAAAAATCCCGCTCTCGGCTGCAAAACAGAGGATGTCTACCCAGAGGCCCCATAGTAGTTCCATTTTGGGATTACCTTGTAGGATTCTGTACATGTACCCCGAACAGGAACTACTTTGGGGCCTCTGGGTAATGTGTAACCCACGCTGGATCTCTTCGGTCCCTAAACCCGAAGCCCTGAGCGTTAGGACTCCTTTCAAACAAGCATATGACAAGCTTCCACAGGCCCTTGCAAAACACCATAGTAAATGATGAAAACGTACAAGACGAAATGAAGCCCAACACCCGCAAGCTTAAATTTACTAACCATCGAATATGAAACCCAGAAACACCCTAAACCCTAAACCCAGAAAGCCCTTAACCCTAAATCCCTAAAGCCTAAACCGTAAAAAGGCCGCCAAGCTGGCTTAGGTCCTCAAAGTTCGGTCCGGCTGAGATCTGCCGTAGAGCTTTGAAGTTCCTGGCGGACTTCCAGAAGACCCTGGAGGAGCCTCCTTAATAGGATTTCGGGTTAGGGTCAAGTACAAGTACAGTATAGGATAGTATAATATAGTTTAATATGATATACTATTCTATTATACAATACAACACAATACAATACACATAATGCAGTATATTACAAAATACAAGTGTAAGATATAGAGGGGCCTGGATTCTAAGAACAGTAGTCCCTTCAATCAACCCTCTTTAACATAGTAGACCAAGGGCGAGATGTTGAGAACATTGGGATTGAGAAGGGCTGGCAGGCGATGTAGCCCCAAGTTCCAAACCCTAAGCTCTTAAGCCCAACAGAGGGGTAGTTCTCTAAATTAGAGTGACCTTTCGGATTCGTCTTATTAGCGTGCCGTACTGTTTTGGAGACTTAAGATTAAAGAGGGACCCTCATTTCGAGAACTACCCAGATCCTAAACCCTAAACCCTATACCGACCGGAGCCCAAGCCTTGCCTGCTATTTGATGCGAGGACATGCCCGAGGAGGACATGCCCGATCCTGCAACGGTCGGTTTTGGGGCTGAAGGTTTGGGGCATTAGGGTTTTTGGGGTTGTAGGGTGTTAGGGTTTAGGGTTTCAGGGTTTTGGGTTTTTTTGGGTTTGGGGTTTCAGGGTCTACGATTTAGGGCTTCGGGATTTTGGGTTTCGGGGTTTAGGGATTTAGGGCTTAGGGTTTAAGGGTTTAGGGTTTTAGGGTGTGGGGTCGCGGCTGCAGGGTTGCCGGAATCGGAAGAGCGATGCCATCATTGCCCTTAGTTTGGGGCTGCCCAACGCAACGTGCCAGTCTGTCGAAGGTTGCGAGCACTAAACCCTAAACCCTACCCTAAGCCCAAGACCCTAACCCCTAAGACTCAAGCTTTAAACCCTACATCCTAAAACACTAAAGTGCTACTCAAGCCCTAAACCCTAAAAGCCAAACAAAAAACCTACACACTAAACCTTGCGAACCCGAACCCGCTAACAGGATTTCGCTCAACATGTCACACTAAAGGAGTACACCCCCAAGGATCCTTCAAGGGTTCCTCAAAGAGATCTATAAGTGGGTGGTTGTCAAAATTATAGTCCTTTTTTGGGTCCTTAATATATTACGGCACCGAATATTTAAGGTACCCAAAACAAGGGACCCCAATTTGACAACTACCCATAAGTTGGGTACGGCCCCCATACAGTAAGAGTCTATAATAGGGCTACTATTACGGTCCTAATATATTTATATTATGAATATTATTCAACTATTACTGAGTGGGGGCCGTACCTAACCCATCGTTTGAAGTCTCAGAGGACTTCGCTCAACATGTCTGCTCCCTGGCGGCCCAGAAGCTTGAGCCGGACCGGACGTTGAACAGCACCTCGGCCCGATCTTAGGGTACTTGGGAACCCTAGACCCTTACGGCCTTACGGTTTAGAGTTTAGAGTTTAGGGTTGGAGGTTCAGGGGTTTAGGGGTTTAGGCTTTTTGAAGTATTGGTTACTATGATCCTGAAGAAGCAAGTATTAGAGTGACAGTTTTTGTAAGGGTAGCATGTTCAGTATAGATGTTGTGTCGCTGGGCGTCTGGTTAAACTCTACTTAGGGTTTCGGGGTTAGGTTTTATGGCTAAGGTTTTTGGGAGTTTAGGGTTTATTGTCTAGGGGTCTCAGGCTCAAAATCCTAGACCCGCAAGTTCTAGCAGTCGAGCTTGTGGCGCTCGATGGGCTCACGCGATAGAGAAGGGAGCGAACCAACACTGCCTTTGTCACCGTCCGTACCCATCATGATCTCAGCACCCCCGGGTTGAGAAAAAGATGGCTCCGGGACGTAGTGTGTAGAGTAGGGCACAACAGGCACACGAAGCACGCAAACAGGCGTGTGAACAAAGTGCCCCCAATTGTTGCTTTTGCACCAATCCCAAAACCCTAAACCCCATACCGTAAACTGGTAAAACCAAGACCCTACATATACCCTAAAAGCCCTAAACCCCAAAACCCTGTTATGAAAACCGTATGATCTAAAAGTCAGCGGAAGTGAGGTGGTTCCATTCTATAGTTCTGTCATCACAGAACTATTGAAAGGGGATACGTCCCCGGAAGATGCCTGCGTGCTTACGGCACTCACAGATAAGTTCATCAATATACAACCGAAGACAGGTGGCTTCGCTGCCCAGACGTCACGGAAAATTCTTGGTGACATGCTGAACTCAAACACTGCACGTTGTGGCGTCTTCAAGCGTGGCCTTGACATTATTGAGCATTGTACCAAGACAGGTACCGATGCAATGACCGTCGACCCGCTTGTTGAGAAAGGCAAGAATGGTATTGTAGTTACCATCTTTTCGCCTACAACGATGCATCGGTTGGAGTGCAAAAACGCAGTAGGAATTGCTCTTAAGATGACAGAGCAGAGTGCTCCCAATCTTTTGGTGTCAATTCCGAACAAGTGCGACCATGCAACCCTCGCAACTTCCATCATCGAGGCTTTAGAATTGTTCGTGCAAAACGCGGAACTCGATGGAGCACATGGTGTCACAGTCATGAATGAGCCCATGCACGACAAGAAGGATCTAGAGTTCTGCTCCGACACCATCGCATCCTTCGAGAAGTTCTTCCAACCGCTCAAAGCAGAGATCGACAAGTCAGAGCTTATGCTCCGTGCATTGTTCGACGAGAAGCTCGACTCTCTTGACAAAGAAGTTCAAAAGCTCGAGAAGATGGAGATCAGCGAGAAGAACTTCGACAAGAGACAGGAACAGTCAAAGAAAGTCACAAGAAGTCCAAAGAGTTGTATGACTTGGTCTCAAACATTACGGACACGCTTCACATGGACATTTTCAAAGTCATTGAATTTGCCCCTGGTGCTTCCGACAGTAGCTTTCTCAGAACCGAAGAGTTCGTAAAAAGGCACATGGATATCTGCAAGCGGATCAGCGCCACAGAAAATTAACCTCTGGAGTCCTGCTGTCAAATGACCAAGGAACTCTAAAAGAGGTAAAACGAGTGGCGAGCTAGGTTATACCGCATTCAAAAAAAACAAAAAATAAATTTTTATATTTTTTGTAAAAATGTTTTATTTACTAGATGTAAAATATTAAACGAACTAGTATTTTGTAGATTAAATACTCTTGAAATTTCTACTAATGATTTTTTAACGAAATCTATAGGATAACTATTATAAATTTTACTACAGTTAATTTATAAAAATTTTAATATTTCCATAAAAAAAATGAATAATAAGTATTATTAAACAATAATAATTTATATTTATATATATTTTAAATGATTGAACTACCGGACATTTTTATAGATAGAATGAAAGAATTTTCTAGTGATAAATATATAAATATTCAAAAAGAGAAGACATTAAATAACAATTAATGTTTTGCATTTTTAAATATTGGTGATTTAGGAGAAGAATTCTGCTTGTATCTTCATCCAAATTCTATTGGAAGTGCAAGTAAAGGTGAATGATAGTCGTGAAAGTATTAATTGTAAAACTCACATAAAATATTCAAACATCATGGAGCTACTGGTAATCCAAAAGGGCGACGTCGGCGTGCTCCTTCTGTGGCCCTACCAGGTGATGTTCGTCCCGGATCTGCTGCTGAGTGTCTTGGAAGTGCTGAAGCTCGTCATCCTCCTGCTGGTGGTGCTCGTTTGGATGCTGCGCCCTCTGACCCTGGTGACCTTCCGGTTGCTGGAACAGACGTCCCCGTTAGCTTGTTTGAGGCTTCGTTGTCTGTGAGCCCTGTGAATGTCGGTGTTGATGGCGAGAATGATGATGCCTCCTCTTCGACCTCCGGTGCAGATATGGAGGACCCGAACACCCGTCGTTGAGTTGGAGCACTGACGGAAACAAGTACGAGCTGTTCTGAGGGCACGCCTAAGTGTAGGAGAGGTTTTGTGGCTGACACTGAAACATCGGTGAGAACCAGTCATGTGTAAGCCGACTGCAGGCAGGCTGAAAAGTCACTACACCTTAAAAAAACCCTAAAACCCTAAAACCTCAAACCCCAACCCTAAAACCCTAAACCCAAAACCCTAAAACCCTAAATCCCCTAAACCCAAAACCCTAAAACCCTGGCCCAAAACCTTAAAACCCTGGCCCAAGCTACCTTCATCCCACCCGATCGGAGCGAGGCATTCAGGCTGTCGCTTGGGCAGAGCTGCAAGAGAGGACACCGGCTCTTGAGATTTCTTACCTTTGGTTACTAGGGAATGGAGGAATGGGGTCTATAAGGGTTACTATAAGGGATCTATAAGGGTACCATAATATAGGGGGCTTAATATTCCTATAACTTACCTTTGGTTAGTAGGGAATGGAGGAATGGGGTACAATAATGACTACTGTTACTACCATTCTTCCGTTCCCTGCTAACCAAAGGTAAGATTTGGGGTTTACCTATAGTATAGTCTCCATTGTATTTCCTTTTTGGGGTTACCTTATAGGATCCCCATCATATATTTGGTTAAACCAAAAAAAAGGAACTACAATCGAGACTTGTGTTATGGGTCTTTAGGGTCTAGGGTCATTAGGGTGAAGGGAATGCTCGGAGTTGGGGTATGGTGCTTTTAGGGTGAGGGTTTGGGGCTTTTCGGGCTTATAAGGCTTTGGGGTGGGGTATAGGAGGACGTTTCTTTATCCTGCCGCAGCCTCTAAACTCTCAATCCTTCTTAGATATAGAGCTCCGACACTACTTACTAGTTGCTAAAGCTGTTACAGCCTATAAAGAAATCGTGAACCCGTTTGGACCCCTTCAATGAACCCTTCAACTCATTCGCCCAAGAGGGTGTGTGTGTGTGTGTGTGTGTGTGTGTGTGTGCTACAATGGACCCAGAAACCTACCCCTTGAGAACTCTTTGATGAACAACCCTGTTCGAGCACCAAGGCCCGTTTATCGTCGCAGCCTTGGTCTATATAAATGCCTGTCATAGTGCTCTTATCAAACCCGTTGCTGATTCTCGAGGTCCTTATTCTAAACTATCATCGTATCCCTTCTATAGAGCCCTTTAAAGAACCTTATCTTGTCGTCATCCTTCTAGAACCCGTTAACGAACCCTATCATATCGTAACTCGTCTGGAATTCTTTAAAAAACCTCCTAGAAGCAAGACCGTAAAGCCCTGCATATGCTTCCTGTTCCTCCAGGAACCATCTCTTCGACCGGCCTCTTGCATCGTATTTCAGAGTTTCTTTCAAAAAGAGATTCATGGTTTGTGTTTGGCGCTCTGGGTTCGGGGGTTGGGGCAGGGTTTAACCCTAAACCCTAAACTCTAAATCCTAAACCTTGAACCAAACTCTAAACCCCTAAACTCTAAACCCTAAACCCTAAACTCTAAACCCTAAGCCCTAAACCGGTGTAGGGTATTGGGGTTTAGGGTTTGGGGTTTCCTCAGACAGAGATTCCCAGGAGCTTTCTAGGGTCCTCCCATCATCCAACCCCCGAGTCAAAACACAAATCCTTAGAGCCTCAAAAAGCTGCTAAACCTCAAACCAAAAAGCCAAACTCAAAACCCTTGCAGATACCCTTATCGAACCCTCCAGAAACCCTATGAAACCCTGAAGGCCCTTCAGAGACCATTGCAACCTTATTCAAAACACCCATAAAATTGCTCATAAACCTGTCAGAGGTGCCCTTATAGGTGCTCTGAACGGAGCCCTTGAAGGAACCCCTTAAACTGCACCTTAAACGGAGCCTTTTCGAAAGGTCCTGGCGCGAGGCGTTGGCCTTGGCCGCGCTCTCCCGCCGCGAGCTCCTGGAGCTTCTTCGGGAGCTTCAGGGCTCCAAAAGGCACCGAAGGGTTCAGGGTTTTGGGTTTAGAAGGGTTTTTTGGGTGATACAGGGTTTAGGGTTTAGGGTTCAAAGGGCTCCTTGTTCGGTAAATTATTGTTTAGGGTATAGGGTGCGGGGCTCCAAAAGGCACGGAAGGGTTTAGAGGTTTATTTAGGGTTTAGAGGGCTCCAGAAGGCACCTGCAAAAAGCAGGTGTCCCTTTTCGGTAATATAGGGTCTAGGGTTTAGGGTGCAGGGCTCCAAAAGGCACGCAAAATGGTGAGGTGCGTCTTTTAGGGTTAGGGTTCAGGGTTTCGGGCATAGAGGAGGTGGGCTTGGCATTGGATTTGTCATAATTTAGTTCTTGTTTGTGCGGGTTTCTATTATCTTTTCATGTTTCAGTTCTGGTTCAGGGTGTAGTGCTGCCTGTCAAACAATGCGGCTCTAAAGAGAGTCTTTTGGTGTTGCTTTGTCGCTCAGAGTTTAGGCCTCAACGAGTTTCGGGTTTGTGCCTGCTTCGCACGCTAGGTTGTTTGTCTTTAATTATTAATATAGGGGCCAGAGTAACTACCAGTATTATTGTGTGGTACCTTATTCTAAGTTTAGTATAATGGGCCCAACAACCCCATACTAATTATTAAGGCGCCTACATTACAAGGCTTGTTGGGGGGAGGGCAAGTGGAATGGCCCTGTCAGGATTTGTTTGCAGGGCATCACAGGCTCATTAAGTTGAGGGTTCAAAAAGTAGCTTTCTGACTGTGTCATATGTATATTACATACTTATTGCAGTTGTCCGCTTTTGTTGGTGATGGTTGTGATTGCGGGTTGATGGGGTTGACGCTGCAGTTCTTGTTGTTGTGTTGGCGTGGTGGTGGTGGTGGTGGTGGTGGTGGTGGTGGTGGTGGTGGTGGTGGTGGTGGTGGTGGTGGCGGTGGTGGTGGTGTGGCGCTGGTGATGACTGCTACAGCTCGTGATGCCATTGCTCACAGTTAGCTTCGTACCGCCGTTCATTATGCGGTACTTCATCGGACGGTGGTGCTGTATTGAAAGCTTCGAACCCTCAACTAAACCCTACACTCATGTTAAGCGCTTATGGCGCGTGCCAGGCTGGTCGTTGCGGCTGTGGTCGGTGGTCGTGCCAAGCCACAGCCCAAGTGAGGATCATCCCGGCACTGCCTTGGAAACAAGAGAGTTTAAGCAACTAGCAAGCGCAGACGAAATTCCGAAGGAAGAGCAGCTCGGAATTTCTTGTTATTGATGGCAGCACTACTCTCAGCTATGATCGATGTGAGCGTTCACACTATAAACAGTGAATGAAGATGCCCGGACCTCGTCAAGCCGTGCAGTACGCGCCAGAAACGCCTGGTAGTTGATTCTCAGGCCTGCAGAGGCCCATACTTCAGCAAATCATGGTCGCGTGCCTGACAACACCCCATCTGATGGCAATTGTAAGGGGCTGTCCGGGCGGCGCCGCTGCGGAACGCCAGGCGAGGGATTTGGGGTTTTGGGGTTCAGGGACACTTTAAAGCGGAACTCTAGCATACTCTAGCAACTAGCGCAGAGCCAAGGCGGCAGAATGCCGAATTCCAGTGATACATGTGGGTGAAGTGGCCTCACTTACAGGGTTTCTGGAAGTTCCGAGGTTTTGGCTTCGACGGTTTTGTGTGGGTGCTCCTTTTAGTAGACTTAGAGAGATGTTCCGAAAGGGGTTTTCATTCCCTGCATGGTTTCGGGCTCAAGTGACAGGTTTTCGTGCCTCGGCTCAAGCGGCCAGGATCACGAGTCTGATTATCCGAGATAGCCCTCAGGGTCCATGGTGCCCAAATAGTACATACTTTTCTGCTTAGGGTAAAAGTATATACTATTTGGGTGCATTCAACCCTTAGGGTAATGGAATCGCCCCAACTCATGGATCATCCGCGCAGGGGATGTCCGAAGGGTTGGGAAAGACAGAGGTTTGCAGAGTGAACTTGTATTCGTCCTGTAGAATGAGTCCCTGTAAAGCCTGTACCATGAACCACCTGAAAACCCTAATCATTCGAGATCCAGAGGAAGTGTGCGGAGTAAGAAACAACGGCGTGCAAGCACGGGGTTTCAGAGCTCTGTGGCTTCGGGCATCAGGGGTCTTCGAGATTTAGGGGTTCTAGGCTTCGGGCTTTAGTGTTATAAGGATATACCTACAGTCTCCATTGTAGTTCCTTTTTTGGTTAACCAAAATCTCCATTATAGGGGTAAAACCATAAAACGGGTTAACCAAAAGAAGGAACTACAATTGAGACTACAGGTAGGGTCCTTCGGAAGCCAAAGCTTAGGTTGCGGGCCCTAAACCATAAACCCTGAACCCTCAACCCTAAACCCTCAACCCTAAACCCTGAACCCTCAACCCTACACCCTAAATCCTAAACCCTCAACCCTAAACCCTAGACCCTAAACCCTAAACCGAAAGCTTGAGAGTCCCATGGGAGGCATTGAGCGAGCTCCTCCCGGGCTCTCGCCGGAGTCTGAGTCAAGTCGGCAGGTTTCGGTGGTTCGTTTAGGGTTTCTAGGCTTCAGGGTTTAGAAGTTTAGGGTTTAGAAGTTTAGGGTTTAGGAGTTTAGGGTTTAGGAGTTTAGGATTTAGGAGTTTAGGGTTTAGGAGTTTAGGGTTTAGGGCTTATAGACGTTTAGGGTTTAGAAGTTGAGGGCTTAGGAGTTTCAGAATCGTAAGAGAGCCGCTTCAGCTGGCTCACTCTTTACTCACTTCAAACCCGGGAAAGGTATAGGAGTTTCAGAATCAGAAGGGCCATGAAATAGCAGGATCCTCAAAATGTACCCCGTGCCATCGGAAGATACATGCATAATCATGCATACTGGTCTGCTTCCCAGAAAGAGATGCGCAGCAAAGCTGTAAATGGTGCTTTCTTGAAGACAGAGGTCTCTTTGCGTACAGCGGGTCCTTGTAACAAGGATGCCCCCTCTGAATCTAGCGTAAAAGCCAGAAAGTTGGAATATGATTATCCTAACCCCTTTCTGGTAGATTATAGGGTATCTTACGCTGAAACCATATTCCAACTTTCGGGAGTTCCCTTCAGGGTCTGGACTTCAAGATCTCTTATTGTCCGAAGCTCCCAAGTGAATGTCTTTGGTGTAGTGGCTGTGTTGTTCAGGGGTTACTTCGGGGCAGCTCCTGGACTATCGCTTGAATCTCTAAGTCTAAGATACAGAAGTGGTAGATTATGACAGAACGGACAGGCACACAGTGGTCATACAGCAGGAACGCAAGAGAAGTGGGACATTACTGCTCCATCGCAGGTGTTTCTGTCAGGAGCGGGGAAGTCGGGCTAGGGTCCCTTCTTATAGCTATACTTTAACGGAGCCCAAGACCCTAAACCCTGAACCCAAAACCCTGTCCCTCTTCAAAAACTATGTATATTATCACAGCCCAAAACCCCAAACCCTAAACCCTGAACCCAAAACCCAAAACCCTGTTCCAATTATCGAGGCCCCAATCCTCCTGAGGCTCCATCTCCAGTCGGGAGGATCTCCTTCGCTCCGCCGAGCTCTATGCGAGCCTAGTGTGAAGAAAAGGATAATCCCAGGGACCCTTAGGGGGGTTTAGGGTTTAGGGTTTAGGGCCCTTAGGGGGGGAGGGGGGACTTAGTAACTGGTTATTTTAGGGACTTATAAGTACCATAACCCCAATTAGGGTGCCTTTTAGGGTACTTATAAGTCTACTTACTACCTACTTACTAAGTCCCCCGACCCTCCAAGTAGGGGGGAGGGGGGGGGGGGGGCTACGGTACTCTACTTCCCTGAAAGTCCTTATGAGATCAGATTTGGGGAGCGGTTTGGGGTTTAGGGCCTTTAGCGGGGGCCTGCTTTTTGTGTGGGGACGTATGATTGACACATTGGTTTTTGGGATCTCAGGTACGGGCTATACCTTTTTTCCGTTACATATACATATACATATACATATACATATACATATACATATATATATATATATGTATATCGAGAGCGCGAGAGAGACATAGACATAGACATGACAAATAGACAAGAATACGTATGTACATATGTATGTGTCCGGGTTTTGTCCGGCAGCAGCTTTTTCTCTTGACTGCGGTAGCATCGCTGCATGATGCAGGCCGTGAAGACGATCAAATCTGATATCTAGCCTGAAGCCCGCCTGCCTATTATGCACAGCCGGAACCAGGCAGACCGTCACTTACAATAACATACAGGAGCCAACTTGCTTCTGTTCTTGTTGAAACGCAGATGGTAAGCAGGGTGATGATCACGTGCCTGCCCCTGCAAACCTTTGCACCGTGTGCCCTCAACCCTTAGCCCTACCGCTAAACTACCCGAAGACCCTAACCAGAGGCCCCATAGTAGTTCTTTTTTGGGATTACCTTATAGGATTCTATATATGAATCCCAAAAAGGAACTACTTTGGGACCTCTGGGTAACCCTAAGCCCTCAAAAAACACTCTCAACTGTCGTTTCGCGCAGGCCACTGAAGGCGGCAAGCCGTGCGAGGGCGATTTGGAGGAGCCCAGCACCCGGGAAACCGGTTGGTGTGGGAGGGGTTTAGGGTTTAGGGTTTGGGGAGTTCAGGATGTAGGATTTGGGGTTGATAAGGGTTTGGGGCGTTTATTAGGGTTAGGCTGCGGGGTCAACTTGCTTCGAAGGCAGAGTGGAAATTCATGCAGGGTTGAAAGTCTCTTTCACAAGTGAATTTGTTCAAGTCAAGGTTGCAGTGGCAATGAGGCATGGGCCCAACATTTTCAGCAATCAACCTCCTCAAGTTGCCTCAAAAATTTCACGACAGGGATCCAAAAGCCCGCGCTCAGCTTAATTTGTCCGCAAAGTCAGTTACAGGAATCCAACCGCGAAGCTCTGCACAAACCAGCTCGCACCTCAACCATTCCGCAACCCTGAACCTTACACCTTTATAATCATAGTTATAGCTATACTTTCATAAAATGGCCCTACCCAAAGCGTTAAAACGGTTTGGGTTTACGTAGATTTTAGCAAGCAAGATAAACCCTAAAGCTCTTGAGCCTTGAAGGAGTTCCATGCATGCAACACGCAGCCGTGCAGAGCTGTGCCTAAGGCTCCGGCGTCTGGGGAGGTTCTTCGGGTGTGAGGTTTGGGATTTAGGGCAGGGAGGGGTTTTTAGGGCATGAGGTTTCGGATTTAGGGTTTGGGGCTTTGGGATGGATGATGAACGTCTGCGGGCTTTCGGGGTGAATGGCTTCAGGTGTGGGGGAGTGATGGTGAGAGGTGAACAGAGTGTCCAGGCATGGGCGGCTCACAAAATCTTGGGGGCTGTTTGGTAAGATGGGGCTTTACCACATCCCCCGTCCTCCGGGAAAGGCTTGTTCACAAGGACTTGCAGATTGGCCGTTCAACTGAAAGTTCAAGGTTTGCGAGTTTGGAGGTTAAGGGGTTAGGGCGCTCGAAGTTGTTTTTGTTTTTTTGCCAAACTTGAGCCTATAAGCCCCTTGTAGCTGGAATGATCAAGCTCTGATGCCTCGCACCTCGCTTCGCAGACTCTTGCAACCAAAATTTCGAGCAAAGGACTACGTAGCGCCGCTTAGGGTTTAGCTGAGCAGACCAAACCACGACAACACCGAGCCGAAATCTTGACCTTACCTCCAGGATTGCTGCCTCTTTTCGACGGCAGGTTGTTATGGGCCCTACAATAAACAACTATAATCCTAGAGCCGAAATCACGGCCCAAACTTCGGAGTTTTAGGGTTTGAAGTCTATGCCTTCCGGTCTGCCGTTCAGCGGATCGGAGTCAAGGATTGGGGTTTTGATTCTGTTCCGGTCAGAAATTTGTTTCTGCCGGAGCACAACTACTAAGCGAAGCCAGGAAGTAAGAGAGACATGAGCCAACAGCGCGAATGGACGTGTCTACGCTTGAAGCGTCGGTGCACGCAGTCTCTTCGACAACTTACTAGTACGCGAACACAGAAACCCTGGCCAGCAACCTACCTCAAATAAGCAGAACTTGACAGTGACCACTCTCAAGCATCCTCCTCACCATCACCAGGACAGCCCTAGTCATGATAGGGCACTGCGCAGTCCCGTCCAACTCTGGACGCAATCAGCCGAGTTTAAACTCCAAGCCCTAGAGCGCGAAGGTTCAGCTCCCATGAAAAGAAGGTTAAGCTCCCTCTTCAGTCTGACCTTCTGCCCTAAGCCATATGGGTGGTTGTCAAAAATATGGTCCCTTTTCGGGTCCTTAATTACAATACGGCACCTAATATTTAGGGTACCCAAAACGGGACCCTAATTTTGACAACCACCCATATCTACAATCAGATGCATCCTACAGTCCTGAGATTTTAGGCAGTACACCCTTCTAGACTCTATGCCCTCAAACTGTGAGGGTATAGCCCAACACATACTAAATGATACTCATGTAGGAGCCTACTTGGTCAATGACACTGTTCCTAACGGCTCCTTCCAAACATAGTTTTAGTAGGGTTTAAACCATCCTCACACCTATTCTGATTATTAAGGCCCCATGTTGCCTTAGGGGATGAGCAGGTAGAACCTTTAAGCTTTTTAGGCTGCTGCGGCTACTACTAGAGCTCAACAGGTTAACCTTGTTTGGGCTAGGGCACTCACCTTGAGCTGGGCGCCTAAGAGGTGGACTGTGCCTTCGGCGACTGGACAAGGTGGAGTGACTGCTCTGCCTTGTGCAACGGGCACCAGGAGCCCGGCTTTTAAGGGGAATTGTTGGGTGCTTGCTCAGGGGGTTGGAGTTCAGCAAGGGTCTCTATGGATGTTTATTCAATTGCTCATGGGGTGTATGTAAAGGCCTTTTTGTGGGCTTCTACGGGTGTTGAACGGTGTTTATCCGGATCTGCAGCCCGCACACACACTAAAAGCAAAGATCAACAGCACAAGACCTCCTGAAATGTCCAAGCCTCAATATCCTCAGGCATGACCACCCTAAACCCTAAACCCTAAACCCTAAACCCATCATATAACCTTTCAAAGCTGAGCTTTGAACCCTGGCAGTTTGCAGGGCTTCAGTGTTTGGGGGTTTAGGGCTTGGTGTTTCCAGGCATGTTGGTTCCAGGCTTTAGCATTTTAGGCTTCATGGTTTCAGGGGCGTAGCTTATGATTGCCATAAACCATGGACACTGGACCTTGTTCTTTGGATCTTCCTGCATTTATGCTTAACAAATAATAATAATAGTAATAGTAATAGTAATAGTAATATAACATATAATAATAATAATAATAATAATAATAATAATAATAATGATAATAATGATAATAATGATAATGATAATAATGATAATAATAGAAATAATAATAGCAGTAATAATAATACTACTATAAGTAACAATACTAATATGAACCCCAGGCCCACGACTCAGCTGCTTCCGTCAGTGCGATATGCTGCGCTTGCAGCCACCTGTGAAGCAGCCACCGCTTTCAGCCACGTTGCTTTGAGGGGTAGGGACCGCGAATAAAGCAACGCGATCAGCGACAACAGCCCGTTAAAGCAGGATCAATAGTTTGCGGTGCTATGCCTCTTAAGTTTCGAAAACGTATTAGGCTATACCACCCAAAGCCTCAATCCGTTTGAAGTCAGCATTTTTTCAGTTTCACGACCTGCCTCCATCATAGCCTCATTTTGTTTTTTTGGACCACACCCCGAACCGGCCCTTCCGAACCCGGCCCTAGCCCCTAAGCCCGTCCCCCCCCCCCCCCCCCGCCCGCTTCCCAACCCCAAACCTTTGTTTTCAAAACTGAAGTGTCGGCTTTCAAGCCTAAGCTGTCTGCATGTGACAGCCTCAGAAAATCAGAGACCCTGAGTTTCGAGTTCACCCACAGTGTTGAGAAAGTCCATATATATATATATATATACATATGTATATGTATATATATATATATATATCATATATCATATATCATATATCATATCATATCATACAAAGCCCTTGCAGAACCCCCCCCCCCCCCCCATGTGCTTGCAGAGTTGCGTCTGGAGCCATGCCGGGGGGCCAGATCCGTCGCTTGCTGGATGGTGCGAAGGAGAAGCTTGCCAGGAAAGGAGGTAGGGTTTAGGGTTTAGGGTTCAGGGCTTTAGCATCGCTTACGAGTTTGGGCATATTTAGAATGAATAGTCTGCTTGGGGCTCGAGAAACTCTTGAGAGTTTCGCCTATTGTAGCACACCCCCAACCCCTCTTCGGCTTGCTTCTCCCGGGGGTCGGATTGATCGGTGCCCGGCTAGCAAAGCGGCTAGATCCTAGACCTAAGCTCTTTGGTAGGGTTGCAGTGGCTAGAGGTCAAGCACCCCCCTCGTCCCAAAGCCGCCCAAGGAAGCTTGTTGGCGTCAAGCGCATGCCAGATGTGCCCTGGCCCAGACTGCTTCGGTACCAATATAGTCCCTTAAATGGTAGGACCCTTTTTATAAGGAGCCCCAGATAAGGTACCCCTGCTTTTCGGCAACTCCCAAATCGCTTGTGTTCGAACGTGGTTTTTCGGTCCGTAAGCATCCAAGCTCTGCAGGACACAGATAGTGAGATTCCTGGCCCAAATCCCAAAGCATGGCACCCAGCCCTAAACCTGCAAGCCACGAACACGCAACCTCGAACCTGAGAGTCTGAATCTGCAATCTGCTCATCCCAACCTCGACGACTCGGCTGAAGCTTCTTGGTCACCTAGAATGCTTGCAGGGGGTATGGGCTTGTGGGTTTACGGTGTAGTGGTTTGGGGTGTAACTTAGGGGTTTAGAGAGACGGTGTCTTCGGGACTCAGAATTTCATTACGGACCCTGCACCAGTAGAGATCTCCATGCTAAACACTGAATCTTCAAGCCATGATGGCAACCCTTTCAAGAAGCCCTTACAGATTCTTCGAGGATCCCCTCGCAGCTCTCCGAATGGAGTTGGAGGAGACTCCGATGTTGGGGTTTGGGGGTTTAGGAGTTTAGGGTTTAGGGTTTGGGGGTTTAGGGTTTAGGGTGTAGGGTTTAGGGGTTTAGGGGTTTAGGGGTTCAGGGTTTAGGGTTTTGGAGAGGTCTTTGTTTGGGGAGTTTACGGAGTTCTTGGTTGATAGGGTTCTGTAGGGCTGGGCGTACTTCCGCATGGTTCGAAAGGGCTTCACAGGGCCTGTCATAGGATGCTAAAATAGGGGCTTATAGACTCCGCTGTAGGGTTTTGTCTGCTTGAAAGGAGTTTATGGGTGGTCGTATAGGCTTTGGAGCGGCCTTTCCGGGTTTCGTAGTGGCTGTTACTTTGAGGGTTGTGGGCAGTGCGATAGATACAGCTTCATAAAGGGAGCCTTAGATCTAGAGCAGTGCCCATAAAGGACCCGAAACAAAGTCCGTCAGCAGCCGCGCTTTGGACGGTTCTTTTCGTTGAGGGCTTGGGTCTTGGGGGTTCGGGTTTCCTTGCAAGCCGCGCAGGATGAAGTTTGCGAAGCTGGTGTTGTTCTGTGTTCTTTCGGTTACCAACTACGGCCGTGACCCCAAACCAGCACTGTGAGCTTTGAACCCAGCAGGCCCTAGCCGACCCGACTGGATACTAACGAACTTCGCACCCCGACACTCTGCACGCTAAGCCCCGCAGCTAAGGTCTGCTACCTTCGCCTTAGTCAGAGGCCCCATAGTAGTTCCTTTTTGGAATTACCTTATAGGATTCTATATATGAACCCCAAAAGGAACTACTTCGGGGCCTCTGGGTATGCTGTCTTGAAAAGCTAGGAGCAGAGACGCTTCTTTTTCCCGTTGTCCCAGTCTCTGGGGCTATGGATCAGCTCCCAACCCCTAAACTTCAACTCCTGAAGCCTACGCCCTAATCATCATAGTTCCTGGCTTACATATAAAATACACTGTAACCTTTAACCCCTAAACCGCCCGAGGCACTACAGCCCAGCCCAGTACACCTTTTCCCTGAGTTTGGACCCCGATATCCTAGAACCCGATTGTAGATCCCTTATGAAGGAAGCCTCTAAAGGACCCCGACATTAAACCTTCTCGCTTCGGTTTGGGATACATACATGCATATGTATATATGTGTACATATATATAAATATGTCTATACACATATATATGTATATATATATATATACACACCATAATCCTGAATCCTAAACCCCCAAACCCTATAACCCTCAACCCCTAAACCCTACAACCCTCAACCTCTAAACCCCAAACCCCTGAACCCCATAACCCTCAACCCCGAAACCCCTAAACCCCCTAAACCCCCTAAACCCCGAAACCCTACAGCTGCAAAACCCCGAAGTCTGCAAGTCAAAGGGGAAAAGGAGGGACCCTCAATAAGGACCCCTACCCTATAATGGGCTATATAATGGGTATATAGCAGCTATAATAAGGGTATAGACCTAGGGATCCTTATTAAGGGTCCCTCCTTTTACCCTTGGAGCCTTAAACCCTAAACCCTAAGCCCTTTCGCCTCGGTTTGGGAGGAGTTCGATGGAATCCTCGAGTCTTTCGGAGCGCTGGCAGCCTTAATGCAGCAGCACCTGCCCTGGAGCACGGTTTAGGGTTTAGGGTGTATAGGGTTTAGGGTTTAGGGTTTTAAAGACGATTTTTAAAGACAAAGGGTTAAGGGTTTGGGGTTTTGGTTTTGGGTTTCGGGTTCTGGATTTAAGGTTGAGGGTTGTGAGTTTCGGGTTGAGTGTTTGGGATTTAGGGTTCAGGGCTTATCGGTTTTGGTGTAAGGTTGAGGGTTTAAAGTTTAGGGTGGCAGAGGGTCTATGTAAGGGAGGTGCTAACCTGGTTTCAGACGAAGGTGTTCTTATCAGGCTTTCACAGGGTCTCATACGATAGTGAGAGGGTTTTTAGTTCTTTCTTGTTGGTAGAGCTTCGGGGATTGTTGCATTTTTTTTTTGGGGGGGGGGGGAAGGTTCCTTATTATAATCATAGTATACTATGTTCCAAAACCCTCTTCTAACTGTTAAGGCCCCTATAGTAGCTGTGCGGAGATGCAGAGCTGAGCGGAACCTCCGTCCTTTACCTTGCGAGCCGGAAGAAACGAGGAGCTTGCCCAAAACTGTTGAGGGGTAGGGCACCCCCCTGTGCTTCGCATGGGCTTGGTTTCGACTGTTAGGCCCGTTTTGCGCAGGGTCGTACTTGCCATCGTTGTGGTTCATGTACAGATCTCAGGGCTTGGCTGATGGTTGAGGGTTTACGGCAAGTCTGCATAGGTCGTTGGTCTGTCATGTGCAGTCTCCGTCGATTTGCGCCGCACCGGTTTTGAGCGAAGCCTTGATGGTACAAAACCTGCTGAAGAGAAACGGCTCCCCTGGCAAAGAAAGATAGATCTCCGAAGCGCCAAAAAAAGCAGATCCAACGCTTGCAGGCATCTGCACGGCTTCGCCACAGCACATCACGTAACCTGCTTGCAGTTGTTTTATGGCTTTAAAACCCTAAACCCTAAACCCTAGACCCTAAACCCTAAACCCTAGACCCTAAACCCTAAACCCTAGACCCTAAACCCTAAACCCTAGACCCTAAACCCTAAACCCTTTAGCCTCTTAGCTTCCATGGCCCGGGTAAGGGCCCCGGCTTTCCGGGACTAGAGCCTGAGTCTCGGGAAGTCAGGAACCCGGCGGAACCTTCATCCCCAAAAGCTAAACACCCCCCGAAGGTCCGAAAAATGCAGAAAAAAGGAGCCTTGATAATTACCTATACTTATATATATATGCTACCCCCCCCCCGGGTTATCCACCCGTTTTGGGGGCGAGGGAGGAGTTTGGACCGAAAGGTCCGTTTGGCGGGCCGCGGTGCGGAGCACAGCCATGCCTGCTCTCGCACCCGCCCGTTCTACGTGGGGTCCTCCCACACGCAGCCTCGTGTTGATCCTTTCCCGGGCCGCGGTGCGGAGCACAGCCATGCCTGCTCTCGCACCCGCCCGCTCTACGTGGGGTCCTCCCACACGCAGCCTCGTGTTGATCCTTTCCCGGGCCGCGGTGCGGAGCACAGCCATGCCTGCTCTCGCACCCGCCCGCTCTACGTGGGGTGCTCCCACACGCAGCCTCGTGTTGATCCTTTCCCGGGCCGCGGTGCGGAGCATAGCCATGCCTGCTCTCGCACCCGCCCGCTCTACGTGGGGTCCTCCCACACGCAGCCATAACCCAGCAGATAAGATATGACGGCAGCAATGGGCCATTCGCAGTTTCGCTATGCAACACGCAATCTTGCAGACTTCACCATACGAGGATACATCACCACACATGAACAGTGGTTATACAATCGTACAGCATGTGCACAGCCCCACTTCTTATCGAAATTATCTAGCAGCGAAGGCGGTATAGCCCCAGGCATTGTGGTATTTGTGTCCTCTAGATGACATGGGTGGGTATGTGGCTTCTCGTTCAATTGAATGCGCGGCAGACCGAGAGAAAGAACAAGATGTCATGAGCATCCGGCTTTTGTGTGTTAGAGGCAGCGAAAGCGTGTGATTCCGTCAAAATTGCGTCCTCGGCCTGCGACAGGCTCTTCCTGGATTGGCCCTAGTGGCTGTGCATCTCAGAACTTCTCCGTGATGTTGCTCATGTACCATGTGAAGAGCTCCCCGGTGCTGGCCCAAGCATCCTTGCCTCTCTGCCAATACTCAAATTGAGCGGAGCGTATCTTCGCCTGCAGAAGGGTGGAATTGCATTTCACGTTCTGGTTAATCTTGAGGCGATCTTTGATGAACCGCCACGCACGATCCACCACCTGAGTTCCTGCTTTCAAAGTGAGCTTGCGGCCATCAGGGAGTCTGTGCTTGGCGAGGCGCACAAAGGTAGGAGGCTTCCAAATCCATTTCCCACCTTTCCACACACGCTTCTTCTGATGGACCACGGCGTCATGGAGAACTCCTGCCACCTTGGCCTTGTAACTCCGAGCGCTATCGGTGTGGAGTATGATGTTGCGGCCCTTGAGCCAGGTATTGGCGATCTTCGTCCAATGCACTTTCTTGATGGCGCCCGGGCCTGGTGCTCTCTTGCGTGTGTTCACGCAGGGCAATCGGAGCAAGACCAACGACGACGGCTTGCCGCGGACGACCATGCCGAGCCACTGCTCCCATTTGATCTTGCTGCCTCGCACAGGCGAATCTTCTGCTGGAGCAAGCATTTTGTCGAACACTGCCTCGTCTGCCTCTACCTCCGTCCACTTCTTGCCCTTCGGGTTTCCAAAGGTCATAGACCTCTGGTGAGCTTCGACGTATGCCTTACGGGTGAAGGCTAGGCCCTTCTCAATACGTTCGATGGCCTTGTGGTTCATATCCAGCAGAATGTGGATGCTGGAAAGCGGGACGCCGGCAAGCCGCAGGAGTAGAGCACAGCCTTGCACGGCAAGAGAGTGTCCTTCTGACCCTTTGGCGGAAGTGAACACGGGATGAAGATGATGTGGCAAGATGAACTTGTGGCAGTTCCTGTTGCGGCACCGGTACCGCGGTGGAAGCCCATCGCGCTTCTGGAGCGTGGACACTGCACTCTTGTTGCAGAACGGGCATTTCATCTTGCTCCAATCTGGCAAGAATCCATCTTCGGTAAGGATCTTCACCATGCGATCCTCGTCCGCGTTGAGCAAATCCTTTAGATTTCGCTTCCACTTCATGCGGTCCATGCGGAGCACGCAGCCGTCGCGAACGTAGGGGACCTTCTGCCACAGTTTGGTCTGGGAGCTTTGGCCGACGGGCTTCTTGGTCAAGTTGGTCTTGAGAAGGAGCCTGGTCTTCCCCTTCTTCGCACAAGGAAAGATGGCGGAAGGCTTCTTGCTCGGCAACTGCTTCCCCATGGCGTGTCAACCCGAGGTCCTACACTGGTCCACAGTGTCTAGGAGTCTAGGCGCTAAGACTGCTGCTTCCAGTATATACATCGGAAAGACGCGACGATCAGATAGAGGAAGCAGTGCCTGCAAGACGCGGAAAGTGCAACCCACAGCAACCGATGCGAGCAATTATTTTGCATTCGGCTCGCCGATAGAGAGATGTCAAAACTACCACCGGACACGTCAAGACAAGACCATTGGTCTATACTCGCCCGGAAGTCCATTGGGTTTATTCTACCGCAGCCGCGCTGGCTACTCCTCTGCTCAGGTCACTGGTCATGCATGGCAAGGGCGGCCTCTTCGTCCGGATCCATTGCTCGCACGAGTGTCTCCTGTTCATCCGGACACAAGGGCGCTGACGAAGCGGAGGCGGTCTCGGGAACTGGAGACTTACCACGGATTCTGCGAGCTTTGCTTGCAGAGGGATTTGGAATGTTGAACGAGGCGCGGTCCACCCGATTAGGTTTGGGTCCGGTGCCAATGTACAGTGAGAGGCGAAGGTCACCTGCTGCTTGTTCTCCAGTCTGCTGAGGCGATTCAGGCGAGTCTGGAAGAACGCGAACAGGGCGAAGCCATGTCTGCAGGGTGTTGTTGCAATCCTGGATGTAGTTCTTGACATTGGGGAAGCTAGCCATGTAATCTGCACGCTCGTCGATCATGGCCTGCTCTCGCTCCACTTCAGCTGCATAAGTGGCGGTGTAGACTGTCAAGCCATTCTTGTAAGTGTTGTAGTGGGGCTTGTCTTTCTCGGCCAGCAGATCCTTCTGGATGTCGCCCTTGCTGATTCGGTGGACTATAGCATCCGGGCGTTCAGAGGGCAGGCGGAGATACAAGGCAGAATCTGTGAACGCGAATGTAGTGCATCTCTTCAGAACTGCAAGTATGTCCTTCTTATGGGCGTCGGCAAAAAGAGGACCAAGGAGTTTGATGAAGGCCTCGGGGTCGAGAGTCGTGTCTGCTGGTAGAACGCCTGCAGGTTCATCGCCTGTGTCGTTGGAGGCCAGAGCCCTGAATTGATTGCGCGTCAGGCGAGCGTCGTTGTAGCGGCCGCTTACAGTGCCGTCTTCATCGGTCGTGACAAAAGACTTCAGGTCGGCCATGTCCAGGCGTCGCCCTGAAGGGTCGTCCAAGAAAAGTGCTTCCTGGATCTGAGGCGATCTCTGCCTAAAGTTGTCAAGAGATTTCCCTCGTCTCCAGCCAGGCTTTGCTCCGTGTAGACCCAGGCGTCGGACGTGGTAGCGTCCGATGGCCATGGCCATGGCGATGATGGCCGGCGTCTTGCCGACTCCTGGATTCCCGACCATGATGATGGCCGCGCTCAAGAGGAGGGGGTATACCAGTGGCAGAATGTGCTCCGCGAAGGTGACGTTAAGGCTGGAAGTCGTCAGCGGGAACTCAGTCATGGGAACGGACCCGGAAACACCACGGGACTTGTTTTGGCACATGCTCCTGACTTTGATTTCTGGCCAACCTGCCAAGGGGGTACCGGAGTCTGGCTTGATGTTGGTCAAGATCCAGTATGTCTGCTGATTGAGAGCGTCGCAGTCAGGAGCGAAGGTGTTGATGTAGCGAATGCCCTCAGCAAGCTCGTCATTCTCCGGCGACCACAGGTTGGATGATGATTTGTGCAAGGTGTCCTGCGACTTGTCTTCTAGTTTGTGCCAGTGCACATGATGTCCACGCACCCTTGCCAACGCCCACTGGAAAGCCTTCTTTATAGCATGAGGCCCGTTGCGGAACACCGGCACGAAGGGTTTCCCGCTGCACATGGACAAAGCTGCAGCCGAGGAAATGGACTTTTCAAGGTATATGACTTTGATCACATTCCAGCAGCCGTCACTCATGTTCTGGATGATGATGTCGACTTTGCTCGTTTCCGGCGGGATGGTGGGAAATCGGAGGGGAAGAGGTAGTTGGCCTAAATCGCCTATCGCAACATGGTTTCCAATGGTGTTGGCGCTGCCGCATTCCGTAATGCCTACGTGGGCATCGACGATGACGGATGCAGATTTGACGTCCTTAGTATCCAAAGGGCGACAGACACCCGCCAAGAAGTCTGGGATCGAGAACTGATCGGCCGAGTCCTTCGTGAAGACGTCGGGCTCGGCCAGCATTCGCACCTGGAAGTTGCGACCCCCTACTGACGCAATGCCTTCGTCCATAATTTTGCCTGTCATGGTTGAGTGTTGCCCTGGAAGACGACGACGATGAAGCCGAGGACGCAGCAGAGGAATGACAAGTCAGAGACCCTGATCCACTGCGTGGCAAATGCATACGAAGACAAGAATTCATTTCGTGGTTACATATGCACCTATGCGCGTCTCTGTGTGTGTAACCTGTCTGTACACGCTCGGTGCTGTATACTCATGTCCATGCGGCTTTCCCTTGCACATCACAAAAGCAGCTGGCTACTGGCGAGAGTATTTTTCGCGTGGTGCCAACGCGATGCTTGCTGTGGTGGGACTGCACAGTCGCCACTGCAAAGACTTACACGTTCAGGCCGAGGGCTTCGTTCGCCGCCCACAGGTCCTGCGTCACATCTTCCAGCATGCTCTTAAGGTGACGCACTCGGCGGCGCAATGCGCTCTTATGTGTGGAAGAGGAGCTTGAGCTTGAGCTGGAGGAACTCGAACTTGCACCATCGACGTCCATGGTCTGGGCCTCCTCTCCCGGGTTGTTCTGACCGCTGTTGTCGATGATGTTGCCGATGGGCTCGGGGACGTGTGCGTCGGAGTTCGTCTGTTCCAGAACATCGTCGTTGTCGATGGGCTCGGGGACGTGTGTGTCGGAGTTCGTCTGTTCCATATCATCGTCGTGTTCACCATCATCTTCCGCCGGCTTGTCTTTGATGGCCAGGAGTTTGTCGGCATCCTTGATGTGGTTTCCTTTGGCATAAGGCTTCTTGCTGGAGGCCAAAAGCCGAAGAAGCCGCAAGTCAGCTTCTACGCTCCAACCACCATTGGCCCCAACTTTCAAAGAGAGTGCACGTTGAATATTGTTCATGGCGACCTGCAACGTCTTCTTCGTCATGGGATCACGAGTGGGGTGGATGAAGGCTTTCCCATCCATGATGGCTTCATGGATCTTGTCGTCGCACCGGATGTTGGAAGCTGGCCAGGGCACCCTTGTCGCTGTCGGCGTAGCCGGAGGTGGCGTCGTGTTGGGATTGGTCGGCACCAGGCGGAGATGTGCGGCACCTTCCTCGAACGACACGACTCCGGAGACGTGCATACCGGCCATGAGGAACGGCACGAATGGGAGGATGCACGGGCGCTGAGAATCGCGAAGGCTGCGAGGCAGGAGGCTACGTTTAGCAGGCAATTGCATGGAAGTTGATTGCGGGGTATTGAAGTTCAATCCCGAGGATTGAACTTCAATACTCCCCCGGATCCAAGATTCAAGATTCAAGGTTCCTGGAGAAAGTTTCCCCAGGATCTTGAATCTTGAATCTTGGATCCGGGGGAGTATTGAAGTTCAATCCGCGGCATTGAACTTCAATCCTCCGTCTGTCAGGGTTGTGCAAAGACAATGTGTTCTAGCATCGTGTGCTCGTGCGTTAGTACTGCACATGCAATAAGGCTCGGAGTGTGCACGTACATGGATACAGACTACAGATGCTTGAATAATGAGGGGTCAAGGGCAACATGGACAGGATCTACCCCAAAAAGCGTGGATAACTCGGGGGGGGGGTACCATATATATGTATATATATATATATATGTTTTTTTTTTTTGGGGGGGGGTTCCTTATTATAAGTTTAGTATGATGGGCCCCAAAACCCTACTGTAATTGTTAAGGCCCTTAAGGCTCCCATATTAAGCCCCTTGTCCCTCGCAAGCTGCCTTTTTAAATTTCGGACTCGTGATCTTCACAGCCCGAACAACCAAGAGGTCCCTCGTCAGTATGTTGGAATTCTTGATGGTTTAGGGTTTAGGGTTCAGGGTTCAGGGATAAAGCTGTAATTACCGTTCTGATGCAGGGCCTACTGAGGGGAACCTGTTGTACCAGCCTTCCCAAAAGAAAGAAGCCCCTACAGAGAGCCCAGGATCCCTACAGAGCCCAGGATCCCCAGAGAGCCCAGGATCCCCAGAGAGCCCAGGATCCCCAGAGAGCCCAGGATCCCCAGAGAGCCCAGGATCCCCAGAGAGGGAGCGCCCATAGAACTCCAGGATGTCTTGGACCGGCTGGTGGTCTTCACTCCTGACAGCCATTGCCTGCCTGGATCTCAGTCCCAGACCTTCAAGGGTGGGTTTCCTGCGTTTAGGGGTCGAGGGTTTAGGGTTCAGGGGCCCACGGCCTCCACAGGGTGCTAGGAGATAAGCAAAAGAGTCGTAAGCCATCGTTCCGGTTCTCGTAGCTGTGAAGATCAGTCAGAGAGCTGCAGTAACCCTTACTCGGGGAGATCCTTGTCGGTGGAAGATCTTGAAGAGATCTGTTTGGGTACTTCGGGGTCCTGGTTCCCTTTCAGATGAATGAGATATTTCTTAGGTGCGGCCCCCATACAGTAAGAGTCTATAATAGGGCTACTATTAAGGTCCTACTACACCTATATTATGAACTATGAGATATTTCAGACTTTGGGGTTGAGGCGTGCTGGGTCTCGGGACTGGGGGTTGCGGACGTAGGGCTTGGGTCTTGGGGTAATACGGCGCCTAATATTTTTAGGGTACCCAAAAAGGGACCATAATTTTGACAACCACCCATATCACAGATTGTACTGCGCGGATGGGTCAGTCAGTAGAGCGCAGTGGCAAGGTCGGGCCATGTGCGTCAGATCCGCGTCGTCTTCGACTTGCTGCGGGATCAGCTTGCGTTGGGGACTGAGGCAGCGGCCCTTCAGCTGCCGTTTCCTGTACTTTGCCTGTTCTGTGACTGATCCTTTGATCTCCATGTGCTGTTTCTGAAATGGCCCAGATCACAATCAACACACTGAGCGTTTGCCATCTTCTAGATGCCTTCACGTGTCACGAATGCTGCGAGGCTTTCGACAGCTTGAGTCACACGTGCCAGCAGCAGGCCACTGAAGTATTCATAGTTGTAGCTGCAAGTGTGATTCTGGGTGTTTCCATAACCCTATGTATTACAAAACCTCTGTCGAACAGGCCCAACGAAGCCTGCCGCTTCAGGAGGCACTCGTGCCAGCGCTGAGATGTGCTTCTTGAGTCTTAAGTTTTGCCTGATACGGGTTCGGATCTATGAGGGCCTAAGGGTTGTATCGGGATTTTCTACACGGTCTTTCTGCGGGGTTTGAAAGGATCGAGATGCACCGTATGTCTTGAAGGATTTGACGCTTAGCATGTGTGTTCTTTGGGTTTTTTTGGTTGAGGATGTGGGATCCTGATGTGGGGTTCCCAACTGCAGTTTTAGGGGCCCTTTGGATTTTCTTGCCCTGGTTTCCGACTCTAAACCCTGAGCCCAACTTCCACGCGGTTTTTTCGGGTGGGTGGTATGGGGAGGTTTGTCTTATCTAGGGGTTGAGCGGCTTTGCAGCCTGGAGCCTGAACCCAAAACCCTAAACCCGTAATCCCAGAAGCCAGAAACCCTAAACCTTAAACCCTAAACCCTTAAACCCTAAACCCCAAGCCATACACCCTGACCCCTACTGAACCCTACTGCACCCTAAACCTTAAACCCTTAAGTTTATTGGGCCCCAAAACCGTATTCCAGTTAATAAGGCTCCTATGTTAAATCCTTATAATAGCCCTTATAGCGGCCCTTATAGACAACTTTAATGGAACCCTATTCTTAATCATTAAGGCCCCTATATATCAGCCCCTAAATTACGTGTCAGGCATTCATCGGCCGTGACCGTGCCTGGGGTGTTCAGCAGCATTACGAGACGAAGGCACGGATTGCTGTTGGGGGTGCTTGGTCTCTTAAACGGCTGTGCCCCTATATTACTGCGTTTCTATAGTACTAGACTTTTTGCTGCATATATTCTATCTTATTGTATGACTATACTACTACTATGTAAGAAGGATACTACTGGTAGTATAGTTGTATGCTGCCGTGTTAGTATCACCATATTATTTACTGAGTGTTTGGGGCAATCGTGTTCGATATGGCTTGGAAGATTTGGTGCGCAAGTTGTTTTGTTCTGGAGCTTTCTAGCATTTTTTTGTGGATGCATGCGCCTATGTCTCTCCTCTCGATCTGCTTGTCTGCTTGTACCTAGCCATCTAACTAGCTCTCTTTGATGTTTCTGGCCGTCTATCTACGCACATATGCGCACAGATTATATGCATACACATACATACATGTATATATATATATATACAGACAATATATACACACACATATGTTTATTTATCTAATTGCAGAAAGCGTCGCGCGACATGCCCGAGTTGGCCTGCTGTCATCCCTGTCTTCTACAGCAAAAGCTCATGGATTTGGACGTCTGGTCGGATTCCAAATTTGTCATGCTTTCTTGCTTTATCAAGAACTGTAGACAAGTCTTGGCGTCAATGTTTTGCGGACTGCATGGAAATCACGTTGCAAGATGCCAAAGTTGAGCTCATCAACGTGCTCCATGGTGGCAACCCTCGCTGCGGCATCCCTTTCCTTTTGAATTTATGCGGAGAGTCAAAGTGCAGCAGAGGCAATCGTTTATCGCGAGAGTTCTCGACAATTGCAACAGCCATACTCCGATCCGATCGCCGCGCAGCAATCCCGAATTTTCCCGTCTATCAGGGATATTGCGCATGGATGACTCCAGCATGCATGCGGAAGTATCTAGCTTGATGGGAGGATCTCTTTACGTCTTGCTGTTCGACGGTGGTTACAGCAGGTGTCGTGATCTACACGACGACATCTCTTTGTGTCATGCTTTGGAAACAGAAGGTTCTCGTGCTGGTACACAGATTCACTGCTGGGGACCTTTGCGTGCCGAGACTCTCCCTCGGCCTCTTGTTCGTCGCGGCTTAGCTCAGTTCTACCGCATGCAGCATGTCGTGGACTTTGGGAATTGCCTTCTCACATCGTTGTACTACATGGAGGACGAGTGCAGTTTGGGTGAGTTGACTGAGAGCGAGCTTGATGATGGCATGTCGGCCAGAGAGTTCAACCTCTCCTCTTTGCATCGTTCACTGCGTGATGAGAGCGCAATGTATGATTGAAATATCTCCCTGGTGGTTTCCGATCTGATGAAGCAGAACAAGGCGCAGTCTGTGCCTTGCATGATAAGGGGAGTTCGGGGTCGCAGGCCATTGGTGGACCGCCAAACTGTGTGAGATGACAGAAGTACCAGTCATTGACTCACGAGCTCCAGAGTGTTTTATTGGTGCGAAAGTCACTGAGTTCCAGAATGTCTTGGAGGAGATCGATGGTGCCACTGTCTTCCTATTGACTTTGACGCCATCGACCGAGCCGGTGCATAAGCCTCCTGACTCCGCATACGATCTGCGTGGCGCAGGTCCCTCACCACCACAGGTTCGAATTTGCCGTGAATGCAGTTCCCCCCTTGCACCAGCCACCTGCTCGCGAAGTTTCCGGGCGCGTTTACACACTCAGTGGATTGAGACAAGTGGTGCATGCGCTGTTCCAGGAAGAGCTGTCGAGCACACCAGCACTACATAGACTATACACAACTACAGACATTTAGACGGCCAAAAAGCACCACAATCTGCCTCTAGAAGACCTTGAGCATGTGTTTGTGCACAGCAAGGTGGGATTCGAGCCGCATTTCTTGGACTACGACGATGCACTTCAGTTCTGTGGAGGCATCAGCCACAATGCCATTTAATTCGCACAGCTTCAGCCACTTCGGGAAGATGCGGATCAGCAGCACAGGCGGCATCGCGAATACGCAAGTGCACAACTGAACTACTCTGTCGTCTTGGAAAGTAAGGAGATGTGGGGAAATTCCACAGAGGCCACACGACACCCCATTTTCATCATTGACATCGTGAGCCCTCTCTCCAACAACTTCCTTGCAGACAATCAGGAGTGGTGGCATAAGCATCAGCTCTCCAGAGCAGACTGGCGCAAAGTCACCGAGGTGGTCATGGATGGACATGAAAAGGTTGCAGCCAAGTGTCAAAACCGCAGTACGGCGGAGTCCTCTGTGACAGTCGCATATATGGTTTTTCTATTCAGATACATATGATTGCATACGTCGAAAATCATAAAAATCATAGATACTTTAGCACGAAAAGCACAGGCGTGTATATACACATACAACATACATACATGTGTATATTTAATTAGATATATGTACATACACCTTATATGTTCATGAACCTTTTTATGTTTGTATGAAATTTGCAGATGAACAATAATGCAGGAGTGTGTGTGTGTGTGTGTATGTGGCTGTATGTGTGTGTGTGTATATATATGTGTATATCCATATCCATCCATGCAGTGGGTGCGTTGTGGTTACAAGGCTTGTGACTTATCACTTGCGGGTCATGGCCTGAAGGGCTTTGCAGGATTTCAGGGGGTGACCTCTTGTCAAGAGTTGACAGAAGAATCTGAGGGCTTTGATGACTAGACTAGATTTAGCGGGATGCGGATGCTGTTATTCTGAGTTTACAGGGCCTAATTATCAGGGATCGAACCACTCCGACCTCGATGTTGCCTTTTCAATTTGTGGGGGGTGTTGACTTGGAGAGGCAGGGTATCGGGATGTTTTTGGGTTTTTGGATCCTTATTAGGGTCGAATATAGGGTTCAGGGTCTATGGAGTTGCAAAGCCCTACAAACCCTAAAAAGCCGAACCTGGTGATTTCCGAAAGGAGGTGGGCATAGGTGGGCCCTTCCCAACATGAATTTAGGATTTAGGGTTCGGGCTTAGTGCCCTATATGTTTTTGTTGTGGGCTGAGGCTTCAGGGTTCTGCGGTGTTCGAGGAAGAAGGACCTCCCGAATATGAAAAGAACGTCTGGATGCCACCTTTTACAGAGCCGCCTGAGTGGTTCGGGGATGTTCGGGTTGGGGATATAAACATGGGTTTAGCATCCGGTTAAGCTGCCAGAAAGAGCCGATCAGCCGACAGAGCCGGAATCTACAATTTGGGCCTCAGTTGAAGCGCCTGAACGACAATCTTCACCGTTCCGGCCCCGACGGCAACGATCGCCTGGAGAGAAATCGCTGCATGGCATAACATCGTAAGGAGCATAGTTTTGAAGCCTGAAAAGTATTGAATGTTTTCCTCGGGCTTCTAAATTTTCACTCCAGTACAACATGCCCCCAAACAGTATTCTGTTACTCAGGCCCCCATAGCACTACAGCATCCGCATTTCGACACAGTTTGGCGGTCAGAACTGCAGGTTGTTGTATTTGTGCATACGTTTGATTACTGACGCATGCTCATCTGCTACGTGCACGTGTGTGTGTGTGTGTCTGTGTGCATATCTGTCTAGACAACAAACAACTCAGTTGTGCAGCTGTGTCCGGAAAACGAGTACCAAGCAAGCCGTAGCTGGTCGAGTAGATTTTGTAGACTCTCGGATCATCTCGGGTCGCTCTAGATAACGCAGCGTTTAAACCGTTACCATGCGAATTTACGTGCGTTTGTTGAAGTACTCAGGCATGACCGTATGTGTGTGTCTTCGTTTTGGGCAGACAAGCGAACAGACAAACAGACAGGCTGACAACATTTGTCGCATGCTGCACGTAGAGTATCTCAGACGTAATTTTCACAACTGTCATGTTTTTTAGATGCCTGTGATCCCCTGAACGCTACACTCTGTGCTGCAACTTACCCCGAAACCCTCTTTCCAGGAGCCGCAATGAATCGTGGTTTGTTCCAGGGTCAGGGAACTTGGTAAGTAGGATTGTGAATAAAGAAACTATAAATACTTGCATTTACTTACAACCGCAACTAAGATACTTCAAATCTTACCAGGTTACTAGGTCCTCTGAGCTTCAAGTATTTATCCTTCATCACTATACAGAAACCTTAAAGAACAAACCCCTGATTATAGATCCATGCAGAACCAACCATGTAGAACACATACCCTTAACCCTGGACCTCCCTAATAAGGATATGTATATGTATATATATATATATATATATATATTAGAAATGTATATCTATATATGTATATATATATATACATACGTATGTATCTATTTTTTGAGAGAGAGAGAGAGAGAGAGAGAGAGAGAGAGAGATAGATAGAGAGAGAGAGAGAGAGAGAGAGAGAGAGAGAGAGAGAGAGAGAGAGAGAGAGAGAGGGAGAGAGACAGAGAGAGAGAGAGAGAGAGAGAGAAAGAGAGAAGAGGGGCAGAGAGAGATCCCCTATGGAACCCATCGAGCCCAGGCGGAAAGCTGCTCCGCGCCAGAGCGGAAGTCGAACGGCTAACCAGCGAGGTCGATGAGGTCAGCAGGTGAGAGATAGCATAGTACCTTAGGATTCCTTTAAAGGGTTACTATTAGGGTACTAGAGGGGTTCCTTTAAAAGGCTCTAAATGGGTTTACAGTTTCCGAAATTTTCTGGGTATCTTTTTCTGGTGTCCTGATATTGAGGATCCTAGACTATTTGGGGTACTACATTAGGGTCCCCTACTCTTGGAAGCTCTTGTATAAGGGGCCTTAATCACGGGAACAGGGTATGGGGGCATCTTAAAAGTAGCATCATCATGATAGCGCGGGTCTCGACTGAATGCTATTAGTAGTTTCTGAGGCTTTTTTATGAAGGGTCTCTCTGGCTTCTGCCGGCTTCTAGCAGCTTTTTGCAGGTTTCGAAGGCTCGATAGCTGGCGGGCTTTGGCTTCAAGGCATACGAAAGACGAAGCCCCTAATAGTGTGTCCGTAGAGTTTGGATAGCCATAGAGGCCGCAATGGCGGCCGCGGGGGACATGCTCAGTTTGAAAATCTTCAACTCCTCCACGGGGGACTTGATCACGGTCGTGAGCCTGAGCGCTGCCAGCAAGCTCGAGGAGCTGTGTAAAGAGGTGACAGCAGCGATGGGAGCGTCGCCTTGGACGGACTTGCGCTTCCTCTACGGCAGCCGGGTTGTGGAGAGGTCGGAAGTGCTCGGATCGCTGGAGCCAGGCGCCACAGAATTGCAGCTCTCCGTCCTGAAACTGCCGCGCCTGTGCTTCCGCTGCACGTGCGACGTCCTCGCAGCAGCAGCACTGCCCTGCGAGGATCTCTTGTTGGCTTGCACAGGCAACATAACCTCGACGAAGGACGACCAAGTCTTTGTCCTCGGTAACGATGAAGGATTGCGCAGCCCGATCTGGATTTGGCGCGCGAAGGCTGCAGATGGCTGGTCTTTGGATTCCGCCACCTTGCTCGTCAGAACCTGGCCGGTGACTAGCATGAGCTTGCTGCAGGATACCCTATCAACGTTCTCGGATCGATCCGAGATTCTCGAAGCCTTCGAGGTTGTGGAATTCAACAGGACAGGGACATGGGACTTTTGGCCTGAAAAATGGAAACATTATCTGCACATGAGCATCGCCGTCTACAGCGACGAGTTTGCAGCTCTGGCCTGGAACCAGAACGACTACCTCGGGGGCGAGGGTGTCATACAGAGACTAAACTTGCAGACGGGCGAGATTGTGCGCTGGGCGACCAATTACGATCTCAATGACATCGTGGTCGAGCCCGAGACTGGAAAGTTGTTCTTGACGACATGCTACGATGGCGCAGACATTGTGGCTCTCAGAGACGAGTGCGACTTGACCAATGCCGCGGCACACACGGACATGCGGCCCAATGCTTACATCAAGTCACAGGCAATCGGGCTGGGGGGCAGCTTAAGCCACGACAGTGCACTCGGGGTTCCGGTCGCCAGTGGTCAGGATGCATCCTTCTTTGTTGTCGGTCCTGCCGATGCGCCTGGCCTGCAGTTGGCAAAGTTGGCCCCTGGCGCGACGGGGGTCGACAGCCTCCGGCCGCCGGGACACGACCACACGCCGGGAGACAGGACGCAGCCCTGGGAGTCGGTGAGGATCCCTTTGTCAGATGCTGGGCTCTTGTTAAGGGACTCAATTTAATAAGTTACCATACTAGGGATCTATAGTAACTACTATGGTTTCTTTTTTTTGGGTAGCTTAAATGAAATCCCTTAACAAGAACCCAGGATGGTGACGAGGACTGGGCGCTGAGCAACTTGCGCTGTGTGAACGGCGTCGTCACTTACTTAGCCAGGAGGATGCCAGGTCTCGTTTTGGGATAATTTGTTAACTTCCCATGTTGTTTAATATGGGGCCCTTATCATCAACAATTTATTTGGGAGTTGTTGAAATCGACACCTATTATAACCCCTAAACCTTACACCCCAAACCCTAAACCCTGAATCCTAAACCTTAAACCCTAAACCGTAGACCCCAAACCCTAAGTCGTCAACCCTAAACCACAAGCCTATATACATCAATACTTGGCGTTCTTCTGGTTGGCTCTCTAGACTTTAACTTTTTGAGTTTCTATATGAACTATAATAAGGAGCCAAAAAGTTTAACTTTTAGGAGGGGTTCAGAAGTCAGCCAAGAATAGACCCCAAGGAAGGAGCTCCGGATCTCCAAGGAGATCCGGAGCTCCAAGATCTTTGGCACCTCCAGCGCAGGCAACGAAGTCATCTCTTGCGGCGAGGACGAATGGATTCAGACCTTCGTGGTGATGCCAAATGGCATGATCGTCCTGTTCATTAAATCTGGTTCGCCTTATTTCTGAATGAAACAGCACTCACTTGCTGCGTTTTAAGGCAGGCAAATGTTGAGCCAAGTCGGTTTCTCCGCTTCCCTCGTCAGAGGCTCGCAGCGTACAGAAGCCGCAGCAAATACCACAGCTTCACGCTGCTGCAAAAGTCCCAGGCATCAGAGTCTGGCAGCGCGCCCTTGCCTTGGATTCCTCATCGCTCGACCACCTGCATCGCTTGTAAGTTTACCCTAAACCCCCAAACCCTCTCCACTAAACCCTAAACCTTATGTCAGCTTGGGAGGATCGAGCAGGCGTAAAAAGGAGATAAAAAAACCCTTAACCCTACCTATAGTCTCCATTGTAGTTCCTTTTTGGGGTTACCTTATAGGATCCTTCATATATAATTGGTTAAACCAAAAAAAGGAACTACAATGGAGACTATAGGTTAACCCTAACGGATCCCTCGCTGGTTCCAGGCCGGTCGCCAAGCTGCGGCAGCCAAGCATTGCTTCTCGGATGTGTGGTGGTTTCTTAGTGCCTGGAGCAATCTTCGGGAGTCCCTAGACCCCAAACCCTAAATTCTTCATGGTTTCTTGAGAGTTGGGGCAATTCATGGGAGTCCGTAAACCCAAAATCCTAAACCCTGTTGTGCTAGAAGGTCTGCGGTCTCGTCTTGTGGTTGGGGATCCGAGGATTATGCCAACCCTGAACCCAAAACCCTATGCCCCAAACCAACAAAGCTGAAAAATGCAAAAAGCCCGCGTCCACGCTTGGGCTTTCCGTTGGACAGGGCCCGCTTGAAGAATGGAGGCATTGCCCCAAAATGCTCTGCAAATACCCTTCCACAGCGAACCCTGAACCCTCAATGTCCAGAGCACTCAACTGTCTGTCTGGTTCTTAGGAAGGGGGAAAGGATCCCTATAGTAGTCCCATGAATTATCGTCAATACCAGTCTACATAATCCATTCCCACATTCCCTACTAAGAACCTGGGACTACTTATGAATTTCCGCAAAGGGATCCCTATGATAGTCCCTTAAGGTCTCCGATAATAGTCCCAATACCCCATTCCCCCATTCCCGACTTTGTTCAGGTGGGCGGTTGTCGAAGTTATTTTTTCCGGGTACCCTAATAGGTGCCGTATTAAATAAGGACCCAAAGCGGGACCCTACGTATGAAATAAGGACCCAAAGCGGGCCCATAATTTTGACAACCACCCAGGTGTTTTGGGATTGGCCCTGGTGTCTCTTTGCGGGGCGAAGGCCTTTCGGCAGAGTCGGGATGATGTCGGATCCAGGAATTATGTGGGTAGTTGTCAAAATTATGGTGCCTTGCTGGGTCCCTGTTGTAATACGGCACCTATTGTTTAGGGTACCCAGGAAGGGACCATAATTTCGACAACTACCCCTGTAGCATCTTGTGCTTTCTTACTCTGATGGGACAGGGCCAGCGAGTGTTGGGAACTTGTTTTTTGGAGCTCGCATGCTGTCGACATGTTGGGGGTTGCCGGTTGGTGGACTTCTTTTCGTGTCGCAGCGGGCACGCTTCCTGGGGCAGCTTTATACTTAGCTTGGCTTGGGTTGTTTGGGTAGTTTTGGAAGTGGTCAATGTAGTCAGTGTGGTTCAGGAAAGCGTGCGTGATGCTTTGCAGCTGCTCCTGTGGCAGAAATCCTGAACCCAATACCCTAAACTCGAACCCCGCATTCTACAACTCAGGCCAACCCGACGCCCTCAACTCTGGATCCTTTACAAACTTTTCTTAGCTCTAGATCCGGTAAAGACCCTCTGAACGCTAAGTCCGAAGCTTTGAACCACTTCATGGATCTGGGTGTCGGGTTCAGGGTTTTAGGTTTGGGATGTTTTTAAGCCTTAAGGCTTTAGGATCAGGGTTTGGGGTTCAGGGTCTTAGGATCAGGGTTTATGGTTTTAGCGGGGGAGGGTTTAGGGTTTAACTCTCTGAGAAGACATCCTTCAAGCCTCGGGCCCCACAAATTTAGGAGCCTAAATAACCTATACTAGTTTGGCGGTTTCTAATTATACTTATAGTCTAAAGCTTACATAGCCTGTACTATTTTCGTGGTTTCTATTCTAATTATAGTATCGTGGGCCCCAAAACCTTATTCTAATTGTTAAGGCCCCTACATTAGGCTGTGCACACATAGCAGTCGGTGTAGAGCAACATCACCGGATGCACCCCCACGAGGCTCCCAGATTATCCAGACTCCAGACTTTGGAAGGCCCCTACTAAGCTCTACACCCCGAAACCTTAAAAACCCCAAACCCCTAAACCCAACAATCCAAAACCCTGAACCCCTAAACCCAAAATCCAAAACACTCAACCCCTAAACCCTAAACCCTAAAGAAACCAAACCCCACCATAAACCCTAAATGAAGGCCCCAGTCTTACCAGGCCGCCTGCCTGGAGGGCTTAAAGCCGACTCTCGATCGGCTGCAGTCAGCGAGGCGCTGCCCTCGGAGTGGGGGGATCTGGGGTTTGGGGCTTACCCAAAGGCCCCATAGTAGTTCCTTTTTGGGATTACCTTACAGGGTGCTATATATGCACCCCAAAAAAGAACTGGGGTTTAAGGGATTATGGTATATTCTAGCATTTATCGTAGGTTATTATGGTGTTTTATGGGTTTAAGGGTTTAAGGGTTGAAGGGTTTTGGGGTTTAGGGTTTTTGGGGTTTAAGGGTTGAAAGGTTTTAGAGTTTAGGGTTGAGGGGTTTGGGAGTTTCAGGATTGAAGGGTTTTTTTAGTTTAGTGTTCGGGGGCTGCAGGGGTTAAAGAGTTCAGGGTATAGGGTCTACACATGTGGCCTCTTCAGGAGGGCATTTGCGGCTTATTATAGACATAGATTATCGGCTTTGGTGTTCGTCGGGTTTAGAGGAATTTGCTGTGTATGCTTTGGGTTCTTGCTATTCATAGCTTCATCGGTGCGAGTAAAGTGCTTATCGGTCCAAAAGCGCACGTAATGGCCAGGAGGTGGTTCTTGGGTGTTGTTTTCTAGCAGTTCTTTTTTTCCCAGTGGTTTTGGGGCAGAAACATTGGGCTTTCATAATTACCAAAACTTTTTTTTTGGGGGGGGTCCTTATAATAAGTATAGTATAACGGGCCCCAAAACCCTATTCTAATTTATTAAGGCCCCCCTATGGTATCCGTTCTCCCAAGGGTTAATTGAGGTAGCCTCGTATCCGGAAGGAGACGGAGACAAACTCTTAAGCCGCTGATGCGATTTGAAATCCCTGGAGCCGAACCTGCAAGCCCTAACCCTAAGGAGCACTTCAAGGGACCCCCAAAATAGTCTAATCATGATGAGGAACCCCCATTATACTTATAACCCTAAACCCTAACCTTACAAACTCCAAAGCCCTTCGAATTAGGGTTTAGGGGTAAAGCAACTAAATGCTCAGTGCCGAAAACCCTGAACAAGTTCATGGAGCCCTTGGGGAATCCTTTTGACTTTGCATCCCTTGTTATGGGACTCTTTATCGGATGCGTAGAGGACCCTTATAGAACCCTGTATGAACCTTCACAGGACCCTTTTTACATAATCCTCACGGGACCCTTAGCATAGAGCGCTTCAGTACCCTCATGGAACTCTTGTTACAGAATCCTAACTATCGAACCCTTATGGAACCCGACAAGAACCCTCATAAGAATCTTGTCATCCTATCCAGCCTTGTTTGTCCCACCCTAAACCTCCAACCCCGAACCCTGAACCCTAAAGCCTAAACCCTAAGCCCTGAACCCTAAACCCTTAACCCTAAAGCTGAGCCGTGAACCCTGAAACATAAGCGCTCTATCCTCAGGTTGGCATTGGAGCAGGCCTTGCGCAGCGACCCGGGCTTCGGTTCCTCCGCAGCAGACGTGCCACGGCAGCCCAGCGAGGGCTCAAAAGCAAAGATGGAGGAGGCCTTTCAGGGTTTAGGGTTTGGAGTTTAGGCCTTCGTTTTTGTTTTTTTGGAAGAGGGGTGGGGATGGAGATTTGTTTTTTGGAAGGGGGGGGAGCGCGTTGGGGTGGTTTTCGGATTTGAGAGTTTTAGGGTGCCAGGCTTCCTGTTTACGACTTTCGGGTTTAAGGTTACAAGGTTGAGGGTAAGCCTTTTCATTCGTCTGAGGTTTGGGGGATTTTCAGGAATTCATGAGGGGCTGCTTGGATTTGATAAGGATCTCGGGGCAGGCGTGTAGGAAATAGGGTTTACAGGATCTTAGGATACACGAGTGCTGGCGAACTTTCTTTTGCAAGCTTTGGTGTCAAAGCTTGAGGTTCTGGGTTTGTTGACGTACCCTGAACCCCCACAGCCCTACACGGTCACATGCGGAGAGACAGCGAGAGACTCACACGCACACAGATATACATATGAGTATCTATCTATATATATATATATTATAATAAAAAATATATATATATATATATATATATATGCTCGCCCCCCCCCCCCCCCCCCAAGATCTAAGCTTTCGTGGTTCTTGGGGCATGGGGCGCACGAAACACTGTAATGCTCAAAAACTTCTTAACTTTCCAACCCTGAAACTCACGAAACACTGTCATGCTCAAAAAAATCCAAAGTTCTGGCATCTACGGCCAGGCCGGGGGCAGAGCATAGCAGTGTTTCGTGCTTCAAGGCTTGGAAAAGTTGATTTTTTTGAGCATTACAGTGTTTTGTGAGGTTCAGGGCAACTTGTGGAATTGTGTGGAAGAGGCGGGTGTAGATCTGGGGGGGGGGGGGTGACCACATATACATATATATGTATATATATATATATATATATATATATGTATATGTATATGTATATGTATATATATATATATATATATATATATATACATACATACATACATATACGTTCACACACACACGCACGTTTGTTTGTTTGTTTGTTTGTTTGTTTTTCATTCACCAGACACCTTTGCAGACAGACATGAGCACATACGGCAACTTACAATCTGAAATGTACCGTACATGTAAGTATACACAGACGTGGGCAGATAGACAGTCATGGAGCCTGAGTTTTCACCCGGTTGAAAGTTCTGCACAGCCTCAGAGAGGTACGGAAGCACGTAAGCACAGACCCAAACCGTCAACCTCTTGAAGCCCTAAACCCTAAACACCCCAAGGCCCTCAAGCCGCGTTACCAGTGCTGCATTTTTTGGGTTGCTTACTATAAGTATAGTACAATACCCCAAAACCCTATTCTAATTATTAAGGCTCCTATAGCAAACGCTGAACATCAGGGATAACAGGCCCTGAAAGGCCCCAGCGGCGGGCCAGAACTCAGCAGCCGCGGCCGATGGGCTGATCGAACGAGGCTTTTCTGGGCGCTCGCAAGGGTTTTGGGATATGGGAGTTTCCGAAAATAGGGGACCCTAATATGGTACCCTAAATAGTAGGATCCTTATTATAAGGACCCCAAAATAAGGTACCCCTCATTTTCGGAAACTCCCATATGGGTTGCGGATGTTCAGAGTGTAGAGTATACCTACCTAAAGCCCAGACCTCGAAACCGGAAGGAAGCCTGCTGAGTCATTGAGCCAACAACTAGAAACAGAACAGTACCAATCAATTGGATGTTGGGTGTTTCCGATTTCGGAGCTCGTTCCCAATTAAGTTCTTCGAGGTACTGATTCCAGAAAGCAGGTTACTCGCCAGGCCTCCCACAACCCTAAGCCCTCACATCAGCTTCCTGAAGCCCAGGAGCCTAACAGCCTACACTCTACACGTTGCAACTGACGGGCCTTTTCTGTGATCCTTCAACCCGCGGGATGTTCCGGGTTCGTGCGTGCAGTGGCTCTCGGCTTGATGGGTTTCAGGCTAATCTCGGGGCCTGAAGAATTAACAATACTATTTTGGAGGCCCTTATGATAATTATAGCATAAAGGAGCCCAAAACCCTATTCTAATTCTAATTATTAAGCCCCTATACAAAAGAACCCTACTATAGATCCCTTATAGACCCCTTTAAAGGACCCCTTTAACGCCTTAAAGGGAACCCTATCCTAATTATTAAGGCCCCTCTTGTATCCGCCCAAGCTTCGGAGGTTTCGGGGATGGGTCTGGGGTTTTACAAGAGGGGCTCCGTGCTCAGGGCCTGAGTTCAGGGCATCAGGTTGAGGGTTGAGGCTGTTGCATTCGGAACAAATATACTTATACTTATATATATTTATACACATATGTGTTTTTTATATTTATTTATGTATTTGTATGTAGACATATATAGACATACATACATACATACATACATACATACATACATACTTGACACAAACCCGGCAGCGACGACCGCAGCGACCAACGCATCCGAGAAGCAAGGTCTTACTCGGGCCCTTCCTATTACTGCTTTTTTGCTACCTGACCTGCATGTTCTATAAGACGCTGGCCAAGAGAATGGGAGCACATTCAAAGCCCTGGACCGAAGATATGTCCGTGTTCGGGGGTAGGGTTTAGGGTTTATAGGGTTTAGGTTTAGGGCTTTGCAGTCGTCATCGCCTCCAGATTCCGGTTGCACAGTGCAGCCAGTAACAGGGAGAATGCATCCCGCTGCACGCCTTGAGCGCATACAATCAATCGCTCTGCCATCTGCTCGAGGGTCAAAGTTGTGTTCATGTTGCGAGTATAGGGGACCTAAGTAATTTCCTTACAGTACAATACGGGAGTTTCCAAAAATCAGGGGCACCTTATTTTGGGGTCCAGGTAATAAGGATCCTACGATTTAGGGCACTGTATTAGGGTCCCCTATTTTCGCAAACCCCCATATGCCCTCAAAACTTTGTTCTAATTATCAAGGCCATCCCTTATTGAGAGCACGCAGGTGTTTCCTGGCCGGCGTGGCCCCAAGCGCCAGACCCAACGGGCCGGCAGGTGCCGGTTTGGGCTTTAGGGTTTATGGGTTATTGTATTCTTTTTAACTTATCTATAAGTAAACACTTAATTTTTCGAAGTGTCTTAATCAGCACTATAGTTCAAGACAGTTGTCACGAGATCTTGCTTCGCTCATCTTGTCGTTTCCATAAGTTCAGTTGTGTCTGTGTCTGCTTCAGTTTACCCAGAGGCCCCATAGTAGTTCCTTTTTGGGATTACCTTATAGGATTCTATATATGAACCCCAAAAAGGAACTACTTTGGGGCCTCTGGGTAGACACTGCGCCCTAAACCTTAAGCCTTCAGCTCGAAAACTGCACGATGCCGTCGATAAGAACTCCCTGGTCTTCTCGCACCCTCTCAAGTACCTCTTCATCCTCAGGCGTCGTAGAGTCTAGGACTTCAGTTTACGCCGCTTCAGCCATATCCTGCATAAGATGGCCGTTTTTGTTATCGGTCTCGGGGTTCGGTGGCTCCGGTTCTGCCTCTGGCTCATCATGTTGTTAAGAAAACTGCTTGTTTACTCGTTTGTGGATTACTCCTTTCCGCTGCTTGTCTTATTGTGCCTCAATTTTGTTGCATGAAAGCGGCCTGTGATTCTGAGCAGATCTTCGGTTCAGTTGCCCAGCTAGCAGTGCACCCCTGCACCTGACAGCGCAAGATGTTCCGCCGCCCACTCATGAGCCTGGCCATCATCGGACTGATGTGTGTCGTGCTTAGCTGGAACAAGTCTCCGCCGGCTGATCTTGGCAGTGCCGCGAAGAACTATGCAAAGGACAAAGCGATCGGCGCAGGCGTGGACTGTCTTGTCAAAGCAGGTCAGTGGATGAGGCAACAGGACGAAAAGGCTGTCGCTGCTCTTTCAAGGCCCACGCCTCAGGAGAAACAGTTCATACAAGACATCTGGGATGCCCCAAGTTGGGAGTGGGACCTCGAGGACTGCACACGCCTCTCAAGGCACCGAGGCTATGGCATTCTTCAGCGCTAGAGCCGCTAGAGTCCGCTGGAGGTAGGAAGCAAGCAAGCGGTATTGCAAGCAGAAACAACATTGTTTTCGGCTGCCATCTTCCATAGTTTTAAAAGCTTGTTTGTTCAAAGGCGCCTCAGTATGGTCACAAGCACACCATCGCAGCGCCGCTTAATTCGCTCCCGGTGCCCTACTTGGAGGTTCATGGGTGGTTATAAGTAGGGTTATAAGTAGGGTAACTATACTTATAAGCCATATTAAGGGACGTATAACCCCACTTATAACTACCCATGAACCTCCAAGTACTGTAGATCACCAGACTGACAGTCTGAATCCCAACGATGCATATTCGTTTTGTTTTCCCCGGTGCATCGCAACTGACGTTTTCGACAGTTCCGGACCGCCTTTCATTGCTTCGACAGGTGCTGCGAGTCGGGTTCGGGTTTGACTGCTTAGTATAAGGGCCTTAATAGTTAGAATAGGGTTTTGGGGCCCATGATATGCTATATGTATAATAAGGAACCCTAAAAGTCTTAAGGCCCCTGTGGTACAGCTTTTTTGAGTTTGGTGTTTCGTGATTTCGCGCAGGGGGTCAATTTGGATTTCGGAGTCTATCAGGGTGAGCTGGTTTAGGGTTTGGGGGTTTAGGGTTTAGGGTTTAGCAGCTGATGTGCCCCGCCCCTGGTACGGTCTTCAGGGGTGCGGGGGGCCAGAGCCTGGGACTAAAGTGTTTAGGATTCGAGCCGTTGAAAATTCTTGTGGACAAGCGGAATTCGCGCTTTTCCATTGCTCGCTGCCAGCTCGCCACCGTCGCCTCAACCCTCACATACAGGCAGTGTTCTTCTCCGGACTGGATCTTGCCCGCGACCCGGCCCCACAACCTTGTGCGAACAGAAGGAATTAATCTCAGACGGACCCCACAGAGCCAAATGGGAGCTGTAGCGGGGCAGCATATTCCCCCCGAGCCAGGCACCGAGCCCTTCCCGATCTCGGTCTCGAGTCGTTACGGACCCTTGCCCTCTTGAGTTGAGGGCTTGAAGTTGTTTTTTCGTAGTTGGGGTTGGAGGATCTTTGGGTTCTCAGGGCTTGGAGTCAGAGTTGCTTAGGACTTTTAGGTTAAGGGTAGCGGTTGGCTGACATGTCAATTTTCAGAAAGCCGCGCATCAGAGGCCAAACCATAAACCCATGTGGTCCATGGTCGCGGTCAGTCTCGAGGCAGGCTGCGGAGATGCGAGGCATGCCAAAGCCCCAAGCTATGGACATGAGATTCAGGGCTCACCTCCAAGACAGCTGCACCCCCAACCCGTCAACCAGAACACCCCGCCCTCAGCGCCAAAACTAAACCCAAATTTGCAGACCCTAAGGAAAACAAACCAGTCAGGATCCTGCTGACCTGTGGCCGCAGCCGTCGGCGCCAAGTGTGGCACTGAGATGTTTATGTTTCCTTACTGATTCTCTTATCTCTTCTGTATTGGGTGGCACTAGGTTTGGGGCCTGTGGCCTGGTTTTGGGGGGTGTGAGAGGACCTTGAAGGGTTCGGCGATGTAATCATTAGATGCTTCCAATCGACGATGGAGCTCCTAGCATTGGTTGTTGCGAGGCAGGTGCGATACAGGGGCGACAGGTTTGTGTAAAACTCGTCGCTGCGCAGTCCGCTGCAACCCGAGCGACTGTGCAGAAGGAATATTGCTGATGTTTGTTAGATCTTGTGAGCTCGTATGCCAATGCTCTTATTCACTTCACTTAAACTTAGACTCGCATGCTTTTATTCCAGGTGCTGCTGCAGTTGATCGTATGTTCTTGCTGCTGGTGTCTTCTAGTTACCATAAACATCCATAAACCCTAAACCCCTATAAACCCTAAGCCCCTGAAGCCTTAAACCCTTAGTTTGTGCACATTGTGCGAGGCTTCCGGCTTGTCTGGACAGCTCCAAGCCTTGAATCACCGTTTGCATCCCCAGTCTTAAAGCTCGCACTTTTTTGGAATAGTGAGTGAGAAGTATGTCGGGCGCAGGGGAGGTCGACACGATAGTCAGTAGTTAGTATAACTTTCTTATAGCTGAGCAGGCAACCTTTAGCCTTTTGGGGTTGATATAATCCTAGCATCTACTTCAATAATTTAAAAGCTTAACCTTTCTTGGACCAGGCTACTCAGCCCTTAAGTACCTGTAGTCTTAATTGTGGTTTTTTAGGTTAACCAGTTTTTATGGTTAGGACCCTATAATGGTTAGGACCCTATAACAGAGATTTTGGTTAACCAAAAAAAGGAACTACAATGGAGGCTATAGGTAGAGACGACTGCTAGATTGACATGCGCGTGACCGACAGCTGGCCTTACCTTTGGTTAGTAGGGAATGGGAGAATGGTAGTAATAGTAGTTATAGTTATACCCCATTCCTCCATTGCCTACTAACCAAAGGTAAGTATACCTTAGAGTAGCCCTTAAAGACCCCTTAAAGGGAACCCTACCCTTCCCTACGAACCAAAGGTAAGTGGCATACAAAAGTAAGAAGCGTCATCTCCGCTAAACCCTAAACCCTACACCCCCAATCCCCTAAACCCTAAACCCATGAACCCTGAACCAATACAAAGCCAAGGCCCCACTGTGAGGCCAGCTCCCCGGGACCCCTGGAGCACTCCGCGGCCGAAAACGCCATGGGATGCAGCGGAGGCCCAGGGACCCATGTTAATTGTATCGTAAGACTTAATAGTATGATAAAGCTTAATAGTATCATAGAACTTAATAGTATCATAAGACTTAATAGTATCATAAAGCTTAATAGTATCATAGAACTTAATAGTATCATAAAACTTAATAGTACGATAAGATACTAAGATGCAAGGTGTCACGGGTTTTTTGGGGGTACACGACTGACCGTTGTCAGATGGCTGCTAGTGCCGCGCTGCTGCTATGCGACTTACGTACTATGTTGCTTACTTACGGGTTACAAACGGTATCGTACCTGCCTGACCATCTGACCATCACTATCCGTGTTGGTGTGCATGTGTGTGTGTGTGTGTGCACTTTTGGGGGAGGGCTTGTGGCTGGATCTTTTAATTCGCCGACATTGGACGGCTGCCCGCTTTTATTCGCGAAGCGTTTTGCAAGAGTTCCTGAAAACTTGGCATATGGTCGTCAGTAGCTGTAGACTACACCATTTAAGCGGTAAGCTCTACAATGCATGCACGATCTACACCGTGAGCCCTACAGAGACTACGCCCTTAACCATAAAGCTTCGAGCAGCCACTGGCAGAAATGTTGGCATGACACATCTACTACCACACCATGGACTCCAGTACAGTTCCAAAGGCTAACTTAAATGTCGTAAGCAGGACGGGGAAGCTAGACAAGTAGCCAACAAGTGCCATGGCATCCCTGCCTCCGCGGATCTTTTTGGCGAGAAGGCTGGCTTTCAGAGCTTCTCCCGTGCAGGCGGAGGGGTGAAATTAAGATCTGTTTAGGAGGTCCCACTTCTAGTAAGGTCTTGCGGTGTTGGGCATAGGGTTTATGTTAACGTCTTGCGATGAAGGTCTGGGTATAACAGGGTCTCACGACTGGGGTTTAGCACATTCACTTTCAGGGCTTGGCCGGGGATCATGTATGTCGAAGCACCCCTTCAGGGGGCTCTCCGAAACAGCTGGGGTAATCACGGAGCTGCTGTCCATGCGAGTACAGCGAGCAATGCAGGTACCGGCCTGAGGAGCTTAGTCGCAGCTGATGGTTAATGTCAGGGTTTACCTATATTATCCATTGTAGTTCCTTTTTTTGGATAGCCAAAATCTCTATTATAGGGTCCTATAACCATAAAACTGGTTAACCAAAAGGAACTACAATGCAATGGAGACTACAGGTAGGGCTTAACGTAAAGGGCGTTGGGTTTAGGGTTTAGTAGTCTTCATACTATTCCTCTGCAATCCCGGTACACAAGAGTCTGGTACACCCCCCCACGCCTCACTCCAATTTTGGTGATGTCCCTGCATAAGCCAAGCAGCCCAGCTGTTTTGCTGTTCGCACTTTCCGAAAACAGGGGACCTTAATATAGTACCCTGAATAGTAGGATCCTCATTATAAGGACCCCATCAAATAAGGTCACCCCTTATTTTCGGAAACCCCTATACAGATGCTCCTCTCTTACTAAGGCATCCTCGAGGGGCGTATTGTCGGCTTTGAAGCTCAGGGGTACTTAGAAATAACTTTTAGTTTTTGGTTCTTATAATCCTTATAAGAAACAGCTGAGATCATAGCTTTTAGTTTTTGGTTCCTATATAGTATAATCCCTAAGAAACAGCTAAAATCATAGGTCTTTGTGAGGGGACTAAGTTCAGTATAGGAAGCGGGAGACAGCCAAAAGCCACGAGTGCAGCTGGCTAGCGGGGAGTATGTGACCGCGGTGCCTGGGCCAAAGGCGTTTCTCAGCTTCCACCAGCGTGTCTCAGCGGTCCAACAGTCGACTTTATTTGGGTAGTAGAAAGTGTCCCATCAGTCTTTGCGGAAGGTTTGCCTGCATTCCCCCGAAGCTGCAAATGCTACGAACCCCAGATGCTGAACACTAAACCCTCATCCTTTGATCAAGTGCTGAACCCTACACGACCCTGAAATCGAACCCTCAATTTTGCATTTTAAATGAGCTTTCAACAGCTACACCTAATTAATTATGTACAGTAAGTCTCAAGCCCCGAAAGTATATACCTTTATTCCAAGCTTAAACTTAAGCCTTAACTTAGATGAACCAACCCGGCACGAACCCCCAGAAGCTCTAAATTACTAAAGGAGTTCGACTGCAGCAGCTGCCGGAGGGGATCTTTCGCCTAGAGGTTCCAGAATTGGCCGACGAGGTGTGGATTCGTTTGGGAATCCAAGGCTTTAGGGTTCAGGGCTTAGGTTGAGGGTTTCAGGCTCAGTTTTTAGAGCTTGGGGCTTAGGGTTTAGGATTCAGTTTTTAGAGTTTGGGGTTTAGGGTTTAGAGGTCA